AACTTAACTCAACCAACTTAACTCAACCAACTTAACTCAACCAACTTAACTCAACCAACTTAGCTCAACCAACTTAACTCAACCAACTTAACTCAACCAACTTAACTCAACTAGACTAACTTGGCTACACTAACTTGACCACACGAACAAACTTGACTACACTAACTTGACTACAATAACTGAACTTGACCAACCTAACTCAACTAACGCAACGGAACTAACGTAACTAAACTAACCTAACCGCACTAACTTAAGTGAGCTAACTGAACTAAACTCAATCAGCTTAACTTAACTAACTTAACTCAGCTAACCTATCTAAACTAACCTATCTGAACTAACCTAACTAAACTGAACTCACCTAACTGAAGCAACTGAACTAAACTAACCGAACTAACTGAACTAAACTAACAGAGCGAAGCTAGCCTAACTCTACTAAGCTAACTTAGCTAAACTGACTCCACTCAGGTGACTTAACTGAGCCGACTCAACTAAACTAACTTAACTAAACTCACACCGCTAGAACCTAGCCCAACGGACTTAGCGCAAAAACCTCACCCAACTAAGTTCACGCAACTAGCTCGGCTCTACTAACTCCCCCACCTCAATTAAGTCAAACCAGCGAACTCAACTCAACGGAACTAAGCCAACTCAACTATACCAACCCAGCTGGCCCATCAGCTGACCCAACTCAACTAACTCGAGCCAACTAAATTAGCCCAGCGAGCTTAGCTAACTAACTTAACACAAGTGACCTAGCCCAAACGACGTCACCCAACTAACTTAAAGCAACTAACTGAACCCCACGGACTTCACTCAACTAATTTGGCCCAACTAACTAACTTGACCCAACTAACTACCTTGACTCAACTCACTTAACCCGACCAACTTAGCTCGACTGGCCTAACTCAGCTCACTTAGCTCAAATGCCTTAACGTAGCTCAGCGCACTCAACTCAACCAACCCAGCGCAACTAACTCAACTCAACTCAACTCAACCGACATAGCCCAACTAACTTAACCCAACTAACTTAACCCAACTAACTTAACCCAACTAACCCAACCCCACCAACTTAGCCCGACCAACTTAGCCCTCCTAACTCAGCGCCACGAGCCTGGCCAAACTTGCGCCACCCAATTGATCGGAGAAAGCTAGCGGAACTGAACTGCTCCAGCAGCCCGTAACGGTGCCCGCGCGACATTTTTTGCCTTATATCTATCTCCGTTCCTCACAAGAGGTTTCCACGTGCAGAAGAGGCGCCCCGCTGCCTTCCCGGCTTTACTTCTAGAGGCGTGCGCTTAGTTGTGAGCCGGCTTATGTGATTTTAGCAGAACAAGCATTTTCTGGGAATCGATAAGCGTTCTGTTCTAGCGCGGCAACATAAACTAACTGTCTGAGAAGCTTGCTTGCCTCTGCATAGTCAGTCTATTTTCTCGGATATAATCGAGTTCACGGAACAAACTATGTTCTCTTCGTCGAGAGGGGCATTCGCATATAAAAGATCTCACACTCCTCGACGGCCCAGCTCAGTGACTGACCCAGGAATTGATGTTCCTGTGCTATCAGACCCAGCGAATCCTGTGACTGACCCAGTATATGATGTTCCTGCGCACGAGAATCGCCAAAAATTTCGGTGCACGAGATTCATCAAAAAAATCTTTGTGGAGGAGAGAGAGTAGCAATGCCTGTTTGAAAGGAGTAAGTCGTCAACCACCATGAATATCTGTCTGAGACGAGATCCAATGGAAATATCTCTGCGAGACAAGATCCAATATGAGTATCTGACTGTGACTGAGACCCGATCCGATAAGCATATCCATGTGACGAGTTCCAACACTTGCCTATTTCTGTGACGAGAGTGAGAGAGTTCGAATGCACCTATCTGTGTGACGAGAGTGAGAGAGGTTCAATAAATGAATATCTGTGTGACGAGAGTGGGAGAGGTTCAATGCAGCTATCTGTGCGACGAGAATGAGAAAGGCTCCATGAAAAAATCTGTGTAAGCGAAGTTGGAAGATGACATGAAATCCCATTAGATCTATCGTTCACTGAGCAGAGTGATGAGACATCCGCTTGATCCTTAGTAATTAGTCGACTTTCATGTGTTTCATCTCTGCCCACAAGATATGATCATGATTTCCATGATCTACAAAAAAGAACTCCCGACTCATTCATCTGAACAAAAAACAGAGAATTTTATAGGGTCCTCCTCCTCTCTCTCTTTTCGCAATTTTAACGCCGCTTCACTTGTTGGAGACCGAAGAGATTTTTTTTCGCATCGATTTAATAGGAAAGCAGTTTTTCGGAACTTTTCCTATAGCACACCACCAAATAGGAAAGTAGTTTTTCCTATCACACACACACCTTCTCCAAAATGGCCAAGTCTCCAGCCAAGTCTCCTGCCAAGGCCAAGTCTCCGGTCAAGGCCAAGTCGCCGGTCAAGAAGCCCGGCTTCTTGTCCAGCCTCATCCAGAGCTTGTCTCCGTCCTCCAAGCCCAAGTCGCCGGCTAAGTTATGATGTGAAGACTACCTATACAAATATCGATTTATAGAAGAATAGTTTCTACGAAACTTCTACTTTTCTCTACTTCTACTTTGTCTCGATCTACTTTCTACTTTACTTTTACTTCTAGTTTCTACCACTCTTCTTATTTCCACCCTCTCCCTTGTTACCCTTCCCTTTCATACTCGTCTCCGGCCAAGTCGCCGTCCAAGATGAAGGCGACGCAAGCCATGATCGACGCTGCCGCTAAGGGCAAGGCGAAGGCTATGGGTCGCGCGGTTGCTCGTGAAGCTGCCGCCAAGGCAGTGAAGAAGGCGGGAAACAAGAAGAAGTAAAAGTGATTGAAGTGGTATTTGCGGTAAATAAGCACCAAAGAAAATAGATCTTACGCAACGTACAACATCTTAGCAAAAAGGAAAAGAGGTTGGAAATAGAATTCTAATAAACATCTATGAGCCAGTTGTTGTTGACAGGAAAAAGCGTACTCAGACTCAAGAAAAGAGGCACTTTCCTATGTAAAGCGTAGGCATGTATTCTTGAGGATGAGTACACTTACTTCCGTCATAGTTGTTGTCAAAAATTTTGTTTCGTCGCATGATAAGGACTTCGGATCCAACCTCGCACAAGTCAAATGAAACCAAAGACGAAAGGTTGGAAATATTAGCTGGGAAAAAGTCATTAGTCTTCTATCATGAACATTGATATTCACTTACATAGCGCAATACTATCATCATAAAAAAGACAGATTACCGATTACATGGAACAGATGTGCGTATTTATCACGGTTTTGATTTTTTCGAGAAACACATCATTACTGAAAATAGGATAAGAATCGTCCTTGACTAAGTAGTAGATGTGGCATAGTCGATCGTGAAATGAAGAAGTAGTACTTAGCACAAGAAAATTGATAGGAGCCATTACTTCACCGAACAAATAGATTACCACCACGCAGCAACACTAATTTAACGATCACTCATAGCTACCGCGCACTAATTTAACGGTCACTCATAGTCTTGGTATGGATTTACAAATATCAACTCGTCAGCGATCCTCTCTTCTCAACGACAGTGGTGGTCTTTGTTGAGGATCGTAGACGGGTTTGGAAAAAGAGAAGAAGAATAGTGTTTGTTGTGTTCTAGTATGAGACAAACAGAGAGTTCTGATGGCGCTACACTTAAGAATCAACACCTATCCTAACCTTGAGAAAGAACGAGGGATGGACGATTTAAATTCTGTCACGGAGAGTCCTACTTTTTGCAGCATCTGTTACCTGAGTCTGCGACCTTCAATGAGCCTTATAAGCAGAGAGATCGAATAAATTCTTCTATGCCGCGTAGGTTGTGTATTATAATCAAAGTGATTATCTACAACTTGTCTACTACTGCTAATCATTCCGATTTCTGATTCCCTGCTCCCCTCCTCACAGGCGTTTGCTCTCGGGTAGAGTCCCGCTCTTTGCAGCTTAGACTACCTTTCTTAAAGCAAGTCTTCACTTCTTTTCTACTAGATTTAGATCTACAGATTAGAGTTCCAGTTGTGGATCTTTTAGCTGAAGTTGAGCCTCACGTATCAACAGAAAGACAAGATTCTACTTACTTAGTTCATCTTTTCACATCTAAAAAAAAAAATGGCACCAGCAGCGATGAAGAAGATGTCTGCCATGAAGATGGCGAAGATGTCTGCGATGAAAAAGATGTCGGTCATGAAGATGATGTCGGCTATGAAAAAAGCTCCCGCGGCTCCGATGAAGAAGATGTCCGCTATGAAAATGGCCTCTCCGATGAAGATGATGTCTGCAATGAAAATGATGTCCGCGATGAAGATGGGTTCTCCGATGAAGATGAAGGTGAAGCTGGTTGCCGTGAAGGGCGCAAAAGAGTTGCGCCAGGTGCACCAAACGGCCATTGCGGACGCAGCTGCGGTCGCTGCACGCAAACAGAAATTGCGCGCTGCGTTCCGCCAAGTCGCGCAATTGGCTTCGGCGAGGTTGGCACGCAAGGATCGCCTCCGCCAAGTCTTCAAGGAAGCTGCGGCGAAGGCTGTCGCAGAAAGGATGCAGAAGTAAATTCAAGGGAATTTATGTGACAAGGAGAAGTACTGCTGAAAAGACGCTTGTGTGAACGAGGTGGATCAAGCACAACTGCAGAAGAGGAACCTTCTTCTGTACAGAGGATTATTATAAACAAGCACTTGATTTTTAGCATTAATTACGAAAAACGCAGACATCGTACATACGAAACGACCAGATCGTCTAATGATAGTAGTAGATGATGAGACAGCCACACGCACACCACGGACACATGCCAGCTGTCACCAAATTACGCAATATATAATCACCGTTGTAACTGAATGGATTATACGTAGTTATTGAGAAATGTTATCAAAGTGATTCAATTTTGTAAGTTTTTGCAACATGATCCGATTGTTCTTCTAAGCAACAACACAAGCTCTCTGAATGCGACATTATGGACAGGTGCATCATGGTAGCAAAGGTACAGCACTATTGGACTTCCTTTTGCTACAACTGTTACTCAACTGTGAAAGTGAATCGAATAATACTCTGGTTTTTTCAACCCACAAAGATAATCTGGTGTTTTTTGAGTATGCAGGTAAAACTGTGGATGGCGGATCAAGTCCGACCTCATCCTGCCGCCACAGATACCGAGTACCACCCAGGCTAGCACGAACTTGCGCGGATTGCGATTGGAGTAGTTCAAGCTTTCAAGTTGGTAAGACAGAGAGCAACTGTACAGGGAGAGAGGAAGAGCGAGAAGGATGAGCAATTTTTAGAGCTTCTACCTGGTCCTGATTTATACCTGAAATTCAGAATAGCTACAACTACAGTAAAAAGAGTGTAGAAGGAAAGGCACAAGGATGATTCATCTTTCTTGAGACAAATCCACCATGGAGTCAGCGGATTCGGCTGGGAACGAGCGGCTCTTGGAGCGTCAAAACCAGCAGTTGCTTGAGGAATTGCGACTATTGAATTATGAACTGCTTCGCCTGCCTTTCTAATACCTAGTCCTCCTCCTGTGCTCATTTATTTTGCTAGCCTTTCATCTTCATCTCCCAATTGACTCCTAAAAAGAATCTCTTTACAACCATCCCTGTAGCATCCGCTTCTAACAGGCAGCCTGCCTAGCTGTCCCAGTATCAAGTGAACAAGCCTTGGAGCGCTTGCTGCGTGAAGACGCGGCCCATGGGCAGAGTTCCCTGGATGCCTTTGGGACAGAACAATGGGGAACGTTTCCCGACTTCTTCGAGGAAATCCGAAGTGGCTTTTCGGCGTTGGAAAGGAGTGCTGAAGGTTAAGGATGCATCGTTGATAGAACTTTTCTGTTGGAAAGGAGTGCTGAAGGTTCAGGATGGATCGTTGATAGAACTTTTTGGAAGATGCCCACAGGTGGCGTTTTTACGAAGTACAACTACTAGTACACCTGACAACTCTTCTGGTAAGTACTTATCTTATGAAAAACAATGGTCTAACGTAACAACAACAACTTACTACTCTGGTTGTACTTTTTAGTATCAAAATCTTCAATGGTTGAAACTCGCTTTTGCTTTTTTCTAACTTCCTCTCCGTCGTGTAATTGAGGTTGTCCGATTACGGTTAAGCTTTCCGAAAGATAGCGGCTATACCTTGGTGGAGTCACATAAGCAGTCTCCGGATGGTCGCCTGTTTTTCTCAAAGCAATTGCTTCCTTCGAAACAAAAGCATCTGACGCTGGAAACGTCAGAGGATGCGGCGGAACGGTATATGCTCCTTAAGTAGGAGTGAGACCCATAGAGTAAGGAGTTAATTTAGGGGGTGTGAAAACCATAAGAGTAGTACTGACTAGTGTATTTACTTACACTGACTTAGTAGAAGTGGTCTATCATATTAAAGATTTCATTTTTCTTACATTCATTGCCTAAAGGTTTCTATCCGAAACGTTTTTCAACGACCTAAACCTCGAAGAGTGGCAGGCATGTGTAGTGACCAAGCCGGACTACACTTACACAGAGGGAGAACCAGATTGGCGAGCCGATCAATTTCCTGTACGATGTCACGTCCGAAGACACGATCTCAGCTTTGCGATCGTGACAGGAAGTGCTGCTGCGGGAGTTCGTACTCGACCGTTAGGCTGTTTTGCGTGTTGCACTTAGAAATCTGAATAGACACACTGCCTCGACTGATATTTGTTTTTTCCGCTAAGTCAACGTCGACTTGAATCTTCCGATGAGCCCCTTCCATTCGTGCAGAAACTACTCTACCATAAACCCCCTCTCCGCAACGACATCTTTTCACTAGATGATGAACGAAACTAATCTACCATAAACCCCCTCTCCGCAACGACATCTTCTCACTAGATAATCCCGATGCACAACAATTATATAGCTGCCTCTTGCTAGCGCTAGACACAGTCATCAGTCAACATCTTAGAGCGTGTCTACTGCATACCCACTCTTCAAAATCTCAGATGCCGACATTCTAGAGCGTGTGATGCGCAAGGTTGGGTTGCCGCAAGCACAACCGTTTACGACGACAGAACACGGCACCACAAGCTTCTGGTCTTGGTATCGCGCTGCAGCATTGAGCAGCATTCTAAGCGATGCGAAGGGTGGGGCGGTGGTGGGTGGTTATGATGTTGGTTCCTTGGCCAGCATAGAAATATTTGAAAGAAGAAGATTTGAAACAGCTAGTAGTGAAGATGGAAGAAGCTAGATGAAGTAGAGCAAATGCGACACGACGAGCAGGAGACGACAATGTCGTCTTACCTGAGACTTCTAACATTCCCCCAGCAGCAACCGTGCTGGTGGTCTTCAGGCTGCCAGACTACGAGAATTGGACCTGACAAAAACCATGGACTCTATTTTTGGGCAGCACCGAAACCGCACTGCGTATCAGACCTTGTTACTGCAGATGTTTGGGCAGCAGTTCGAGGCAAGCAAACTTTGCGGGGGATTTTCTGGATCACTCGTCCTTCGGGTGCAGCCTTTTGATGCGGACGGAACACCGGAAGAGCCGGTGATAGTGAAATTGGACCGAGCAGCGCCGATTCGCGAAGAAGTGTTGAACAGCTTAAACGTCTATGACGTACTGCAAGACAGAGCAGCCAAAGTCTTAGGTGACCCTGTTTTTTGCTTCAACGAGCAAGGCGAAGAACTAGGTGCGTTCAAACTGGAACTAGCAGGAGCATGTTGGCAGATTCCGGAATTTTCCAGTATATCCGCGAATAATGCGTTGCTGTCGACGTTCAAAGACCTCTTTGTTTATGAGACGATACAACAAATGCTACCGAAAAACTACACGATTGAAGAGCTACCTCCTTTTGGAAATGTGCAGATGGTATTTATTTCACGTTGTTGTGTAGACTAAAAGTACAGGGTGATGTATCAGATGACTTCTTTATACTTGTCAATAATTATAGTTATACTGGAAGAGGTTATTATATAAACATTTACATGTTGTATTTACAAGGTAGTCACAGAGCTGCTTGGCGTTGGAGGTATGCTACGTCAGATGCGACACCACGTGGGTCGTGGCAACGTCGCAGAGCAATTGAACTGTCGAGCAACTGCTGCTGTGAGCTTGATAAATGCAGTCGCCGGCGCATCTGGAGATACAAGTGCGAATTTTAGTCAAGAACTAGTGTCTGCGCTACCTATCAAGAGGAGCGGAAAGACGATTTTCACTCAGTACAAGCTGAAAGGGAAAGACACAATGTTCAACCCCTTTTTCAATGGCACCGCAGAAGCAGAATCGGCTTGTTTTTCCTATGGGTGAAGTCTTGTTTTCAAGTAGATGAACAACTCAGTGGTCATTTTATTTTCTGAGTGGAAAGGACATTACCTGAGTCGTTCCGTACAATATAGCATTGCTCACAAATTCTGTGTATTCCTGCGACTGTACCTATGATACGCAGGCAGATACATCGATTCCATGGGCCTTCCTCTAATCCCCCCACGCCTTTCCTTCCACGGCACATTGCGCAGCTCTGTATGCGAAGCTGTTTGACGTACCGATGCCCAGCGTCCGAGAAGATGTTCGGATGCTAGCGAAAAGTTTGACACAAATCGAGTCTTCTCTGACGCGGAAACAGTTTGCTGCTTACTGTCCGCTGTGGGCACTGGGGCATGGTGATCTTTATGACGAAGGAGATATATTTGCAACTGTGGTAGAACGCACACGAGGAAGTTTATCGTATTTGGTGGTTCATAATCTAGAAATTCATATTCAGAGCAAATTAGTACTTGATAACAAATTTGTATTTGATTTGCACCAGAGAATGAATTACTTATATCTTCAAAGTTCCTAATATCAGTATCATTAGGTAACCCTACCAGTACGACGTATTCGAAAACTCAAAATAACCGAGTTACTGACTGAAATAAGGGAGGTAGCTTAACGCCAAGGCGAAGGCTACCTTTCCTTCTCGTCAGTATCTCGGTTATTCTGATCAGTTACTCGCTTATTTCAGTTTTTCGAAGTTCCTATCAGTATCATTAGGTAACCCTACCAGTACGACGTAAGTACCAATCTTATCCTTCATACCCGCAACGCCGCCAACATCCTGGTCGATGCGATGGATGCAGTATGGATGATCGATTTCGCGACTTCGAAAGACATGCCTTTGTTTAACGATTTGGCGAAACTAGAGGTCGCTTTACTATTCGAGTACACCATTCTACCTGTCACTTGTGATATGCTGCTCTCGTTTGCGGGTGGCCCAGATGCGACTGAGGAAGAGTGGCGCGCATTCAACGTTGGCGACTGGTTTTCTGTGCATACAGACATTTTAGTGGCGTTGTTGCGCGAATTGCAGAGAAGGTTTAGAGCAGATGCGGCGAAGACGGAGAAATTATTGATGCAGATGGGTGGAGGAGGAGGTGAACTAGTAGGAGAAGCAGGAGAGCCCTTCAGTGTGCATCAAAGAAAAAGTCTCAACATCGGAGAGCAACAACAACGAGACCTCTTTCCCGGACACCAGCATCATCCGCAGCCTGTCAATCTTGATTTCTCGCCTACGCTTGTCCTGCATGAGCGAGACCTGGACTCCCTCATCACGGAAGCTGTGAGTTCCGTGTACAGCGATCGACAGAGCAATAAGCACCGGCAATCCGTAAGGCAGTTGCGTGCTCGTCTGAGTTGCGACGGCTCTTTCGTGCGACGCTGCTTCGAGAAGTTTTGTGCTGGTATTGCAGCTTTGGTGCGAGGCACCCAGTTTCAGAAAACCATGGAGGAGATCACAACGCATTTGTCGAGTAGTAATGCAGCAGCCCATTTGGCTAGTTCGAATTCGCAGGATAACCTTCAACCCATGCTTTCTTCTAGTACGGAGGATCCCGGCGCCTCTAGTACTTCCTCGCCGCGGTCCTTACGCGGGGCAGCGTTCGCCCGGTCAGCGTCGTCTCTGCGTGAGGTGATTCACTACTCGACAGATTCAGTGCAATTCACGTTGCGGCAGATCGCGAGACTCAGAAAGCTCAGTTCTGAAGACTGGAAATACACACTGAAGAGACTATCACAACAAGCGGCGCCTTTGGCGGAGTTGCCGGGGAGTAGTGTTGTCGGAACTACGGTTTCTGGGACTGTAGCATCTTCCGCACAAGCTGGACAAGTAGAAGCTGGAGAGGCTGCGGTAGACACCACATCACCTGCTCCAGCAGCCGTTGCAGGACATCAAACAGAAGTTGACGATCCATCCTCGCAACTACAAGATGACGCCATATTGCGTGGTAGCGACTCTTTTGCGAGTACTTTGCCGTCTCCCAGTGGCTCTTTCGTGAACCCGCTATCTTCAAAATCCTTAGCTGCGATGAGGGCAGCGAAAAAAGCAACTAAGCGTGGCAGCGTGCTTAATTCCTTAGGAAATATGCGCCGCGCCCGCCCCAGTGTCGTACAGTGGATGCACGCACAAGAAGCTACAACGGGTCAATTGTCGTTAAGGCTAATGGTTGGAGGATCATGTCTCATATTGATTTAATTGATCCAAAGGTTTTACTGGTATTGATGTTTTTTTTCTGTTCAAATTTTTGCTCCCGGACGAGCAGCTCTCAGCTCTTTCTCCCTCTCTCTAACTGGAGCTTTACGCGGATCCCAAAGTTTCTCTCCCGCAAGCGGTATGAAGCGGGTGACGCTGCTGTTGAAGTCAAACACCTTTCACGTGGACGACGATGCTCTAGGGACGGAAAAGCCGAAAGACAGTACTGACGAGCGTCTTTTCTCGCATAAGGAGGAAGAGGAAGCGAGCGAAGAGAGGGAATATAAGCAAGAACAAGCAGAGGGACTTAGTGTTGACAATCCTGATTCAGCAGGAGCTCAGGAGCTTGCTGCTACTGGTAATGAAAATGCTTCTCTTCATCTTGCCAAGAAAGGTCTTTCCGCTGGTCTCTCGATGGAGCAGCATTTTTCCGCTAGTACTGCTACTCCCAAACAAGGTCTTTGTTCCAAAAGTCCCTCGACCTCCGCTACTGCTACTCCAGAAGGCGGTCAGATTCTGCGCCAGGTCGACGGTTTATCGCTTCAGATGTACTTGCCCTTATTACGTGAGGCCTATCGTGTCCTCGGGTACCGTGACATTCCGCCATGGAGCAAAACGGTATGCGCCTTTTACATCTCGAGTTTGCGGGAACAAGTTCAACGGGCAATGGACGCAGCGGTGGCCGAGCAAGAGCCGAAACCTTCGGGATTGTTACACGAGATCTACAGTCGGACAAGCCGCAAACTGCAGTACCAAGTATTGGGAGCGATGTGTGCGGCGAATCACCTGGAAAACTTGGCGTTTTTCGAGAACCCTTCCGTTTTACACATGGCACGTGAGCATATGTTCGATTTGAGCCACAACAATTTGTATTTTATGCCGTTTCATACACTTGTGGGCACTAGTGGAGGTCAGGGGAATCGGAATGAAGGAGGTGCTTCTCAAAGTGTTGAACAACCGGAATCGGGAATCCGAACAACGGTCTCAGATGGCTGCGCGATGAGCTCCAGATTGCCCGTGACGAAAGAGGGAACTGCTGAGTCCGGATCTGCTGCTGGTGCCGGATCTACTTTGCCACCAGTGCCGGGAGCTACGTCGGCGCCCCATGCCGTCAGTGCGGATCCAGAAAGTCATCTTGCTGTTGATGCTGAGAGTGCAATGAAGACGATCACGGGATCCAAGTCTACCTCCGTGCAAGCGAGCGCACCAACAGGAATTTGTCGAAGTTCTTCTCCACGACGAGGACGGTTTGCTACTGGCAGTGCAAGCACGTTCGCGAGTGCGCACTCGTATCTCGCGAACAATGGTTGCCCAGTCGCTTCTTCTTTGGTGAAACGGGTACGCCTGCACCACACGCGTTTATCCGCAGAGATGCTGCAGCAAAGCGAAAGTCTCAGTTCACTTCGAGGTCTCTTCTCCGAAGTACAGGACTTGAGTTTCAAGTTAGCCGGTCAAACATGCACGGCCCGTTGGACGTTTGGAAATCTTGCGAAAGTCCTACCAGATGCACATGCGGTTTTTTCCCTGAAAGAAAACTACCATCAGCAAGTCGTTGGTGCCGTTCGGTTCTTGCACAAGACGGCTGTAGTTGGTGGCAGAAGTAGTTGTACACCTCCAGGCACAACAAGCTCTTCTGAACAAGACTCCACTCAAGGAGCAGGAAGTTCTTACTATTCCGATACCACATGGGCAGACAACATCTTAGAGGAGGCAGGAGGATCGACAAAGAGTCGACGAGACGCCATCCGAAAACACAGCAAGAGCATCATGCTACAAGTAGTGATCGATCGCGTCCTGAAGGTGGACCACACATCAGCTGCGTCATTCTTGTCGCGTTACAGTGCTGCTGTAAAAGAAAGCTTTGACGGCGAATCTTCCACTTCGCTTTCAAATGATTTTGATGCAGGGACAGCGGCGTCGGGGGGCTCTGGAGGTGCTGGTGCTGGTGGTGGTCCGGGAACAGGTCACTTTGAGCACCAAAGCGAACAAGCCTCTACTAGTAATGATCCGGCCTCAGGGAAGATGGCTCCTCGACCTATTTCGCCTGGTGCTTCGGCTTCTCTGGGCTCTGGGCATCTAGGCAGATCGACCTCTACTTCTACCTCGTCTCAGCAACTAGTCGGATCGATGGAATTCGAAGTTATCGACGACACGTTCGAAGACTTTTTGCGCTTTTTGGATGGACGTGTGTCTTTGTCTGAGCCGGTTTTCTGCTATAATCCAGGCGACCGTGTGCGTGTGCGCATGAAACTACAGCAGCCGTCGAATCCGCACAGTTTTGCAGGTGGAAGTAGGGGAACAACAGCCGGAAGTTCTGCTTTAGGCGGTCACGGTGCTGCCTCGTCTACTTTACCCCACTTCCAAGCCCCATCGATGGAGCCTGTTTTTCTGCCTTTTTATCCGCCCTCGCAGTTGTTTCCTGCTTCTGGGAAGGAAATGGAGTTCTATCAGAATTCACCTTCTTCCAAGATGCGATCAAGGGCTCCAGCCGCTCGTCAATCTACTTCTCGACACAACAATAACTATCGCGCCTCGACTACTGCAGGAGGTGGCCCTGCAGGAGGTGGAAACATGAACTACAACTACAATACCTCCAGAAGTTCTAGAGCCCACATGAACATGATCATGAATAGTTCTCGGTACAGCATAGCCTCAGGAGGCCACCTTTCATCGTCGATGCCGGAGTTACTGCCTTTAGATCAATGGTTCTCTTTTGCTGGAGCGTTAGCGACTCGAGAAGCAGATGTGAATCATGGAGGCGGAACAGCTGGAGGCGAATTCGTTGAGGTAAGCATCGCAGGTTACTCTCCAGAAAAGGGGACTTATTTGATCCAGCTGGACAATCCAGATGGTACAAAATTTGTGGAGCCACCGGCTGACGATGACGATGCCAAGGGTGGAGATGCACTGCATGGGAATGAGCACGATAGGGATAGCAACCCTGCGAGTGCAGGAGCCACTTCTTCTAGTAAAAATTTAGGAGGACAACTTAATCCGGCTAGTCGTGCTGGGGTCTTCTCCAGTGGCGCACGATTAGCATTCAATCCTTGCTTCGGCAACCACTGTAGCGGCAATAGCTACCACTACAGAGGAGGGACGCAACTTCTAGTGTTTGTGAAGAAAAAATGGTTAGACGCGGTAGTCGTCTATCACCATGCGCACACCAACCGCCATTTGGTGCGGATATCGATCTCCTTATCACCTACGGAGTTACACACCTGGGCCAGCGATGCATGGGCAGGAAAGGTGAACAGCAGCTCTTCAGGTGCGCCTCCAAGTTCTCCAGGATGCTCGGATGAAGAGGCACAAGAAGAGCAGATCCGAGATGTCCTCCTAGATTTGAATAGTTTCAATCACTGCGTTGCCAAACAGATGACCGCGAGGGGCTTTGAGGACGAAGCCCACCGGTTGCGAACCTTCATGAAAGCACGCTATGGCTTTATCATCGACAGCATCTCCGGCGCCAAGTTAGATCTGCGAGTCGACTGTGCGGACTTTAGACTGACCGAACACGGACATCAACGGGAAAACATTTTCTTCAGTGCCTGCGAGAGCGAATTCCTTCCTCCGATGACAAGTTGTGCGACAAATGTCACAACATCAGAAATAGGTCAACAAACTTGGGCCCCAGCAGAGGAATTGGCGGATTTGTTGTGCGTAAAGAACTCCGACGTCGACCGTAGCTGCGGGTGTTCACGGCCACGTGCGTTTTTGGTGAGAGGTCCTTCGGGTAGCGGCAAAAGTTGTCTGATTCGGAAATTAGTCGTGGCGATACTGTCTGAACCGGGACACGAACTTCTGCCTCTTCTCATTCCTGTGACTGAGTTCTTCGCGAGAACCCAGACATCTCCGTCTAACCTTGGAGGCGGTGGGTCTGGGCGGGAATCGCAGAGTGGAGCTAGTGCGCCTGGTTCATCTGCATCTATGTCGTCTCCAACAAACGGCGAAATGCCAGTTGGCCGTTTGCAGTCGACTCGATCGGGGAACGATTTTGCGCAGCCTACGAAATCTGTAACACCAGGAGGCACAGGCGCGCCTTCGTCTTCGAGTGGTGTAGCAAGTCAATCTGTTGCTGCAACAGGAGCTATGGGTTCATCTGTTACCGGAGGTATACCTGAATCTCCACCCGGAGCTGCTGCTGCAGCGGACCTCGACTTCGATTCAGACGAGGACGAGAATCAACGGGAGGAAGAACAACTCAGCACGACAATTGACTTGGTAGACCGCTATTTGCGTATCGTTCATGGGGAAGAGTCCGCGCGTTACCAGTTGTTGCGACACGCGATTGATTGTCATCGTGTCGTTTTTCTCTTCGACAGTGATTCCGACGATTTGTCTCCGCAACTAGAGCACATTTTGATGGGCTTAGCGCTTGCGCATCACCGTGTCTGCGTGGCCATGAGACCCTCGGATAGTCTGACATTTTTTCCTACCACAAGAGGAAGTGGAGTTAGCGGTGGGCAGCTCCTGAATAAAGATTTACTACACAGTACTGCAACCGGAAGGCGAAGCTCGCGTGTAAGTGGCATGTTTACTGGGGACACGGCAGGATCAGTAGAGGGCCTACAAGAATCCCTAGAGAGTCAAAATGGCGACGCCTTGAACAATTTACGCGACCTAGAGCAGCTGCGGCAACTCGCGAGCACATCACGCGGTCTCGTACGTCTTAGGGATACAGCACAAGCACAGAGGAGTGCGGAAAAAAACGATTTCAAGAGCGACGGCTCTAGTGGTTTTGAAGCTTCGACAAAGAGTGCTGGAGACGAGACTCGTAGTGGGACGAGCAACCACGACACAGTTTCCGGTTCAGGACAGTTGATATCGAGTGCTGAAAGTTTCCGGCGCATCCGACCATCAACTCTACAGCACGTAGTCCAGGAAGCTGGGGAGCGGGTATTTGGTATTAGGAGTCACGCATCGTCTCTACATCGACCGAAGAGTAGACCGTCACGACGGAAGAAACCTTCGACATCGACAGAACTGCTTGGAAAGGTGAGAAGCGTCACTGGTAAAGGAAATATGGTAGGAAGTGGTGGCGAGACATCGTCTTCGAGTGGAGCCACGACAAGAAAGGCGAGAGAAGTTATTGTTTCTCCAGCGGGTTCGCAAAGACTTGACCTAGCCAGGGACTTCGGTCGCGAGAAGTCTATCCTGCGCGGGGGGGACGGGTCGTCTTCAGCTGTGAACGAACCGAAGAATCTACCTGTTACTTTTTCGATTTCACAAGACATCGAGAAATTCGACGACTGTGGTTCAACTTCATCGTGGTCTTCTGCGGAGGAAGAGGACAACAAATATGGTCTTCAAGCCGATGCTTCTTCAGGCATAGCCGGAACGAGTCGTGGCACTACCAAGACCAAGAAGAACAAGCAGAAGTACTTCGAGTTTTCCTACACGTCTTCCTCTGGCTGTTCGGGGTTGGACGATAGTGATGGAGGAGAGACGTCGGATCGAGACTTTGGTTACAGTCATCAGCGAAGTAGTAGACGATCGGGGGATGCTCAGCTAACTTCTCAACGGTCCATGACTCACGTCGCAAGCAACGCATTTAGTTCCACGTCGTCGGTGTTCAGCCACGACACGATGTCTTTGGGTGCATCCAGTACAGCGAGTGGAGCAGGTGTGGGGTCCTTATGTGAATGAATGTCATGATGGTTCTCAACAGCAGGGATGAATTGATCGCTACACCTCGTCTCTAAGGAAAAGAAAATGAAATATACAACCATTTGGCAGTCTAAAGCATTCCACGACGATCTCTTAAATCTATAAAGCATGATTCGCTTTACTCTAATGTCAGCCGCAGGCTCCTCCGCACATAAACACGGACGTCTGCTCGCTTTGCCTCCTACTCTAAGGTCCTTTTTTCGAGTTCTGGATTTGGAGGAGTTGGATTCGGATCAACAGAAGGTTATCATTAATGCGAGGTTGGAAGCGGCCGACGTGAAACCTTTTTTACGGTTTTTAGAGACTTTCGAAACCAAGTTGATGCGAGATGATGAGCGTTTACTGCGAAGTCCAACGATGCTTTCAATGGTTCTATGCTATTGGCAGAGCGGCCGTGGTCGTGGCCACGCAGGTGCTGGAGCATCATCTGGAGGTACTGCGGGAGGTACGGGCGGCGCATCCTCAATCAATCCAACCGGTACTGAAAAGAATCTAGCTTCATCCGAACACGTAGAACAACCGGCTTGGCCCACGAACACTTCGTCTCAAGAACCTGGCGTTGTGGCGCATAACTCAGCAGTGGATCGAAGTTGGAGTTCGGGTTCCCGCAGTCCGCCACGCGGCGTTGCAGTCGTTGCGAGTAACAGCACCCGGCAGCGACCGGCGCTTGCACGACAACAACAGACTACAGCAGCAGGTGGGTTGGGCAGTGCGAGCGCTCAGGGATCATCCCCCAGTGCTGGCGCGCGTCCCCCAGTGCTGTCGAGCCTTCGGAGGGATCAACATCCCCCAGGTTCACAGCTTGTCGTCACGTCTGGATCAACTACATCGGTCAGTCCGACTACAGATGGCGTGCTCATAACGGAAGTGTTTCGCGTTTCGGTGGACGTCCTACTCTCAAGAGTGAAGACCAAGCAACAAAGCGACCGCTTCAAACTGAAGACGCAGCAAAAACTCTTCCAAGTCATGCTGCAGAAGATAGCGTATCAGCTGCAGATTCGGCACAAGCGCGAGTTTTCTGAGCAATGGCTGACGTTGGTTTTTAACACAAGAACAGACAGTGACTTGTTGTCCTCTTCTTGTCAACATGATCAAGAAAAAGGTCAACAACAATATGATGATCAAGAAAAAGGTCAACAAAAAGGTCAAAGTTTATTAGTACAAGGGCAACATGATCAAGAAAAAGGTCAAGAACAACAAAGTTTACTAGAAGCACAAGGAGGACAGTATCGAGGACATTTCGAAGCAGCTGGTGACAACTTGAATAAGGTGCCAACTGGTTCTTTTGGAAAATCAACATCGTCAACACTTGGAACAGGGCTAGACCTGAACTACGTGAAAGAAACTGGCTCGAGCTTGTCGAAGGGGAGCTCATTTGTTGGAGATCGCTCACCTAGTACCAACATGCAGATGCGCACCTCAGGTGGAGCTAATAGTCAGCCAGGAGTGGAGCAAAAAACAACAATGAATCTATGGTCCGATTTTGTTGCAACCATTCGTATGGGGCAAGTCGCTCTGGTCACTTCGCGCAAGCACATACTACAACAAAATGTGACGACTACAGCATCGGAACTTGGCTCATCTACGCCGGGCAGTGTAGCTCCTGTGTCACGCCAGTCGACCTCCTCTGCTTTTGGAGGACTAGGTCAGCACGGTACTACAGATGGAGGTGCGGGAACTGGCGTTCCTCAAAGGCAAGAAGTGTTTCGATTCGCGCTTTTTGCTTTTCAGCGGTATTTAGCTGCAAGCGGCTTGGTTGAGGACCTGAACAATTGTGCTCGTGTGATTGTGGCCGACGACTGGGTGCGCTTTTTGCAGGCAGAGGAGTCAAGCTATTTGAAGCAGTCTAGCCCAACGCAGAGTTTCGTGAGAGAACCTCTAGAACAAGCGCATGCAGCTGCGGCAGCTGCAGTTCAGCTTTCTGGTGGCGTTAGTCCTACTGGAGCGCGAACTAGCACTGCAGCGGACCCTCACGGCTTCGATTTGATGTCTCAGAGAGATGCTTCAACCCGAATTCGTTCCACTATCAACACAAAATACCAGCGAGCCAGTGTATCAGGTCTGGACCGGGGTCCGGGAGGTGGCAACACCCTGTTGGAAGAGGTTGATGGGAGCGACGACGGAGGAGCTTTTCCTCGATCTCCTGTCACTCGACAACGGTCGTATTCGTCAGCATTCATTGCTCCCTTCACCTCTCCGCGAGACCAGAAGGCGCAAGGCCTCAACAGAGTCGGAGGGGGACTGAAAAGCCTAGCGGAAGAGGGTGTGGGCACACCTGCTCTTAACCAAGGAGGAGAACAGTTAGGAAAATCGCCGAGTGCAGCTCATGGTGGAAGCCATAGCTTGTTTAATGCTTCCTCTGGAGGCGGATTAGCAGGACAGTTTTCTGAAGAAGCAGCCAGAGCAGTTGTGATACCAGATTTTGAGACGATGATGTTAGATTCCTGGTGGCGTGACTTGATTGAAATGCTAGTGGAAAAATGGCCTAGGACGTACCAGCGCATTCTGACTGAGCAATTGAGCACTTTTTGTGCGCGCTACTCGGAAGTTCTGTCGAAGTCTTATCATGATCAACAGGAAGGAGGTGGCAGAAGTGCTGGAAGAGTGGATGGTGCAAACGAGCAAATGATGACCAGGAAGAGCGGCGTCTATTTCGCAAGCGCACTGGATTCCTCCAGAGCGGTGGGCACTCCTGCGCTCGCGTCCCACATGTCGGGTGCCGGCACGGAGTCCTTTGACCAGCCTATCGGAGGAAGTCGGCCAAGAAGCTCCATTTCGCGTCTTAGCAGTGTAGCTGGTGGGGATCCGGATTCTACTTCCAGATCAGCAGGTTCTCCTAGAGGCAAAGCATTGTCCTCTCCTATGTCAAGGACTCCTGGATTGATCTTAGCAGACCTCTCGCAAGCGGAGCAGGACCGAAGAGCTGCGGCAATGAGTGTGTGCGTTCATCTAGCAGTGAGACACTGCTATACACCCTTCTTTTCCGCCTTGCGCCAATTGCCTTCGGAGTTTGTGAAGAACTCAAATTTTCTGCCGGGACGCGGAGACGTTCATCTTGCGAGCTTTGGGGGAGACGTTCATCTTGCGACTTTCGGAAGAGTGAAATCTCAACAAGATGAAGGAAGTACTGCAACAAGTTCATCAACACTACAGCTCACGGTAGCGGCTCAACTAGAGCAGCACGGTGTCTTTGCAGCAAGTCGCGAGCTCACGCCGCTGCATGCGGCAGCAAGAACTGGGTATGTCTATGCCTGCGAAGTTTTGCTTGAGTGTGGTGCTGACAGTTTCGTTCAGGATCGCTGCGGTTGGTTACCCCTACATTACGCCTGTCTCCACGGTTCAGTTGACGTCGTGCGTTTACTCCTCGATGATTACAACTCGAAGATGGAACGCTTGGCTGGTGCGAGTAGAGGTAACCGGTTTTCGTCGGCACCTGGAGGTGTAGTAGGAGGTGGTGCATCTGTTCCACGCACGATTAGACCCCCAAATCCAACGATTTTCCACAAGGATTCGTGGGATGCGGTTTCGTTTGCACCCTCGCGACAAATGACACGATCGCGCAGTGGGGCAGCGTCAGCGAGGGTTAGTCGGTTCGTTTCTGCAGGTGTTGAGAGTTTGTGTTCAGGAGCAACGTTCTTGGGGCAATCGCATAATACGCTTTCGGAGATTAGCATAGTAGGAGCCAAACCGTCTTTCGGAGCTGCGCAGCAAATTGTGCATTCTATGCCCTCGACTATGCGTGCACACGTTCTTGCGTCGCTTCTATTCCGTAACAGTGCTGCTCCTCTGCATCGGCCTTTAGCGCTTCCGCCGACAGATCCCCGACACCCACTAATCAAACTGCGCGCCAGCGCCAGTGAGTTCACAGCGGCTGTCTTAGGAGGAAGCGTGAGCGAGGCAGACTTTGTTATTCAACTACACCAACGCTTTCCAGAACTCGCATTCTTTCAGCTGTGTGGTGAACGTCACGACCTCTCACTCGGTTCCAATATGCTGCATGGAGCCGGTTCTAGCACTGTTTCTGGAGGTGGAGGAGGAAAAACGATGGGAGCAGGTCACCAACGAAGGCTACCGCCGTTCACAACTTCTTACAACAGTGGTATGAACTTGAACAAACACAAAGGTCAAGGTCAAGGTGGCATTGGGCGTGGCCGCGTGAGTAGCGAGAACAAGAATACTCCTGGCCCTGGCACCAGTATATTGAGTCGCGCGGCTGGCTCCTCTTCTTTTGCAGAGCACAGGCGTATGTCTGCAGGTGGGCGACACTCAGCAAAAAGAAGCATGGCCCTTCCAGGCGCGAACGGCTTGGAGTCAATTTGGCGCAAGGCGACGGAAGTGACTGTACCGGCAGACACGTATCAACGGAACAAACGTCGCAGTGTTCTGCGACGCATCCTTCGTACGTCTCAAACCAGGCCAGCAAGGGCCACGGTGGTTGGCGGAAATAAAGTTATGGCTCATGATAAGTCATCTTCAAAAAATTAAATTTTGGCAGTTTTCCAAGTACAACAGGATCCCGAGGAAATGATGAAAAAGAGATGAACTGAAAAGATGAGCTCTAATAGGGCTGCGAACAACAGAGGAGGCTACAATTATGCTGGTGGTCGAGGGAGTGGGAGCAGTGGAGGTGGAGCTGGATTGGGCCCCTCTTCCTTGAGACACCAACAGAGGTCGAGTCGTTCTCACAATATCAGCGGTAGTCGGCAAGTAGCAGGGCCGGAACTGGTGTCTTTACTGAACGCACACGACAACTATCTACGCACCATGGGTGGACTATTGTCAGTATATTGGCTGGTTGCAGATCGCTATGATTTGTTCGTTCGAAGTCAAAAGATGCAGGAGGAAGAACGAATACTGGACAGGGGTAATCGGAACAACATCAGAGCAAGTGATCATGTTGCAGGTGGTGAAGGGGAGACCACGAATGGCACAGAGCCTGAGCGGGAGACACCCTCAGCGTCTAAAAACACGAGTTCTTCTGCGGCTAGCAGTTCTACTAGCAATGTTTTGAGTCGTGAATCATGGGAGAGTCTTCGGGAGTGGATTATTGCACATGCAGATTTAGGTTCACCGGGAACGCTAGACGCTTTGTTGTGCTTGCTGGTCATCCGCAACTTAGGTCGTGGTACCGCAGCTGGGGATTTTAGGAGTAAGGAAAAGCTTGCCGATGTCTTTCTACTTGCTGCGGCCAACGCTTCAGGCTTGGATCACCTGTTGGAGGCGGATGAGCATGTGCTGAATGCAGATCAGAGCACAGGGGGAGATGCATCGCCACAAGCAGGAACTACAGGAGCCGCGACGTCAGCCACTGCAGCAGGGGGAGACGCAGCCACACGACACTACTCAGTGCGTCCGCCCCTAGAAAAGGACAATTCGATTTCAGCAGACCGACGCTTTCTGTCCTCGGAAGGCGTTGAGCAACCCCCGCCAGGCATCCAGGTACATCCTGTCACTCACGCAATGTCTATGGCTTTTGGCGACGTCGACGAGGGGGTGAGCTCGCCGGTGAATTTGGACAATTTCCTCACTAGCGGCCGCCCCACAGGAGGCGATCGTGAGGGCGGTTGGGGTGCTGCACTACGAAGCCATGGAGTGGGAGGTCATGAAGGGGATGGAGATGCCTCGATAGCTGTCGACAAGTGGCGCTCGGACACGGAGAATATCGCACTGGCACGAGTTCGAAGTGACATTTTTCACAGCGCACCGCGAATTCATGCGGGACGCATGACCGAAGTCTTGGAGGGGCCAGTTGCAGTAAGGAGTCTCCTGTCAGCGGAAGCAGTAGGGAGTCACCGACTCGGTGGGAACAAATCGTTGCGAGCGATGCAAGAAATAGGCGGCCCACTCCTTTCTTACGAAAGTGGGGACGAGGATGGAGCTTCGATTCCTGAAAAATGGAGCAAGTCACAGGACGGCCGCCAACATGGAGGTAAAAGTACTAAAAGCAGGACAGATACAATAGGAGGTGACCAACAACACCAGTACAGTTCCTGTGACGATGGTATGACTACTGCTTCCCAATCTGGTGGCGGATCTTCTAAAGCGGGTGATCAGCACAATGCTGGCTCGTCTGGATCTCAGCAACCTTATGAACGCTCCCCATGGGACGGCCTCGACCGTCGTGCGCAGCCGAGTTGCATCCCCGCACTGATTGAGCATTGTCCCGAAATTTTGCCCAGTTTCAGTCGCCTGGGAGCGGAGCAGAGGCAACTGGTGAAAGCTTGCATCGCTGTGGATTTTTGGAACCTGAAAGAGTTCTTATCAGGAGAGGATACCTTGGCCAACTTCCTAGCATTCAAAGAGACCCTTTTGTGTGAAGGTTTGGGCTTGGGCGACATTGGAGGAGGAAACCATAGTGGTGAGCGAAATAGCAACAATATCGGAGTTCATAGTGCCTCTACCACTGGGGCAGTACCATCGTCGAGTATGCCACAACGCCACGGTGGTTCCGTCATGTCCAGCATATTTGGCGCAGCGAGTACGGCTAGTAGACAATCAGGTGCCGCGTTTGGAGGTCAGCGAAGTAGCTCTCCTTGGGGTCATGCAGGGAGCTCAGCTTCGTCAAACCTCGACAACACTGATCCTGATGAGCGCGTTATTATCACCGACGCCCAGAGTGGCCGTGCTGCGAGAAAAGTTTTAGCCTTCTATCTTGTGACAGTGTTTGCGGATTTGTCGGGATTTTCGGGACCTACGACTTTGGAAGGGAGTAAGAGCATGACGGAAACAGTGTTTAAACAGTTTGCGCGCGCAGTGCAGAGTCTCCAGCCTTTGACGACCAGCTCGGCGCGCGACACAATGGGAGTGTTTTTGCTGCGGAGTACCTTGGAAGCGCGTTTGGGCTGTGTAAAGGATTTCGCAGAGCGACTCTGGAATCGGACAGAAAAGCAAGCAGCGTCCTCGTCTTCAGCTAGTGTGCCGTTGATGCAACAAAATGGGGATGGGTCTTTGATCGCTGGAGGCAATCTGACGGCTTGTTTAGGGAATGAACAAGCGACGCCGCTGTTCGTTTCCCATACTTTACTGTCTGCTGCCGACGCAGGTGGCAAAGAGGGCGGTGGAGGAGGTAAAATTAAGGGTTCCGAAAGAAAGGGTGCAGCAATCAATGCCGATGATGAAGGCAATCCAGTTTTGAGTAACAAAGAGTTGGCGGAGAATCGAGCGATTGCGAGATTAGCGCTTGGTGTTTCATCAGGTGCGTTTGCTGGTGGACCTAAAGTATTGGACGACAGTAATAGGGAAGATCTCAATCTACTAAATGAGCCAAAGAACAATACTAGTGAAGATACAGCAGAGAAAAGAGGTCCAAACACCTCGTTCCATCAACAACTCGAAACAGCATTTTACCACGAGCTCAGTGCCGAAGAGCGGGCAGCCCTTTCGCGATATCTGACAAAGGATTTGGAGAGTGGTGGTGGTGGTGCCGCAGATCGTTCCGCACAGATCAAGGGCGTACGGCTTGCAGGCTTTCTTCGTCACGCAGCTGCGAATGAGAAGAGCGTGGGACTGGCGAGGGCTTTGCGCTTACTCAGACGCGTCTATGAAGGCGTGGAATCAAGATGGGTGTACAGCTCAGTGCAACAAATCATTGTAGATTTTTCGGACTTAGCCGTCCGCAATCGTACGTGCCGCAGTGCGTTCCTCTACGAACAGAGCACCTTCTTTCAGATTGCCAAATTAGACTGTGGAGGCAGTGCGGGTGTGGGAGATCATAGCACTCACGGAAGTGGAGGACAGCTAGGTAATGGTGGTCGTAGTTTTGGAGGCAAGTCGAGAGCAGAGCTGTTGCGCAGTGCAGCACCGCACGCCAATGTTGGCGTCGCTGTGGCTCGTCTTTCACCATGGCGACTGTATGAGGAAACAAGTACGCAGGAAACCGGTCGTGCGGCAGCAGCGTTTTGCGGCTTTTTGCTGGAGGCACAGCAAGGAGTGGGTGGTCCGCAGGGTGCTGATCCGAACATGGCAGGCCAAGAGACTACTGGGCAGCAGGAAGCAGAGCAAATGCCAGATTCACCTTCTGGGGGACAACAAGAACAAGGAGGTGCTCGTAAATTCGGATATCCAACAGCAGGTGTAGGGGCCCCATCATCTGGCTACGGGCGTTCTCTCGCCAGTATTGGTCCCTCACCTGGTCAACAAGGTCGTAGACCCTCATTTTTCGAAGCAGCAGCATCGCCCGAACCACCCGGAGCTAAAGGCGAGACTTGTCAACCTCTGACTAGTGAAGAATTCCTAGAGTGTCTCCGCGCAGCATACCCAGAGCTCTCCTACTACGCCCACAACAATCCTTCGGAGACGTTCGAGGTTCTGAGAATGTGTCTCGCACTTTTTTACCTGATAAATGACGACTACGCAGCTTTCACCGGTGTTGGATCTATGACGGATTCAAATGGAGGTATGGAAGAGGGCGGGGAGGAACAAGGAACTCAACAGCAGTCCTTCATTTCTGAGGCCTCTTGGTCAGCTATGCAACAATTTGCGGAACCTGGCTTAGCCGACGCAGAAACTCTAGATGCTCTCTTCGTCACGCTAATCATTTCCCGCCTAAACGCAGTCAAAAATCTCCGCACAGATGTCTTCGCGCGTGCCTTCGGTCGTGGGATGCCCGTGACGTCTAGCAACATTTTAGAATTGCTTACAAGAGCAGGACATTCATCATCAACTTCAGGACCAGGAGACGAGAAAACTTCAGGAGATGCAGAGGAGGCTAACCAACTGCTGCTCCTATTGCCTTCGTTCTACCGTTTAGACGCACGAAAGCGTGACTTGGTGAGGATGGCGCTCTGTTGTCGTCGCTTTCACTTCGATCAGTTCGTGAACGCCGAAGCCGTGAGTGACTGTCTCACTGAGGTCGCCGACTTCGCGAATGACAGAACCGCTACCTCCAGTACTGGCGTCGGAAGTTCAGGGCATGAGAACACGATGAACGGACAAGATGTTGGCCAGGAACGACTCGCTTTTTTCCTCGCGGTTTTGATGTTGCAACAATGTGCTGGCGCACCGGCGTCTTGGAACAATGTGCATCGCGGTTACAACACGGATGGCCAAAAGATGACGAAGAATAGAAGTACAAGAGGAGGACCACACCAACATAGCTCTGGTACTGGCAGTCTAGACTCGCGTCTCTCGCACTTTGGTGGCGGATCTCAACATGCATCCTGCGACCCGGCAGACGTTCGGTGGCAAAAAGTGGGGTCGATTTCTACTCACTTCCAAGACACTCTCAATAGTGATCAGCTGCGAAGAATGTCTGGGGACAGCGGAGCAGGTGGACTGCGTAGTGCCTCGAGTATGGACAACAACTCATCTTCGATGAATAGTACTAGATTGGACTCGAAAAACCTAGTTGTCGGAGCACGAGCAACAATCGACAGCAAAGGTGTAGTTGGGCATCAAAAGTGTGGACGAAAAGGTGAGGATCACTCTTCGGTCATAGGGAGTATCAAGAGCTCTGCTAGATCGGTGAACACGACTGGATTTCCTGCTGCATCCTTCTCGGATCAAGTACAACAAATGTCGCCTTTTGCCATTGGTCTCACAGAAGCGAATTTCACCATTGTTCACACGGCGTTGGACGTGCTAAGCGAGTTCGCTAGTGGCAACGAGGACGCCGACTCGGTCTACTACGGTTATTTATCGAGGAGAGCAGCAGCTTGTTTCCAGGAAGATTTCTCAGTCCCGATGGTGAGACTCGCTTGCATCGCCAAATGCGCAGATGATTTGGCTTCTGCAGATGCTCTCCGTTTGGCTGTTTCTCAGCAAATGTTGGTCGACCCCTACGGCTGGGAACGGCTTGAGGCGGCGCTGTCGAGACTAGTTTCGTCTAGAAGAGGTTTGCGGCGGCAAGGAGGAGGATCTGCTAGAGGTCATGCTTTTCACAGTACTGGAGGTTTTCGTGACCACGGTGCTGGCAGTTACGACGAGAGCTCCACTAGTACCAAGGGTTCGCGACCGTCAGGCATGTGGTTTGAGACCGGTGGAGGTAGTGGGATAATGGAAGGTCAGCAAGAACGCGAAGAGTCGTCATGGGATTCGAGGCCAGCGCCCATGGTGCACACCAGAACAACAATCGGAGAGCCGGAAGATGATCTAAGCATGTTTGAAGATCATGGCCACGCAGGAGATCGAAATTTCACGATATTAAGGGTGGGTTTCCGAGTTGCATCCTGCAATAGCGTCCCTGACTCTTTTCCCACTAAGAAAGAAGTCAGGGGTGTTCTTGGGAATGCAATAGCGCAACCTCTAACGAGAGACGACTGCACCTTTGTGCTGAGTCATGCACAGAAATTCTTCGAATGTGCGCAAAGGAATCCGAGAGTAGGTTTGCCTGCAGCGATTCGAATGCTTTCCAAGGTCTATGAGGCAACGGCGTCTATTGACGTGAACACTAACAGAAACATGACATCATCTTCTTCTAGAGCAGCAAGTACGGCATCAGGCTTCCTTGGGGGAGGAACAGCTTCTTCAAGAAGTAGCGGCCATAATTTGTTCCCGGCAACACCAGGTTTGAACTCACCTTGGACGTATGTGTTGAATTTCCTCGATCTCGCAAATTTTGCGAAGAATTACACCAGCACAGTTGCCTTCGACCTGATTGGATTGGATTTGTTGCCAATCATCCCGACAACGGAATTGTCGGATGCACCAAGAGCCTACTTAGTGAGTGCGAGACCGTGGGTGCCAGTCCGAGACAAGGAAACTTTGCAGAAATTGACTACACAGGCAAGGGCCATGACCACTAGAATTGTTTCCCAGAGACTCTCGGAGCAAGAATTTCTGATGGAGATCAAGCAGAAATTACCGGAGTTGAACTATTTTCGAGGGTATGAGGCTTCGACTGACAAGTCCGGCGGGAAGCAATTTTTCGTTTCACAAGCACAATACGACGACTATGGGGGGATCGAGACGGATTTTGCTGCTGTTGATGGACTAGATCGTGGTAGTGGAGGTGGAAGCAACAAAGTAGGTGGAGGTGGAAGCGATGGAGGTAATTCGAGCAGCATGGCGAGTAATATAGGATCTGCTGTCACGGCGGCTGCTCCACTGAGCAGTACGATGATAGGACATCAACCTTCCTCCACGAATACAACTACTACTGGTGGTCCATCCAATAACTCGAACAGTAGCACTACCTTGTGGGACATTTCGAGGTCTCCTAAACAAATCTTGCGCCACACTTTAAGTGCCATTCTCACGGCTTTTTTCGTAGCTTCGGATAATTTCTTCCAGTTCGGCAAGCTGCCTCAGACAGTACACGGAAGTAAAGCGGATCGACTGGCGGCAAAGAATGATGTCTTGTTAAGGTATAGAAGACCAGTTCTAGATCTAGAAAGGTGGTACAAATCTTCCGTTTGGTGGATCCAACACCCCTTTTGCTTGCTCTAACTTCCAGCGTCATCTCCTGGCAAGAAGTGATGTCATGGTCAGCCTGCGATGTTGGTTTGCGTAACCCTGAAGTCCTAGATGCAGTCCTGGTTTATCTAGCGATACACGAATTGGGCAAACTGCACTACTTTCGACAAGATCTAGGTGGGGCGAGTGGTTCGAAGGAAAATCAGTTGGAACCGAGTGCGGTTTTGGCGCATGTTATGGCGACGAATCCAGCCGTTCTGCCGAGTTACGCACGACTCCCAAGACATTGGCGCATTGTCTTGCACGCGATGGTTCGCATGCGGTTCCGGTTTAACCAGTTTCTGCAAGGTGAGTGCTTACCAGCTAGCTTTGACCAATTGCGGGGCTTCTTGCAGTTGCTGCATTCGTTTGTGGTGCACCAAGACGTCGGAGATGCGGATCATGGTAGTGCTGGTTCTAGGAATGGTCGCCCCGGGGCTGGAGTTGTAGGTGCCGCAGGTGGTACGGCAGACACATCTACAGCCTTTGAGGGAATTTTTCCCTGTGACGCTTGTCAGTTTTACCTCTTCACCTGCTTCGCCGACTTAGGACATGTGATGAATGAAACACAGTACCGCAATTTTCGTTCAGGGATGCGTGCGTTGCAGTACTTTCTGAGTTCGCCTTCGGTCATCAGCTCCTTGTCGAATCCCTACTACGGGATGTCACCAGATCATTATCACAAGAACATGATTGGAGCGGCAGAAGGTCTCAATTCGGATCTCCATCTTCATGGAGGTGGTAACAAAGTAGACAATCTAGACCCCACGTTCCAGGATTTGGGTGCTGGCACAGAGGAGGACGACGAGGCGGACAACATGTTTGGCATCTCTTCTTAAGGCCAGTCAATCAGTATCTTGCTGAGTGTATCCCCTTCAGGTGGAGGACCTGAAGCCACTAGACCCGGGATAGTGATTGACTGCCTTGTTTAATCTTCGCAACGCTTGTGCAAGAAAATCAGTGCTCGTGGGTTCGGTAAGAAGTACATGAGCGAAAGGTCAGATTTGACGTCGTGTGCTACGCCTGTGGACCGCTGTATATCGACGTCGACCCGCGGGTTGGAGAGTGACGACGGAGTTGGGATCACCCATATGTCAACGACCATGGAAGCTGCAGTGGCTTCAGCGCAAGCGGAAAACGCGAATCAGATGATGTCGAAGCTAAAAAGTCAACAAGAACCGAGTGCATCTTCAAAAGCTGGCATGGGCGTCGGAAAGGAGACCACTTCAAGTAGGGGACAACAAGAAGATAGGAGTTCTAAAAAGCAGCAAACCACTGGAACTACAGGCCATAAAAGTAGTACCACGTCATATGAAGTAGCGAGTAGCATGATCACGACGTATGACATCTTTTTGCACTCAAGAAGTGCGCTCTGCTTGGCAGAGTTGTCTTCAGCCACTGAGCGCGCTGTTATTCGTCTCTGCTGCAATGCGCGCGTCTTCGATTTCGAAGGCGGTAAGAAAGTGCAGCAAGCGTTCAACGGGTTGTTCCTAGACGAGCAAGAACGGTTTGTGAAGTACCTGAATGCAGATGGCATCAACGATCGTCCTGGGTTTCTCCTTTACCTTAAGGGTTCTTGAAGAGGCATTTCATATTCATTTTTATCTTGAGATGTTGATGAACAAATGAATTGTCTCACTTTCTTCAACAACGCCTACTCTAAGTACCATCTGCCGAACTTCTTTGAGGCAGCAGCAGTTGTGAACCCGGAGAATGTAGGATTTGAACGCGCTCTGCGTTTGATCTTAGAGATCTACGACACTGCTCGAGCAGACTTCCATGACAGCCTGGAGGCGATAGTGTACATTCACTTGGGAGAGATCGCAGCGTGGGCGTTTGGGTGCCCAAGTCCTCTAGCGTTTGAGGCTACGCAGTTCTTTCTGGAGAAGGTCAATGACACAGAAGTTGTAGTGAAATTTGATCTGGATTTTACGGAGAGGATGCACGAACTGCGAAGGCAAAAGAAGGGCGTGCCGAACATGAGCATCGTTCTCCAAGACTGTGATTTCAGCGCGTGTTGTCGGGAAACCAGTGCGAAGGAAGGTCTTTCCAGCGCTAAGGAAGGTTCTAGTTCGCCTAGTGGAAAGAAAAATACGAATAGTGCTACTGGTTCTCCATCTCCAGATAAGAACGATACGAAAGTACTAGAGAAAGGAGCTACGCGCGAAGTAACTGCTGGCACTTCTTCTGGATTGAAACAATATTTGGATGAAGAATTCAACAAAACTTCCGCCTCAGAACAACAGCAACGAGCTACCGTGACAAAAGAGCGCAAAACTACGGGCGAACAACAATTGGCTCGTCAGTCCACTGTCTTAATGCCAGTCGCCACGTCGTCTTCGTGGTCGAATGCAGTGAAGAAAGTAGCCAGTCTGAGGACAGATCCAGCCAGAAGAGAGTTTGCACGGAACTTTTCTGCTTACGTTCGACGGATTCAGGATTTGAGAGGTTTGCACGTGACAACCTCCTGCTACGAAATGTGGAAGCAAAGTGGATTCAGGAATCGAGCAGCGAAGGTTATTCCAGCACTGTCGTACACCAGTCGATACTGCGTCTTTTTCTTTGACGACAACTTGGAAATTCCAGATGCGAGGTTCGCGCCGTCGCGTGACTCTGCGACAAGTGTTGATGCAGCTGGTACAACGAGAACATCTACAGGACACCAACAGAACCGAACGTCGAAGTCCAGCAGTGGTGGATCCTTTTTGCCTAGTGCGTCGGACCAGTATGGGATATTGAATTTGCGTGATTTGTCTGGGCGTTTCATCGATTTCTCCGTGGGCAAGAACGGTTTCGAATGGGTCACAGAGGCGGATCAGGGCTACAACTCGCAGATTGTTTACTCCAGAGAGTACAATGTTGTGCTGTGCAAGGTGTGCATTTTGGATGCGATGGTGGACGACCAATTTTTCACGAAGATAATCGAGCGTTTTTCGCGACCGTTGGAACGAAGTTTGATTTTCATGGATGTGAACAGTACCATCGTGTTTGGCGACTTGATGAGCGGAAAAGATCCGGACTTCGTTTTGCTGTCTACGCTCTTCGAAGCCATCGTGCTGACACCGAAGCAGGACTTCGTTTTTGATGTGGAAGGCCAGCTTTTTGCTCCAGTAGAAAGCAAGACCAAAGAAGCAGAGAAGGAGAATTCTTCCTCCTCTTCTCCGATGAAGGAGAAAGTCGATGAAGCAAGCATCACCAAACGATCCGCCACTGGTTTGGAGGCAGGCTTCGTTCAGAATTTGCAGTCCTCTGCCGGTTCAGCCGCGCTGAAGCGTGGCCAAGAAGTGTCTTTGAAGCAATTCGTGAAGCGGTTTCTGTCACGCGACGCTTATCGAGCTTTTTGGTATCCGAAGAATTGTCGCCGCTTACTAGAATACTGCCTTGTCAAAGGCCAAGTCCGCATCTACGGCAAGTTGATTTAAGGGTACACCTTTAAGTTGCTTTTCTTACCGCTTTTTATGCCTCTCTCCCATCCTAATGGGGAGAGACGAGAAAGGCATAACTACAAGCGGGGTAAGCGAACCCGCGAGCACCAAAAATAACCTACCTCTAATTCATGTCCAAAATCGGAGACTTCGACTTGATGTACTTCGAGTACCAGTCGATGCTGGAGCGCACGAAAGGTGGCATCGTCCGCTCTTGGTTCGAGTTGTATCGTAAATACGCGGCAAGAAATCTGATCATGATCAACACGTTTGGCGTGGATAGTCGGAAAGTAATTCATGAGACGGTGCAGTCGGAAAGCGATGTACAAATGTTCGCGGCAAACTACGACAGTTGGTCGGATAGGGACAGAAGGAAATTCGGAGAGCAATACACTGTGGAAGTCCGTAAACTGCACGCTGCGGAATTGCACCCAGACGCGACGTCGCACCATATGAAAGGCATTTATTCGACGTTGAAAGAACAACAGGCGACGTCAGGAACGACGTCCCCAGGGAGAGCGCGAAATGCAGCAACTTCAGCAGCAGGAGCAGCTGAGCCCCATCAAGAGAGGCGGCAACGAAACAACGACTTGCTTCCTCCTCACACAGCGACCACTGCGTCAGGAGATATAGGCATGAAAAGTGTCACTTTCAAGGATCAATTTTATCGTAAAAATCGGTCTCCAAGACGACGGGAGAGTTTTGAGGAAATCGATATCCCTCCTTCTTTCCTCACGTGTAGTCGTGTCTCTGCCTATCGAATCGAGGTGCGATTCGACTATCGTAGGTGGGTGACCGGCTTCGTGCACAAACTGAATGTGGAATTAGGTGTGCCAGCAGAACAAGCGAATGGAGGACCAGCATCTTCGAGTTCAGCGAAGAAAGAAGATCAAGTAGATTCTACTAGTTGCAAGAGTTCCAGAGACACGGAGGTGTATGCGGGAGCACCAGATCAGACCGAGGAACATCATCAAGACACCTCCGCAGCTTCTTCCTTCTTCGACAGAGCTACTTTGTCCTCAATACTAAAAGATGCGAAGGAGGCATATTTGTCATCTAGGCATACGTATAAGCCAAAAAAGCGAAAATCTACTACAACTTCTTCACAAGGAGCTAGGTCTCGAGAGTCGCGGAGTAGCATAGGCAGTCCCAGTGTGCGTGCAGAAGATGGGCAAGTATCGCCTTCGCAAAGGAGTGTCGAAGTGCAGGCTAACGGCATACAAGATACCCCTGCAGGAGGTGCTTTTCCTTCTTCTCCTTCTACTTCTCCCTTCCAAACTACAGGTTCTACTTCTAGCCCCGGAAGACCTCTTGTCCCCGATACAACTACTAGTGCGGAACACCCTCAGCAACAAGCACGAATGGCAAATTTCATGTCGCAAGTAGTAAGGGCAAGAGAAGAAGCCGATTTAACGTCCCAAATCAGAGAATTAGAATTGAGATTGGACGCCGCAAGACGTGAACAGAGTAGTCGACAAAGAGAAAACGCGCTTTCTGATGAGGTAGAGAGGCTGAGGCGAGAGCTGCAAACAACGAGGAATTATGTTGCGAACATGAGTCCGCGGGGACACGAGATGGTGGAATTGGGTGGTGTGTCTCCTCTGCGTGGTGATGAAGCAAGCGCGTTCTCACCTAGGTCGGGATGAAGTCTGATGTCGTAGTTTACAGAAAGACTATAGCAGTATCATTCTCTATTTGCTTTTGATAGACAGACTGTGAACAGACAAGAATCAGCTACTTAGAAATAGCTAGAAGAACATGATAGACATTTCATTCTTAGCATGAACGTAACAGTGTGATCTTATAGATACCAGAATCTCTAGTCGTTTGGTTCAAAACTTCAAGCTGCAATGATTTCTTACTTGCTGCTCATGGGTAAAGAAAATGGCACTAGTAGTGCTAGTTGCAAGTGTGGTTGCAACGCTGGTTGCAGTTGGGCTTTGGAACATGGGCGTTCATATTTTTCAAGATGAAGATTCATGCTATTAGAAAGCGTATTGAAGCGACTGTCTTAAGTTTTTTGTATAAGATTGTCACTCGCACTTAACATTTACAATGTTCTCACTAGTAGTAGATTCGTACTTACAAGGTTGTATCTAGTAGATTCATATGCAAAAGTTTTTTCAAAAATGAAGTTTCTATAGAGTGAGGTGACAACAGATGGATCTGAACTCATTTTTCTTATGGTCTAGTACCAACAACATGTGTTGTCCTTATCGTGCTCTTTATTTATTTTTCATTCAGGAGAAGGAGTTTTTGTTTCGTTTTTCTGGCATTGTAGGAGCATTGTCTGAGACGCCAGGACGATCTTCCGAACGCGCGTTGCAGTGGACACCATTATGCAATGTTATGGGCACCATGGTGATGCAGCGGACGTCGGTCGTGGAGAGACGGTATCACTAGAGCGGGATGACTAGAGCGTGAAAGAGTACGGAAAAGATGAGCCATGGGAGTTGTCTACTACAAGAGAATGAGAGAGGAGGTGACAGTGATGTGAGGAATTGTAGAGTTGTAGTTGTACGAGAGAAAGAATCTTCGTGAGGCAGAGATGGAGTTAGTAGCAGGGGTAGAGTTACGAAGATGCTGGCGAAATAAAAAGGTTTGCGGCTTCAACAACACATATTTGTTTGTCAAGATGAAGCGTCACATCAAGATGAAGTGATCAAAAATGAGGCGTTTCACCTCCAGTGCTTGCCTTAAGCACGCGTTCATCTTGTGGTCTGCTGTCGTACTAGCGGACGACCATCTTCCGGAACGACCTGTGGGTGTGCCAGTCGTGTTCCCTCTGAAACACCAAAGTGATGGACATGGCGCTTCTGGAGACAGCTATTATGGTGTCTCCGGAGCAGGCAGTAGTTCTTCGAGAAGAAGTAAGCATCACGGTGGTGCGGACCCTCTAGGGGGTGTGGGGCAGCCTATAGCCCGCGACCCCCACTCGTTTCAACGGGGAAACGAGCACTATGAGCACGCGCACACGGCCAGTTGGAAACAGACGCATGACGTCGCTCAACCTGTGGGGATTGCGGAGATCCTTTTACGGAGGTTTCGGTTTGTTTCTAACTTCTAGATTTGAAAGGCGTGGGCATGATCCTGTTTAAGAGCATTCTAGACTCACGTGGACAGTTATTTTTAACGAAAGTCTAGATTTTTTTCCATTTTTGCCACTTCTAATTGCTCCTGCTTCTCCTACCGCACATCGCACTTCAGTCGTAAATCGTTGGGAAGACGTGCGGCTAGGACAGAGGAAAGCCTCACAGGAACAAGGATCATCAACGTCTTTTTCAGAAGCTGGGGCCGAATCGAAGACATCAACAGTAACAACACTAGAAAGAAATAGAGGCTCCTCTGGCAGTTTATCACAACCAGCAACTGAGTCACTGTCACAAGCATCAACCCAGGCTTCATTCCCTGAAGCGACAGGTGTTCCGAAGTTCTATGGAGTGTCTAGTGGAGTGTCTAGTGGTAGTGCTGCTCCCGAGCCGCCCCGCAGGCCACCACCCACGGCCGATGACGACGATGGTCTCACAGTAGCGAAGGAGGCGGGAGATCAAGACAACGCAGTGTCAAAGGAGGCAGTATCGTCAAAGGACTCAGCTGGAGGTGATAGCGCAACAGTATCGTCAAAGGAAACAGCTCTTCCAGCTTACGTAGCAAAACAAGTAGCGGCAACAGTAGCCGCAGCTGGGGAAGCGCAAGGGAGCAGCGTTCAAAACAATAAAGAAGGTGCTGCTGAAGCAACTAGCACAGCTGCTACTATCGCTGCCACAGCTGCTGCATCAGATAACGCTGCTTCATCTGTCTCGCCAGACGACTCTTCATCCAGTAAAAAAGAAGGCGCGGCGTCTTCTACACCAGATGACACTAAGGTAGCAACTCAGGCAGCTGTGGCGTCTTCTACACCAGATGTAGTAGGAGCTCCGGCAGCTGTGGCTAAGTTGAGTAGTAGTACTCTTACAACTGCTAGTGCTAGTGTAGCAACTCCGGCAGCTGTGGCTACAAAACAAACTGCTAGTAATGCTTCATCTGCGGAAACTACTACCGGCGCTATATCAGAGTCAGAAAGTGCAGGTAATAAAGTCGTAAGTAGTGCTGCTCCTGCAGGGGAATCGGAGGGGGTAGTTGGAGGAACATTAAGCAGCAAGGCACAAGGAGACCACAAGCAGGACACAAAATCCATAGCAACAAATGAAGCAGTGAGTGCTGCACAAGGAGACCACAAGCAGGACACAAAATGGATAGAAGCAGTGAGTACCGCATCTTCTGTTGCTGCATCTACTTCGGTAGTTACTGCGTCTCCTACTAGTGCAGTTGCCAATACAGGTTCAGGTGAACGACCATCGGGTAATGCGGAAGATGATACGAAGAAAAAAACATCGTCAGTATCTCAGAGTACTACAGAAACTACGGAGAAGTCGGCAGATCCACCCAGCTCCAAGGCAGCTTCTTCTAGATCGTCCAGTGGCTCATCGAGTGAAGATTCTGGTCCGCCAGCGGCAGTGAAAAAATCTTTTAGCGCAGTAGAGGAGCAGTCTTTGAACAAGTTTGCGTCAAGCACAACGTCTTCAGCATCCGACGATTCTGCCGCAGGACCAGGTGGTGCTCCGAGTACACCTCTCAGCGGACCGTCGCCACCTATTGGTTTGTTCCCAATATCGCCGAGCACCTGTGCGGACGACCCGATTTTCAAGGATGGACTAGGTACTTACTATACGTATGAGATTTGAAGAGACTGTGTTGAGGTCTATTTGTTATGTACCCTGTACTAGGGGAAAAGTTGGCGAGCTTATAATTTTGCTATCACTATCTACTTCGCTGATAGAATCATGTTATTCTTGACAGTTTTAGACACGGATTTCGACATCACGACATGTCCATTCCAGGTTTCAAATGCAAAGAATGGACTATGGAATGGTGTCGAAATCCGTCTCCCTCTTATAGCGAGAAACACATCTCCCTTGTACATCGTCACTGCAAGAAAAAATGTGGATTTTGTCATTCTAAAGTTTGCGAAGACGATGCGTCGTTTCGGGATATGAGAGGTCTTATGCTACTAGACGTACCTCTCCCCACTTGGTGCCACGTGCTCTAATACAAACTTAAACTTTATTAGGCTTAAAGTTTCAAGCACGAATGCATCGACGATATTCCGCTTGAATGAGCTTCATAGCTGTCACCTACATGTTCATACACACCTAGGTTACACCTGCGCCCAGTGGAGTACACACGATTGTAAGGCGGTCTCGCTACCGGGGTATTCTCGCTTTGATATGAGGCAAGTAAGGAGGCATTGTCGGAGAACGTGCAAGTTGTGCGAAGATCCATCTATGTGTCAGGATAGCGAAACTTTTACGGATGAAACTGGTATGACTTTCTTTAGAAGCCTTTAGAGGAATGAAACTGGTATTCTGTTATCAGTACAACTTACGTGTGCATGTGCTGTTTTGAATGTGTTTTTCTGTGCGCTTACCTTCTTTTCTTAGAAACAAACATACTTACAACAAATCCTGTCCGATCACGACTAAAAAAGGTAAAAGATGCGAAGCAGCAGTTGCGAGTTTAGGAGGTCAGTGTGTGGTCGAGTCTGCAACGGAGGACCTACAAGAAAGATTAAGCCAAGTGAGGACCGCCTGTCCAAGAAGCTGCAATCAGTGCGTACTAAATGATGAACAATATGCGTATGCGTTGCTCAGTTACTAAGTGACTTATTTCATCAACGAACAACTCTTTGTGGACGCTCCACGTTTTGGTAAATATCAATATTATGGACGACGATATACTTTTTACCTACTATCCTTACTTTTTCTTCCTAGTTAGCTTGGCTCCACCCATAATATTATGGACCACGATTTTGCGTTGTGCTTGACGCATGAACAATAATTTTCCCAATCATGATCAGGCGACAACCTCAACATTGGCACCTGCGCAACCTGCATCATCTGCGTCTCTAGCAGTAGAAGCAAGCGGCCCCGGAATTTCACTTGGAGAGTATCCTTCATCACATACGAAAAAAAGAAGCCGAACTAGTAGTGGTACAAGTGAAGATGGTGGTAGTACCAGTGGTACAACTACCAATCTCCTAGGAAGTGGAGACTCTCCGGATAAGACAATCTACAAGTCACAGTCAGAAGCTTCAACATCAGGTAGTGGCAAATCGTCGTCTTTGGTGTCCACCTCGGAGGACAGGAGATCTAGTGCAAGTAAAACCCTAGCGGGAGTTCTATCCCCAATAGCAACAGCAGCGCAGGCAGATCCGCTAGCAGAGGATGCACCATTTGCACGGATAGAGAAATTGTTAAGGCAGAGACTCATTATCGTCCCGCTGGTGGTCTAGGAGTACCACTAGGGATGCCAATCAATCAAAATGATTCGAACCACAAGATTAGAGACCAGGAAAGATAAGCAGTAGACTCTTCATCATCATCTAAGTCTCGCCAGCGGCACGAGTCAGGACGTCATCATTGCTCGCGTAGCCAACGATCGGCCGGGTGCAGGGAAGGTGCGTTGTTGCCTTAGCAGACGGAAACTGCGTCTATCTTTCGTAAGCAGTGACGATGGGACTGGATTTTGTGAGCACGTGGGGCAAGGTCGCACTCACTCAACACTGCAGTTTACGAGGACATACAAACAGGACAAGCTGGTGACGGGTATTGTAATTCTTTTATCGCATTATACAATTTTGACGACAACATGTATTTCGAAGTACAATAGTCGCGTTTTTCACACTTTCTTCTACATGGTCAGGGAGTGATTTATAGCGTAGTATAAGTAAACAAATCAACAAAATACCTCCCCCCACAGACCACCTCAATCAATCTTGATCGATTCTCTCCACAGATATGACCTACACCCTGACTTGCTTGCACCTGGCACAAGCCTCGTTCACGTCAGCTGTTGGTGCGTATGGGACTGTCGTTTTTGAGGGCTCTGGAGAATCTGAGTCTACTCCTGCCACTGGATCTCCCGTGGTTTCGTCTTCACCATCTGCCATTACTAGTCTGACATCTTCCTCAGAAGATCTAGAAGCAGGGGTTAGGAGTGGCACTACAAGCACGAAGAACAACTTCTATGACAAGAGAATACAAGACCAACAGAAGGGTTCCGGGAAGCCAAATTTTGAAGTCGGACGTGGTAGCAGCTCACTCGGATGGCTATTCCTCGTAGTGCTTGGCGTTTTCCTGTATGCAGCTTGTTATCGTTATGAAGTTGCTGCTATTACTATCTCAGCAGATACCATGGACAACATACTAGATATCATGGACACCACAACATACAAAGAAAACTACTTCCTCACCGAGTTTGTGATTCTGCAAGGAGAAGCTCAAAATACAGTACATTTAACATGAAAAGCTCACAGCCTCTAACATCTCGGCAACTTGGGACGGTACGTCTTTCACAGGATGGGACTTGCAGATAGTGACGATGAGTTAGAAATGAGGAGATTCCAAGACATAAGAGGCAAATATGAGCCACCCAATATATTCGGGGTGTCGACTTCAAGGTTTGATTAGAGAAGTAGAATGGTGACGTGAAAACAAACACAAGAAACTCAACGTGATGAAAACAGACTCAGACTTTATTCTTGATGAGTCGTGGACCGCTTCAGCTGCGTTCTTTGGAGGTACTGTACTACTGGATGGCCTCACAAGTAGGCACTTATAGCTACACAAGAGGCTGATAAGAATTCCACGTGCGTGTGTTCCTTGGTTATGCTGCTCCTCTGCCGTTCTGGAGGTATGGAAAAAGAAAGGTCTTTTTGCCTGGACTGTCGATCTCGGGTGTTTATCGAAGGTAGGCTTGACGTGCTGCTGATCTGCCACATAGAGTCTTTCCCGATCTCATCCACTGTGATCCCGTAGCACGTTTGATCTTTGTCGTGGCGATCTTGCTGTGGCACCTTGATTGGGGCTTGTGATGGCCCTGTCGGATCCAGTGGTTTTAGCTGGCCAAGGGTCTTTGGCCTTATTCAATCTCGGCACCGGACAACAGGACGTTGCCTTATATTTGATCTGTACTTCTGACGTAACATGTCTCGAAAGCTTAGCTTTCTTAACTGTCTTTGCCTTGGTGCGTTAGGTATAATTGGATTGTAGAAGGACTATACTGCTTATTCATTGTTTCGCTCTCCGTCTTGTCAACCATTCCGGTAGCGCTTTCATCACTTTCTATGTGTGCCTTTGCCAGAGTATTTCCTATCTTTTTAACCTTCAATATCCCAACAACGAACACAGGGATGGTGGTTTCTTATTTTGTGAGCAAGCGCTTCCATAATTTGATGCAACTTACTCTTCAATTTTGGTCCTACGTTTTTAAGATCATATGACAAGTTTGCAATTCCACTTATTACCTTCTTGTTTTGTATTCGAAAAGATTGTGCATAATTATCGATATTTTGTGTCACTGTGGATGTGCTCATAAATGTTTTTTTTGTGTCTATTTGTGAATTTGAGTTTTGATTATATATCATAGTAGCTCCTAGAAGTGGTTCTTATTTTGGTACCGGCATTCTGGGTTCTTTCAAAGGAAGTAAATAGAGACCTCCGCTATTGGCCTAAATCTTTGTTCGCTAGTGATCACCAAAAACACGAGCGCCCAAGATAGAATGCGGTTCCGCATTAGCGCGTACCGCCCTTCGTTGGCAACCCTTTTGCTGTGGTTGTGCTCAACGAGCGTCGTATCAGCTGTCGAGAAAGACGAGACATGCTGTATTTGCCTTGAGTCTATGGCCGGCGCCTCCTGGAAAGGGGCAGATGGAGTACACGGCGAGACAGACTGTAGTTCCAGCACTACGCCTACTCCTTTGTTGTCCAGCGGCCAAGAGAGGAAAAGCTCCCAGCAGACTTCTACAACAACTCTCGTCCCTCGCACACGGAGAGGCCTAGACGTATTCACCGATGGGCATATGCGATGTCCTTGCACTGGCGTGTCTACGCTATTGCCCTGTGGCCATCGATTGCACACTAGATGTTTGGATGTTATGAAAATCGAATTTTTATTCAAAATTTGGAAGGAATGTCAGCCTTCCGTTATCCAAAACAAGTTTCTCCAACAAACTAGTGTGATTCAAAAACCTTGAAAGCTATTTGTTGTTCTTATAATTCTATCAAGGGCTTCTACGAAGGGAGAACTTGATTCATGTACACCCTTAAATTCTAAGTACAAACTAGCCGTCGGCGAGCGTGACGAATACCGTCGGATACGGGCTCGAGATTGGCTCCAGCATTATGAGTGGCGAGGAAACGCGCACGTCTGGTGTCCTCTGTGTCGCGCTGAGGTCGACTGGAATATCCAGAAAGAACCTGCGATTCGCTTCATTGAAGAGTACCTTCATCGGCAGGATCGATCGTATTATCTGTCGAAGAGCCGACTGGAGATTGCCAAGAAAAAGGCAGCACAAGGAGCGGCCAAGAACGCGGAAGCGCGACGGAAGTCAGCTCCTTCTAGGGAGCAACTTCTAGTACAGGAAAAGCGTCGAAAGCTCGAAGCTACAAATACAGGAGATCATGCAGGAACAACTGAACTGCCGAAGAAAAGAAAGATATTAGCCTCAACTGCAAAGCATCCTCCTGCGACGTCTTCCTCGGCTTCGTCCTCTTCAGGTTCAGGCTCTTCTTCGTCTTCATCATCATCTTCAGGCGTCGCTGCGTCGTCAGCTGCTTCGTCAGCGGCTTCGGTAATGGCACCAACAGCCGGAAAGTCTACGGCAAAGACAAGCACTGCAGCTCGTGTCAATAGCAACGTCAACACTTCTACTACAGATGCTCTAGGTCCTCCGCCCTCTTCTAGTATTATGGGTGTAGGGAATTCATCTCCAGAGTCATCTGGAAGAGAAAGACAAGAGGAGAAAGGGACCCAGATGATCCCTGAGATGAATTCCCGATACCTCTAATAGTAGTACTGCTGCAATAAATGAGACGGCAGCTGTGACGTGGATTGATGAGAGCAGTAGCAACTGTTCCTCCTCGAGTAGCAGTTCTTCAAATTCTTCATCGAACTCTTCCTCGAACTCGTCCTCCAGTGATAGTAACGGTACTATGCAGAGCACTTCTCAGCGGCCTCGTGTTGATGTAAATGATGGAGATGCTGGAGCGGTTCTTGTGGGGGCTCCTGGTTCTAAGAATCACGCAAGCCTTCCACAAGAAGAGGAAAGGAGCATGCGAGAGCGTCTTGTAGCGCAAGGTGGCGCGCCAGTGATCGCTTCGAATGAGGCCGATAACGACGACGAAGGAGAAGAAACAGCTGGGGTTGATGTTATGACACCATAAGTACTTAGATGAAGCTAAGTCTCTCTTTCTTAGTAAGTTAGGTCCCTAAAGTTTTCAAGAGAGAGAAGGAGAGAAGAGAAACCTAAAGTTTTCAAGTCAGAAAGTATTGAACTGACTTGTAAAGGTTCATGTAGTTACGGCGACCGCTTCTCGTCTTGGCGCCATCTCTAACAAAACCTCAAGCCGCCAATTACTCACGATTCCTCCGACCCAAAAAGAGCTCGAAGCTGATAGTACGGTGACAGGCAGAAGTATGTTTATCGATAACCTCTGGCGCCTGACTGCCGACATGTTTTCGTCTGACACGGAGTACCTAAACGTCATTGGCCGTGCCATTGTAGGAAGTGCAGAGTGGGATGCAGAAATGGAATACACAGGTTGTGGTGGAGAGGAGGAAGATCAAATGGTGGTGGAACAAGATGAAGCTACTACTTCTTCTTCTGTGGAACAAGACAAAAGCAAGTACGGCAAGGGTTCAGGAGTGCAGAAGAAGGTTCTACTGTTGCGCGCGTCTGCTTCTGCGGAACGTAGGAGCAGTACCCTAGAAGGCGAGGATGGAAGCAGAGATGCCACAGCTCGAGGTGAGTCTCCGTTGACATCATTTAATCGCAGGAACCGAGGAGACTACAGGAACCGAGGAGATGAACAAGTAGGCTCAGAGGTTTTAGAGGAAGCCACAGGCTCAGAGGTTTTATCGTTGAAAAGAAAGCAGATGAACTATGTTGTTGAAGGTGGACCTACCACAGGAGATGCTAGAAAAAAAGTGCGAACCAGTGCGACGCGTAGACCAGTGGTGGTTACGTCACAACTTTGTCACTTTTCATCTAAGCGGGTCTACCAGATAGATTATCATAGTTTTTCCTTACTACAAGATGCAACAACGTACTCTAGTGTAGACTACTAGAGACCTAAGGTTCTAATAATGACTTGATTTCACGACCGTGTAAGAGACCCTGGGCCATCAGTGCGTTTGGGGAAGTGGAGCACGGAGCTTTTTACAATAATCCTTGGTTTTTTCGCGAGTTAGCAGTTCGGTGTCCACAAGCCTTCACTCTCTCGCGCAAACTCCGCGAACGCTTTCTGCGAAACTTTAAGGCTTTGGCTTGATGGACTTTGTTTTGAAAGAATTGGTTTGTTCAAAGTTGAAATGATATAGATGCTGATGTCGGACTTAGTTGTTGTTGTAATGCAGCTGAGTACTTCAAGTATACTTGTTCTCGCTTAGCACTAGAAGTTAGTGTAATCCGTGAAGATGTAACATAGAGATTCTGACTCTAATTTCTTTGCGGGGAGCGAAAGCAGGCGTCCTTCAAGTACCAACGTGCAGACAGGTGGTAGTGCAGGGTCTTCCACCGATGCGCCCAGGCCGCGGGGAAGCGCAGGGTCTTCCAGTAATAGTGCATCCTTGCAGAGGGACAGTGCAGGAGGTAGCGGATCTGCCCCAGGTAGAAACTAAAGTAGAAGAAAATATGTGAGGTCTGTAACTGCTGTATGCAAAGGGGTCTCTCTAGAAAATGGCGCAGCAGGACCACTGTGGCCTATTCGGCGCACCTCTTCCCGGCCAAGGCTGTCCGTCTGTTTCTAGACGCGCGCAAGAAGTTCAGCGCCCTCCTGATAGTTCAAAGGAAAGCCCTGCGCGCGGAGGAGATACCGAATAAGAGACGCCCGCGGGCCATGACTGGCCTGCGGGGTCTTCCCACCGAGGGCGACCGGGGCCATGACGTTGGGACCCGGCGCCGAATGCGATACGGGTGCCGGGCTTCGGGCCGAACTCGTGCGGAGAGTAGGCCCTTCCGTTGAGGGCTTCTGCTCGATCATTCGGCAGCCATTGGCTAATCTTATTACCGGCCATCCACTCCGCGGGAAGGCAGTCGTGGGCAAGATTCTGGCAGATGCTAGGAGAAAAGACGCCGTGGCCTTGGCGAATGCCTTCCAGCTGGCGGCCGTTCGTGTGGATTATCAAGGCGGCGAGCTTCCAAGTGTCCAGCAGTGCGATGCGTATCATATGGATGCGGTCGGGAACTGTACCAAAGTGCACGCCTGCGAATTCTGGGGGCTGCCGTTGCCTCCTGGCGCGGTTGGCACTATCATCGCCGCCGGCCCCGCTGGGAATTTGTTGACCCGCCTCGCTGTCTCTCATGTTCTCCGCCATTCGTGGCAAAGCATCGCCGAAGGGCGCCACAGGACGCAGCGGGCTGGCTCAGTTTGTGCGTGGAAGTTGGCCCCTGGGAGTTTGTCTTGCGTGATTATCTAGGCGCCACGGCTTACCGGGTGCCTGCGGGTGGGGTTCGTTTACTTTCGCGGAGATTTTGGCGAAGACTTCGCGGCGATCATGCTACGAGCACAGTCAGCCCGCGGAGGGGGAGGGTGGGGACCATGGCGGCAGAAACCGCGCCCACCGGTTTGCGGCTGGGTGGCCTGGCGTAAAGCAGGCGCCGACGTTAAGGCGGAGGCGGCGGCTTTCGGGCGGGTCCCTTTCGTCAGTCGCGGCACTTAGTGAGCCACCAACCTGGTGGCGGAAAGTGGAGCCGCAACGGAAAGCACTACTGGCCACGCGTTGAGGGATTGAACCACGAGGAGAAAACGGGGGCGGTGTGCGATTGTGCCGCCATGATTGAAATCGCGCCCACTTACTGGCTGCCCAGTGAAGTTGTGCGCGCGGGGTTGGAGACGGTTCTGAATGATTTGGGGCCACCTCTACAAAGTTGGCGCAAATTTCCCGAGCAGGAAGCCACGACGATGGCGGCCCGGGTCGTAATGATGGACGCCAGTTGCCACGCGGGTGCTTGCAGGCGCCGGCGGTCGAAGGCGGAGGCGGCGGGCGTAAAGCAAAGCCGCTGGCGCAGGGGAGGGCGGTGCGCCCCGATGTCACCCAGGGCCCTCGCGTGCTTGTCAGTAGTTGCGGCTTCGGATAGTTAGCGGCCCCACCTTTTCACAAGAGCGCTCACACCAATCCACGCCAAGAGACAGAAAGCAACGGCGAAGGCACTACGCTACGAAGCGTGGGGGGGTGTCCGTTTGATTGGTCGCAGCCGTTCGCATGGTGTCGACTCTATTGGATACCGCGAAGCGGTCCAGCATGCAGAACGCTACGCAGAAGCTCTTGGCCTGCGTTCTCTTTCATAGATATGGACGACAAAGAAGGAGAAACACCGAAAGAGCTTCATAAAGCTCCCGCCTCGGTTTTCTTGCTCTAACTCTTCGGTCATGAATTTGATCGACAGGCCTCGGCGATGGGATGGCATCCCGCCGCACTTGCTTGCTTGGTTCGTTTGTTGCATCATTTTCACCGTGGCCACTACCACCATCCCCGTCACCCCCGTCCACCTTTCTGAAAGCAGTGCGCTAAATTTTGTAACCCGTGGCTCTTGACGTATTATTAATTATTAAAAAAAGAGAAAGTAGAGAATGGGAGCAAATCATGGCTCTCAAACTAACATCGATCACAGCTGCTCCCGCGATAGCACGAGGCGTCTTGGCTGGCCCTAGCGCGTGGGTGCTTGCGGCCAGTTGTTTTGCACAGGAATATCAACAAATTGGGGATATTTTGCGGAAGCATATCGAGAGTGGGGCCTTGGATATACGGCCACCACAGGCAACGTTCTCTACATCGGTGGAGACGGCCGCTATGCGTCAAGCGACGGCATCTTCTACTTCTTCTAGCAGTACTGCAACTAACACTCCTGGTCCTGCAGTTCCGCTTCACCGTAACAATTATAGAAGTGCAAGTTCTTTAACTTTATCAACGACAGCGTCACCCTCCTCAGCTAGGACAACAACTTCAGGAGGTGGTATTTCAACATCCTCACCACGTCGGTCACCACGTAGTTTCCCTGCTGCTCGTCCGGATAGTACAACAAGTCATCTGGCGCATAACATAGTAGAACAACAGCACGCAGTGTCACCTAGAACTTCTTCTACTCTGGTAACAAGTAGAAGTCGTTACCCCGTCCCTCTTCCTCCTGGACCAGGCCATCCAGGTGCTCCAGTTCCTCCAGGAGGCGTTGCTACAACAGGTGGTCTTCCTGGACCAGGCCATCCAGGTGCTCCAGGACCTTCTTTGCCTGCAAACGGAGGAGGAAGAGCTGTGACTCCAGGTTCTGATGGAGGTCGTGGTGGGAATCGTGTGAGAGCTTCATCTGGAGTAGATGGCGCAGAACTACGGGAACGAGAGCCTACCGCTTCTCGGCACTTTGCTAAGAGTGGAGCGGCAATGGCTCCGTTTCGAAGCACGAATTTCTATGAGCATCTTCTACACCAGCAAGTAGTGCAGCAAGGACAACCCCAAGGATTACAGCCTGAAAGCTTTTCCGCTTCAGCTTACGTGGCACTTTCTACAACTGGCCCATCACAGCAGCTACAATCGCAGCAGCAACTACAGGGTCCTCCTAATATTATGGGTACTATGCTGGTTAAGGGTACAAGAAATCGCCCATTTTCAGAGGCATCTTGGTCCCGTTTTTAAAGGGAAAAGGAGACTCAGAATGCTTCTGAGGATGGATTTCCATTATAGTTCTAATTTGGGCAGTAGTACCAGAACAAGTGCTGCGACTAGTGCTCCTGTACAGGCGCAAGGAGTACAGCAGCAACTCCAGTTTTCTCAAAATGCACGTCCACCACGGGTGATACCTCCACCACCACGTCAACATTCTGCTGGAGGTCCTACTCCACGAGGACTCAACATGGGACACCCTAACCAGTTTCCCGATGCACCATGGCGTGCCCGACCGGCAGCAGGTGGTCGACCTTTTGTCGTTCCGCCGAGGAGACTCGGGGCTGGGATTTACCGTGGACACTAGGATCTTAGAGTTTTCACAGGCTGTCGATTACTGTCAGATGATAGTAAGGGTGGTAAAAATTACTTGAATGATGTGAAGTCTATACGCTAGTTATTAGCGGAGACTCGTGATCAATCATGTTTCACTGATCGTATAGATGCTTGTCTTCTGAAATAGTATTCAGTCCGCGCGTAATTACGTTTTATGCCTAAATTGAGTGGTTACGAATAGCACTACATCATTTGGGATTGCAGATCAAAATTTTTGAGACGTTCTTGTTTCTTAGTAGTATCTACATGTATAAATATATGTACCAGGAAGGGAGGCCCCCCCTGTTCCTATATTCACCTGGAAAAATGTACCTACTACTTGGTGCAGTGAGTCGCTTCTTTGATTGTTGCAGTTTCTTTTGAAGAAAGATGAAGATTTAGCCATCTGACTTACTAGTTTCCAACATAGTACTATAGCCTCTTCTACGCAAATGCACAAACAGAAATTTGTTTACAGGGTTGTGATTCGGTCGCTTGGTGTAGCGAGCCGCCCTAGTTATGGGTACACCCTGTGTCTATTTTATAGCACTCTACGTGTGAAGGACAAAATAGATTATACACCTGAACAAGCACTGCTCTCCACCTACTCGCTGTGACATGGTCGTTTTGTGAAGATTCGCGCCTTTTGCAATATCAAAATAAGTTACTTCCAGTCGCATTATATGATCCCGATCATTCTTGATGTTCCACGCCTCTGAGCGACCACGTGAGCAATACAAGAATCATTTGAAAGATACCAAAAAACCGCCTAGGAAATACAGAACAATGGATTGACACTTAGAGGTTTTTGAGGACGAGTGGTCAGATCCCGAAGGAAAGAAAAAGGAGTGAAAGGAAGGGAAATACAATGACGTCCACAGCGAACACTCTACCTTCGCGATCAATTGTCCGGTTGGTGCGGGCAGCTGATCGATGTTTCTCAAGAATTCTGGCAGGCGCTGGACCGCCGAGTCGCTCCAGTATCGCCGATAACGCGTTTTTTTCAGGTCATCGAGCAACAGCTGGTGAAAATCACACCACGGCTCTTTTTTCGACAGAACATTGTAGTGCACCAAGAACAAGATTCGACTTCGCCTGCCGACACTTCACCAGTACTACGGTCGACTTCAAGCAGCACAGCTTTCCACGACATGCACAAACGTATTCTCCGAATGATGTTTCGACTGAAACTGTGGGTACACCAGGAACTCCAGAATTCCGTGTTTTCTTTACAGCGAGGATAGGTGAAGCGAATATGGATACTCATCCACCGAAACAAGGTGGGACGAAAGTGAAAATATCGCCATGGCATAACCTGAGTTGCGAATACCCACACGAAGCTGTCCCAGGAAGCTGTCCCACTGGAGCTGGAGGTCCAGTATTCAACTTTGTATGCGAGATCCCTCATGGCACACGCCGAAAATTCGAAATGGCGAAGGAAGCAAAACATAACCCAATCTGGCAAGATCGAAAAACTACCAAGGAGGACAATTACGGTATCATGGTTCTGCGGCATTACGCTGAGGCAACAGGAGGAGCACCTGGAAATTATGGTTTCATTCCACAAACCTTAGAGGTTGCGGAGAAACCAGATGTGATAACCGGAATTGTCGGTGATGGAGATCCTATCGATGCCGTAGAGCTACCGCTAGCGCCAGCAGATACAACGACCTCCACTGAGCGGCCATTAGCAGTCGGTGCAGTGACGCAAGTGCGTATATTGGGCGCTTTAGCTTTGATTGATGGCGGGGAGACCGACTGGAAATTGTTGGTGAGGAGAGTGAATTCGGACACGCCCTCCGGAGTGAACGAGGAAACCGATGCAGCTCTACTCAATAAAAACTGGAAACGTATGAGAGACTGGTTTCGGACTTACAAAACATTCGACGGAAAGGGTGAGCTGTCTTTTTTCGGATCGTCACGACAATCGTCGGAAGTCGATGGAGAGTTGTTTCTCGCAGAAGATGCTTTGAAAGCGCTGCAAGGTGCTCATGATGCTTGGGCATCGAAATGGGGAGAATGAGTTATTGTACTAACTCCATCGAAAAAATACTGGTCTTGGAAAGTCCTAGGCTCATCTTATTATTGTACTTACCATGAGCTTACCTCTGCGTAAGTTTTGCTTCGCAGTTGGCCGGTAGGGGTCGAACCTGAAGTACATGACCATGACCAAATTAGAACCTGAGCTCTGTGAAGTTGTAATGCGATGTAAACGCCAAGAGTACTTGTTTGACGTGTCAAAGTCGAACACTTTATTTTCCAAACGAAACCTGCTGATCTTCAAGCAGGTAGGATCTACCTGAAAAAAGTGGATTAAATACGCGTAGATATGCGGGGAGAACATCAAGTGGCCGTGCTGAATTTGAGAGAACCAACTATTGAGAGACTTGAAAGGGTAAAAAGGTGAAATTCTGGAAGTAATATAAGCGCTGGACGAAATGGCGATAGCTTGCGGTATTGTGTACGGAGGGTTAGACCACTGAGTGATTCTATCAAATACTAAGGAGAAAAAGTGTAAGGAGAAAGCGGCGTGCAACTTTTACTGTGTGGTGCTTTCAGTGAAATCTTCAATCTCTCATTGTCGTTTCATCACATTCGTTGTGTCTACAGACTCTCATGTTCTTGCAACAGGATGATTAAGATGAAGTTGAAAAATGATGACATAGTCGGATCTCCTCCGACGAGGCGGGGCCACGCACTGCGATGAAGGACAACAACCTGTAAGAGGACACCGACTGAACCTTTGGTTGGGATCTGGATTTGGATCGAGGCAGCACATTAGAAGAAGTGGAGATGTTGGGCAAGAGTCCTCTAGATAGTACGGACGATGAAGTTCGTGGTGAGACCAGTGCCCTCATCGAACCACGAAAATGGCGACGCAAAGGGAAACGCGACATCGTTCTACCTGGAAGAGTTGTCACCGAGAGAGTACAGGCCAAGCGAGGGGTTTTATGGCCAGCATTTAGTTTTTGTGTAATTACGCTTGAGATGGCTTATGATAGATATCGACATGCATTGAATGATGTCATCTAGACTCTCTACTATAATTGTCTCCGCACGAGAAGTATCATGGTTTGTACCCTCCAATGATGACTTTCTCCATCGGCATCTATGTAAAAGTGTAATTATCAGTTTACTGGCTTCTCATTCTCTAAGCACTATGTTTTGGTTACGGATGGGATTTGCTTTTGTGGTTGTTTTATGGCTTCTTACGGCTAGCCTCTGGTCACGGAACACGATGTACGCGGAACTCGTCGGTTACTGGTCTTCGATTTTATGGTGGTGGATTACTGTACTAGACTGGGGCTAAGTAGGGGAATGATTTTAGAACGGTTGAGGGTTGGTAGAGATATTTCAACATTGTTTATACCGAAGACATTTTATACACAATTTGACCGCCTCTAACTTCTGTCGATGGGACCTTTTTTTTGTCTTTGACAGAGGAATGGAGCAGTTTCGATGGGAGTTATTTTCTCCAGTTCTTTTTCCTATACGGTTTGCATCCGTATGATGGCGAAGCGGTGCCTGACGTGGTGATTATGTTGGGACAGTCGAAGACCGTTGAAGCCTGGTTGTGGCCTAGAGTATCACGCTCCTAGATTAGCTTTTCTGTTGATCCTGCGACTGCGATTATTATATGATTTGTAAATACCAGCATGCACCATCAAGTGGATGAAATAGTAAGGTAAAAACCAAAAACCAAACCATGGAGTGAGTGTTCAAAAATACTCTGCCTCTATTATAAGATTAAGGAACTCCCCAAAGACCCTCTGCAATTAAAGTGTAGATGTAGCAACTATCACAGAAGTCATTTTTGCTGATTAGGGTGAGACGGAAGCACCGGAAGCATGCGATTGCTAGCGGACCACTTCCCAACAGTTAAATACAATTTATTTTCGGAGTATCTCAATTACCTGACGCCTTAACGACACAAGTCATTTTTTCTAATTAGGATGACACGGTTACGACAGGAGAGGGTCTGGCTGCTCAGTTCCTTGAGAAGGTAGCTGAAAAAACCGAGCTGTCACACCAGTCTGGAGGAGCTCGTGAAGATGAAGTAGTTGCCGTTCTTGCTGCAGACCATTATGAAGGATTGTGAATTCTGTTGTGATGTTTGAGAAGAAATACAACCGGTTAGCTTTCCCTCATATACCTTAGGTTAAATAGTCCCTTTATCCAATACTATTCTTGTGACTGCAGAAGACTCAGTCACGTACCTCCTCAGAACATTCTAATACTCTTGAAGACCTGTCCATTAAATGAAGGATTTTCATACCTGTCTGAGAAGAGTCATCCATTTACTTCCGGAGAAAGGGTAGTTGTAGAAGACTCGAGGACAGCATTTTCTATTCTGGATGTTCTAATGTTAGCCATTAAAAACGCGCGTGTACGAGCCGGCGACACTGCAGCTAAAAAGGAAAATTCCGTTAAGGCTGCAAAATTTTGAAGAAGCCTTCTTTCAGGAGACATCGGAATGCTGTAGAACCGGAAGCCCTGTAGACCTCCACATAGATCTCACGGTCTCAGAAAATGTCTAATCTCATAGGTCTTATCGGTACATAGATCTCATAGTGGTCTAATCGGAGAGGAAGGAAAGCAAGGAGCTAGTGAGAAATTTAGAGAGGTGAACGAATGCTTAAACCAGCATGCCGATCAACTGGGACTACGGGCATGGGAGTTGGAAGCAGGGTCGAAGAAGGACGCGATTTATGTTGAAAGGAGAAGAACACGACACTTAAAAAAATTTTTTTCCGATTTCTTAGACTTACGTAGGATCTGGAGAAGACCGTTCATGATTGCCTTCCTTAGAGCAACTTTGAACTTTCATAGACTGAAAGATGGGCAGGAGACCGATAACACTCGAAACCCTTGGGAATCCATTTTCGATGCTGAGAACCAATGCCTACTAAAGGCGTATCAAGCACAAACGGAAAAGTTAAGGCTGTGTGAAACTTTTATTGGGCCACCATCTTCTTCTTCTTCTTGGCATGGAGACCAACATACTTCCTCTCAAAGGAATGCATTTCCAGCGGTCATTTTCTTCTGTCTCGTGCTGCTGGGATTCCGAAGAAATGAAGGCAATCTTTTTTCGGAATTTTTGAGCTCTAAAAAAGGGAGAGCATAAGATGAAAAGTGAGCCATCCACGGAGCGGCCAGGGGTGAGGATGCCGCGAGAAGAGGCTGTTTTATGATCATCGTGTGCACTAAAAAGTCAAGATTAGTGGTCTATTGACGTTTCGCCTCGAGAGAGGGATGAACATGATCCGGCAGATATACCGTCTCATGTACTAATACACTACAAGGTATAGAAGCAGTACACTACAAGATATACATAGAACAGATGTTCTTGATACATATGCTTTATCACGATTTTTTTTGCGTAGAGTGGTTCAATTGGTCATCGTCTGTAGGTCATCGTCCGTAGGAATAGTCTCCGCTGAGAAAAGTGACTTTGTGTCTCTCTGTCTCCTCAAACTCCTCAGAAAACTCTTTCTGTCTCCTCTAAAGATTGAGCATTACGAAGTCCAGCTTTTGAAAAGCGGGTGGGGTACGGCCTCAGTAGCGGCGGTTGACCTTAGTGTGCTCGATTTTCCATTATGACGAATGATTGATTTTGAGTATGACGAGATGATTCTCTCTAGAAGATTTCATCACTTTATAACTGGTGGTTTCTACTTTACAAGAACTTATAACTGGTTTCTTTACTAGTCTCTAGAACTTAACTGGTTTCTTTACTAGGTAGGACTTTTCCGAGATGGATTTGTTGTTGGTATAGACCACGGCGAAGGGGAGGCCGCTGTTCTCTGTTAAACTTCAATGTCTCATTGTCGTACTTGTAAACGACACCACAAGCCTCTCTCTAGTGTGGAATATTTATTTAGAAATCTGTTTAAGGTCTACCAGACTGCTCAAGAAGAAACTCGCGGCCAACTATGGCAACCTTTCTAACAGGTAGAAGAAGCTCCCAACCGAGCGGTGAAGACAAGGTTCCTAAGGACGGCGAGAGTAAGGTGCAGACGATGGCAGGCAGACTCTGGATACTGTGGCACATGGCACGTCTAGAAAGAGGTGTCACAGATGCAAGTGTACGGACGATGAGAATCAAGTGGTTAGTTTTCCATCGTGTGTCCTAGGTTAGTCGCTTCATCCAGAAAATTCTCAATAGAAGTGTTTCCTTCGTTGTTTCGGATATTCGTATGCTAGTCCCTGTCCACAAATCCACAATATTTTATTTACGTTTTCAATATTGAATTTACCTTTTAATATTTTCCCCTTTTTCATAAGTTCTTCCCATCAACAATTTGGCGGAGTACTCTTTTTCTCTATCTCCCGTGGTTACGAACTATGAGAGCCTGCGTGGTGAAGAGGATGCGTTCGCTAGTGACCTGAATCGCAAGGTTTTCACGTGGAAATTACGAGGACTTGGAAGTCATAGTACATCACTTGTAGCAATAAAGTTTAGTCAAAGGTAGCAAAGTTCAGTCGCAGCCTGACTTTGGTAGTTGTAGACTTTGCCGGCCGCTTACCGGTTTCTCGTCCATTATGTAAATTTAGCGGGCATGTAGACAGTAGTCTTATGCGCCCCCAGTATGTAATGTGGATGACAATAGTTGAGCATGTTAATTGATTGTTTGAAAGGGCGGTGGCTATTGTCCCAACGCAAAAAAAATTAATAGGATACCAAACAAAAATCAGCCAGAACAGGGGCACACACGTGACTTTTTTGTTTGTCTAAGATACAAAACAGGAAGTACTCCGGTGGAGATGTTTCCCAGTTCTATACTGAAACCCAAGCAGCAAGCAGGCTGGTTCCAGAGTGGGGTGATTGTGCAAACTGTCCTTCAATCTTTTCAAAGACTAGGATGGCTACCAGGTATTTTGCACAATACTAGAGCAACGAGCCAGGTTACCTGGTAGATTCAAATCATCAAGAAGGTCGATAAGCACGTCGCTGAATAGGTTCAAATCATTATTTGAGGTTTTGCATATTATCAGAAGATCTATGGAACAAGATGAAGGATGAGATAGAGATTCGTTTGTTGTTTGCTTCCCCTTAAATCTTTTCTTTTGAATTGATGTTTTCCTAGATTATAAGTACTTAGCTACAACGCAGATCTATTGAAGATGAAGGCAGAAGTTGTGCCTGACAATGATGGAGGACTCGCAGGAGGTTGTGCCACCTGATCAATATGTTTTTACTTCTTTATAGCCACGCCTTCTCGTCTTGTTGAACAACTTACCCCATGAAGAATGGGTAGACCACTACAACTATATGGAGAACTGTAGGAAAATGACATGCTTTCTTTGCGCCCACCCCAGCTGGTGCGTCGAGCGATTATGTAAGTAGCGCTCCTTAGTATAGGAGGTTATAATGCACTCCCACCATCGCCGGGCAGCATCCTGGAAAATACGTGGGTCATACTAATTTTTTAGTATACAACTTTCGCCATAACCCCCTCCGAAAAGTTTGCAATTGTAATTCTAAGCGTTAGTGTTCCACTTTTCACAGGTATCCAGGATCCGAGCACGTTTGCTTTCGCGCCGCATGGCACCTACGACGTTAGGCTCTTCGTCAAAGGGAGGTGGAAGTGGGTGACGGTCGACGATCGTGTCCCCTTACTGCTACATCCTGACAATTATGATTTACTAATTACAACTTCTGAAGATTCGTAATTTGCCTATATTAACAAGAAGAGCCTTGTTGGGGTACGTAGTTTTTCCCTCGTAGTAAACCTTACATATTTATTTTCCTTCATGAAGATGAACAAATAGAAAATCGAAAGTGAACGCTGTTACGTCAGCAACGAAACTAACTTAACCCATTTCCACTGTTGCATCAGCGACTGATGTTGTTTCTAATGAAGCCAAGTCTTGGGTAAGTGCGAGGACGTGAGTCCTCCTCAGTCCCCTCAGCCGTGCGTGAAGCGTCCTGTTCCCTTGCTTTCGGCTTCACGGATGACCGCTCTTCTCTTGAGCAAAGCTATAGTGAAAGAAAGCGGCGGCTACGATAGTATGCCCGTTAGGCCTCCGACTCGTTCTTTACGGAGGGTGTGGTTTAACTGAGTTTTTTCCATCGATTATAACAGAGGTGAGTGACCATACAAGAAAAGGCTGGTATAGTTATAACTTGATAGGCTAAATCGTCTTCCGCCTAACAACCATTAGCCAACTACTAGCAAGTTTAACTTTGAGAGACAGCTCCTTCTCCCCTTGAAGGTGTAATCAGACTTAACCATAGAGACTGCCCTCTATGTCGCGTACTTGAAGTATAATATAAAGAAACTAAAAACTATCCTTTCATCGACCGACTTTGCGTTTATGGTAGCACAAGTGCTCGCTGGATCCGATAATAAGGGGGAAGCCGACAAAGAGGAAGAAATCAATTGGGGTAGGTGGCGGTGGAATTTATGCTTCTTGGTAATAGGGATGAATTCGAGTCACAACTTGTTTGAGTCTAGTATGATCCTAAGGGCGGACTAGAACCTAATCTAACCTTGTTTAACCCTAAACCCATGATCTTCCTGACTGGGTATCTCGTCAGCAGCATAAGCAGTAGTGCAGCTATGAACAAAGACAGGGCTCAGGGCTGAAGGCCCCCCGATCTAGGGAGGCAGCGGGGGGCCTCCAGCCCCGGACCCTTTTTCCCGATATGCTGCCGGGCGGGAAGGCCTCCAAGCGCGCAACTTCGCGCCCTCGCGGCTTCTTGCATGTGCCTGACAAAGCCCAAACCCTTGAGGCCGTTCAAGTGCCGACGGCTGAGGGTGGAAGGCTTCCGAAGGCGGCAAAGGGGGCAAGGGCTTGGCCCCTTTGCTGAGGTGCATGTCCCTGACCGACCTCCCCCCGGTGTGCGGGCTCCTCACGGGGGGAGCTCCCGGGGGGTGGGAGGCCTCGGCAGGCCGCAGGTGGCAGGGCTTGACCCGCTTTGCCGTGCTGCAGCTGTCCGGCAGAACCCAAGCGGGCTCGCTTTGCCCCACTGTTCTTCGCCTTTGGTCTTCAACCCCCCGGGCGTTTGGTGGCGGCTGACGTTGCCACCCGTTTGGGGGATGAGGGCAACCCAGCAAAAGGGGCCAGGCCTCGCGACTGTGGCCGCCTTCCCCCTGATAGTGTCCAAGAATCGGGACGCCTGTGAGGTACACGCGGAGAGCCGTAAGGGGGCTCCGGCTCCGCTTTTGGAGGCCTTCGCCCCCGGAAATCCTCACACCACCGCGAAGAGGAGGGCGCGCTGACGCCGCCGCAGCTCCATCCACGGGGGGCGAGGGGGGACCTCCGTAAGACCGGGCGAGCGCCGTATAGACCGCAGGCCTCAGCCCTTTCTCCTTCCCCCCTATTATTAGGGGGAAGGGCTTGCTTGCTCTTGTGCGTCACGCTCTCACTATAACTGAGCGCGACGGAGCTGCCTAGGGGCGGCCTTGTGATCTGCGGCAAGAAAGTCTATCCGCGGGCAGCCTTATGAGCTGGGGCAAATCCGTGGGCGGCTTTTTGACCTGAGGCAAATCCGTGGGCGGCCGTATGATCTGGGGCAAGTCTGGGGACGGCCTTGCGATCTGAGGCAAAATGAGCCGTAGGCGCCCGGCCGATCTGAGACAAATCCGCAGAGAAACGGCCAACAATTTGAGAGAAATCCGGGGACGGCTTTAAGATCTAAGGCAAATCAGTGGGCACTGCAGCCCTATGATCGGAGACAAATCCGCGAGCGGCCTCATGATCTGAGACGAGTCGGGGGGCGATCTTATGGCCTGAGAAATGTCCGGGGGTGGCCTTATGACCCGCGGCAAATCCGCGGACAGCCTTATCCATGGTCTGGGGCAAGTGCTTGCACTCCGCTCCGGATGGTCTCTGGTTCGAATCTTGGGGGGGACTCGACTGGCAGGGAGGTGGCCCTCAGGCTGGTCGCCGCCCCACACCCAGGGGAGAAAAACATGGGGACCGCGCTGCGCCAGACAGTGCGGGGAGATGAGGCCCCGGGGAGCCCTCGGGGGAGCTGACGGCACCGCGCCCACGCGGTCCACCGTGTGGCTCAAAACCTTGGCCATAACTGGGCGGCACTCGTCTGCCGAGTAGCTGGGTCGGGTGATGCATCAACACAGGGGGCGCCACCTCGGCAAGCTCGCAAGGCTTCAGGGCCAGGGGCTGGCCGTGTGAGGCTCGGGGGGAGCCCTCTGCGCCCGAAGTGCCAGCAGGTCGGGGCCAGGCGACCGCCCTCCCCGGATCGGGGAGGCTTCTCTCTTCTCTCTGCTCTCTCTCGCTCCCTCTCTCGTGGTCGTCTGCGGAAAATCTGTGGGCGGCTTTATCACCTGAGACAAGTGCCTCGGCTCTTTTGCTTTGTTTAGCGAACACCTAGAGAGCCACTCACTGCAGGCGGCTGGCGGTGACGTGTTGGACGCAGTGGCCCCGGCTGTGTCGTGGGTCAGCTTTCTTGCGGGGGTGTGGGTGGGTTTGCGTTAGTTATCGCCCCGTGCTGTGCGTTCTTGGTCGGCTATCTCGAGCGGGCTCGGGTCATGTGTGCAGTTTGGGCATTGGTCAGCCATCTTGAGTGGGCTCAGGTCAGGAATCGAGAGCGGGCCAGCCGTCCCAGTTGGGTCGCCGTGCTTAGTCGAGTCGCCCGCGGTCTGTGGGCCACTCTGTAGGCCACTAGGGCGCAGCGCGGGCCGCTCCTGGTGGTCGGCTGTAGTAGTGGCTTACAAAAAAAGCCCCGCCGAATTTTTGGAGAAAATTACTCACTCTAGAGACCGCGGGAGCAGTGCGGGGCGTGCTCCTTGTCAAGGTGTGGCGATGCGCTCAGGAGTCAGGATGGCTCAGCATATGGGCGGGGCTTGGCGTGACGCGCGCGGCGGTCTCTCGCTCGCTCAGTCTCAAACTTATTAGCCAACTAGCGCCGTCGGGGTCATCGAATGAAAAGCCAGCGGTGGCGCCAAGTCGATGGCCTACAGCTGAGTTTTCTGGCTAGCGCCTCCGCGTAAGTTGGACCACTCCAGACCATGCACGCGCGTCACACCGTCATGCGCCTCGCTAACACTCCCACGCGTGTCACGCTCCTCAGCGCGTCACGCCGTCGCGCGTCACGCTCGTACCCCCTCACGTGTCACGCCCCCCAGATGGGTACGGCGCTCGCAGGGTTCCACGGGGGGCCCCCCTTCTTGGTGCGTATATTTATTTACTTTTTTTCGTTAGATACTATATTTATTTATTTTTTTTTCTCATCACAGTCGCTCTTGTTGTTTCTTCGGCACAAGACTCTTTATGAAATGCTAATCCTACTAGCTTCTGATCCATTACCTAATAATCGTTGGTGCATTTTTCATGATACTCACATAAGTAATACAACCTCTAAACTGTGTCGCGTCGAAAGGCGACGGCGATAGCGAGAAGCAGGCGATATTCGACCGCCTCACACTACCAGAAGGTAAGCAAGCAGTTGAGCGATTCAAGCAATGCGAAAGGGTTTCATTAGGGGTTTCTGAATTTCATCCCCCACAACCATTCCTCACTATTTTTCCAGTAGGAAAGAGGTGAGGGATGTTCTGAAGCATGTAGTTCCGTAACCTCTAACTATCGCTCCGACATGGTGCGTGCCTAAATTTTGGTCGGGCAACTCTCCGATTTTGCAACAAAATGTTAAGAATATAAGGTCGCTTTCTGTTTACTTTTTTTGAATTTGAATTTTGCAATGGGTGCACGTTGGAGATTAACAAGTTTAAGTTGTGCAGTGGAGGTGTCGGTTGCTAGAGGGAGTAATGGTGCTACTAGAAGAGACGCCATAAGAATGGTATCAAGTGGGAAACTAACAAACTTTCTAGTGGGACGCCATAAGAATGGTATCTAGTGGGAGTCTAAATTTAAGTTGCATGTCTTTTTCCCATGTTGAGGGCAGCCGAAAGACCTCCAACTTTGAGGCTGCTGTCCCCATCTTCTATACAACTTTTAAGGCAGGCTGTCTGTCTCCGTCTGAGGCTGTTTGTCTTCATCCATCTCCATCTTCTAAGTATGCCCCGATCGGACGACGATCGTACTTTGATGTACAGCAGTGTGGTCTATTTTACGGACGTGTGGAGCGGATCCAACGAGTTGTGCTCAAATATTGGCAAGGTCAGTGGAAAGAATACGTTCGCCTAAATGGCAACTCTGTGGGGGAGTTTCTCTTATGGATTCTGATTCGGGGTTGGTTTTTTCTGATTCAAAAATGAATCTGATGACGGGAAGTTCGTATTTTTATTTGGTGATTTCTCTGATAGTTGCTAGAGGACTACGTAATGGCATGCCTACATACATCGTTGACAAGAATAGAAGGTCAAGATTGTCTTTTCTCAAGCTATCTTCCAATTTTGCGTCAAAGCGCGTTTTTCTTTGATCTACCGGGTTACGCGCGCATTCACATCAAAGCGATTTTGGGCGAGGATGATGCTGCGGTCGCTTCCCCAGAAGACAAGCGTCTGATTGTTATGGCTTAGGCTTTTTCGATAATATGGCTTTTGTTGTAATTCGGTGCTTAGCTAGGTAGAAGTCTTTCCAAATGTTGCAAGAGGATCGAATAAGACTAACGAGGCTTATTTGAACTGTAGAGAAGCAAAGTTTGAAATACGGCGATGCTCATTGAAAAAACGAACAGTGTTACGTAGAAAAAGGACAAAAATCTTCTGTTCTCATTGGGGGTCACTCCCTTCCCCTCTTCTAAGATTAGAGAGCTCAAGACCGCTTTCGACACTGAACAGGCGTACCGAGAAGCAGAGGCAGCAAAAGGGCGTGCGGACGCTTCAGAAGGCAGTTTATCCGCCTCAAGCAGAGAGGAACCACCGGCACCGACTGCTGGTGCTGCTTCTGTCGCCGAGGCCACCACAGTAGGCGTCGAGCCGCCAGCTGTGTCTGTATCGGCCGTAGCCTTGGCGCAGCTCTTTGAGCGGTTCTTTGGCATGATTCCGGAGCCGACTGATGTAAGCATCCCCAAAGGTGATGCCGGGTTGCGGTTGCAGCAAGCGGTATTCTTGTATCTATGGCTGTTGGGTCTTACATGTTTGTGCTTGAAATTATACTGTAGCAATAAAAGGTAGGTGGAACATCATGGTTAGATGTAGGAGGAACGCGATATTAACACTTCTCGGGAGATGAAAGCTCATCGAGAATGCGAGTACTTTCAACAGTAAAAATGATCCACGGAGTGACGTCTGTTCTTTCGACAAGGTACTTACTATTACAGTTAAGAATTCACTTCTAATTTACGGTGCAAATTTTGACCGTAGTACGTATCTCAAGAACTGGTCGGAGGACGCAAATCAAGCACCAGCTAGCAAACCAGAAGGCCCCAAAGCGAACGACTGGGAGAAAGCGAGGCTCTTTGTTTGGATGAAAGAACTACCAGAGTCAGAACGTGATAAACGTGCAGATGGGGGGGAGCCCGGTTGGGAGTGGAAAGTCGTCCGACGGGTGCTGGATTTGCTTCTCAAGATTATGACAAGACTTAGATAGGTGTGCTGGATTTGCTTCTCAAGATTATGACCAGACTTCGGTTCCCTCGACCGTAACATTAGACCTTAGACAGGATAGCCAATGGCTAAGCCTTACGTTACACTCACTCCGGCATGCACACTAGCATGCGAGTCACCTAGTGCCCTAGCACTTACTCTAGTAGACTAGTGCCTCTAGCAGTTCGTTCGTTCAGCAAAATCGATTCGATCGTACGATCGCAAATCCTTTAAACCTAAAACCTGGATTTGCTTCTCAAGATTATGTTCTTCTACGAAAGTAGTAGTTTACCCTCTTCGTAGTAGATCACAGGAAACTTGTCATGATAATGTGATGTCAAAGCGATATTAACCAAAAGGATAACCAAGGAGGAGGGTAGCTAAGATGATTTTTTCTAAAAGGTCAAGATACATCGTTGTCGAGGCTCTCCCTAAGGGGTACCTCTTCACTGAATGGCCTCATGCATAGACGCGCAATGCTATAAAAGCGGCGCCATGACATGGCATTGAGTGAAAGATGAAGAACTGAGTAGCTTCTTCTAAGAGAAAGTCGATCGAAAAGCGAGAGATGGTGTCGGGAGATAAAGGGAAGGTTGCTAAGGCATTCGAAGACCAAGGTCAAGTTATGGCTGCAAGCAGAAAGACTATTTAATATCAAAGACAGCACAGGGAGCACTTTTCACCCCTGTATCTAGACAACTAGGAAGTCTTTTATCTACTTTAAATATGTTTTCGAGAACGACTGATAGTGAGTCTTTTCATTTCAAAAATGTGACACTGTGAGTTACGTACTAAATGCGCATTGTTCATCCACCATGCACATGCACACTGTAATCTTGTACTTGCTGACTTACATACCTAGATACTGATGTAAGCTATGCCCATTTTCGTCTAATACTCGTGGGCAAAAAGAGTGGAATCCAGTGGCTGTGGAACCGTATCACCCATCTGAAGGGAGCATGCTTGCCAAGAGCGTTTTCGAGTGGCCAGAAGAAGTTAGGGCTCGTGGTCGTAACCTCAGAAAAACACATAGGCTCGTCTAAGTGTACTATTCGATATCAACTTGATAACAGCAAGCTTCAATCTAACGCTAGTTACCTGTAGTAGCCGCTGGATAGGTAGAAATGTTATTGGTATCGTCATGTCGCCGGTGATCTAGGAGTATCACTAGGGATGCCAATCAATCAATCAATCAATCAATCACGGATGCAGATGTGAGAGTGTATGTTGTACCTACGATGGATCTTCCAATGGCCTTCTAAGCTCCGAAAAGAAGAAGATCTGGGTGACCGATTATCAGGCTGCATGTTCTTCCAGATGCAGATGCGTCTGAGAGCCGGACGGCCTCCACTGAACGTTAAGAAGATAATGAGAACAACATGAACTCAACAGATCTTCTTTGGTTTGATTTATCATTTCGCCCTTGGCTAAACCCTTGATATGCTTTCTAGTAAGGATATGGAGAAGGCAGAGTCCGTCCCTAACTACATGCCTTGTGACTATAAGAAGAAGACAGAGCAGATCTCCTCCTCTATCCTGTATCCTCTATCCTCTAGGCCGCTAAGAATAGCAAGTTACTTAAATTTTTTCAGTTTTTCAGAGATCTTCTCCTCCTCTATCCTCTAGACCGCTAAGAAGCGGAGGCCGGTGAAAGACGAGTTTGGAATTTTGGAAGAGAAGCCGCACTTATTGACCTCCTCGATCGGTGGGTTCCCCTACGTTCTCGACCAGCACATGGACCCTAAAGAGTGGGCTAAATTTACGACGAGTTTACGCAAAAGGGACGATTGTCGAACTTTTCATTTGAACAACGGGAAATGATACAAGTCTAGTGCTTCATCCAGTGGTAGTAAGATATACGATTACGACGGCGAGTTCTATATGAAAAGGTACTCCATCCCAAGTTAAAATCGAAATTGTAGCAGTAGTAACAAAGTGCATACTGATTAATTTTTGAGTCACAACCACTTACTCACTTGTACTATGAGCTCTTCCTTAGATTGTCGACGCTTTATCGCCTTCGTCGTCTCGCTTTCGTTTTCAGTCACTTTGTCTAGTATGGTCGTTTCTTCGAATTCATATACGTCTCTACATTTTCTCAAAACAGCCCACAGCTAAACACTCAAAACTTAGAAGGTACCACGCACTTCACAAGGTCTATTCAAACTCCTCTTTCATCATCCGGTACCCGACACTGGAGCTGGTTACGCCACGTCATGTGTATGGCATTGCCGCTGCTGAGATTTTGGCGTTTCCGATTACGGAGGATCCCGCTGAGAAGAGATTTTTCCTCGTCTATGCAATAGCACAGCATGCTCCGGGAGATGGGTCTACTTTTGTCTGGACGGGTCGTTCGCGCCACGAAGTGAGTTTAAGAACAAAGAGTTCTTCTTGACTGTAGTGCTCGTTCACGTCATGATTGAAGATTGATGAATTTGAAGGTGAAGAGTACATCTTGCCTTTGATCCAAATGACGACTATTTACCTAGAGAGAGTAGCGCACGATGAAGGTTAACATAGCCTCAAAGTTTGTAATGAGCTGCGTGTATCCTTGAAATACTGTCAGACCACGTCTCTACGGCCACCATGAACGATGGCAACAGGGACAACAGCTTGCAGGTTTTTAACATAGCTTTTAGCTAGTCTAGGGGGACCGGATGACCTTCCCTCGCTCTCCTCATTATCACCGCTAATACCTGCCAAGGACGTCGCAGTGATCGTGAACCAGGGCGATGTGGTCAAGAGCGAGGACGTAGTAAAATACGCAACCTTAAGGCTCAATATTATTTATTTCATTTTGTCTACAACTTGTAGACTACAAGTCATTGTAGTTCTCTTTTCATTTCATCTGGTAGATAACAAGCCATTTTCATTTCTCCCTATTTCCTTCTTGGGACTACAATTGGGAGAGTAAATGAAGGGGACAAGGATATGAAGCGAATTCTTTTTCAGTAGCAATGTTCATTCTTTCATTTTCAGTACCAAGGTTTGAAACTTTGCTCTAACAACAGGGGCCAAAGCAGGCGATGGTGGTCTCCAAGTGCTTGAGCCATTCGCCGATGATTACGCCTGTGAAGAACTTTTTAGGGTCAAGGAGGGCCAAGACAAAGAGGCATGCAGAAAGGAAACGCCGGTTGGTTAAGAGAAAGAGTGGTATTGTATTTAGTCTAAGCTGACCTCCCGTATCTTCCCACCGATGGCCTGGTATGGTCGTTTGGGATGCAGTATGATGGTGATGACCTTCTTTTTGTTTTTCTGGTTAGGCTGGCTTCACCACTATACTGTCTAAACCATCTTGGATAGATTTATTCCAGGGATGTGAAGATGAGTGTCAAGAACAGAGTGAGCATTCAAGAATAACTAAACTCAGGGATTCATTCTTTTGATCGGAGACCCCTGATTCGTTCGTAGGAATCTTCACTCACTCACTCACTCACTCACTCACTCACTCACTCACTCACTCACTCACTCACTCACTCGCTAAGTTGCAAAGGCACCCGGCGGAATGTTAGTGGAGCACGTGTTACTTCCTGAGCGATTGTTGCACTTGCTCAACATGATTCCTGGTCGCCAAATCACGCCAGGCCAAGAGCCGACTCTTAAGGCCAAGAAATTTTTGTAGTAATCCACTACTGTAGTTCCTTTTTGGAATGTGCTGTTCCTTCCAACTGGTCATGTCTGAAAACGTTCATTGTGAAATTTATTGTTCCTGTACTAGGTCATCTTCATCCAACGCAACCCTAGTTCATCTAACCTCCCACGCCAGAAGAGCGCGCGAAAGAGATTGCTGAATCGCAAGATTTACCGATTGCGTACGGATTGTGGATTGCGGAAGCGGCCTGTGGCTTTGGAAACGGGCACACGACGACTGCATGATTTTGCCAAGTTTGAGGAACTCACGGAGGAAGAACAAACAGCGTGTTTGGAAAAATTTGTTATGGAAAAGTGACTTTCCGCAAAAGATACAAGACAGTTTTCTAACTCTTAGGGAGAATAAGTTTCTTGAATTCTAAGGCCAATGAAATTGTTATGGAAAAGTAGCAGAAGAGAAGATATGATTCATACTGTTCGTACAACTGTACTTTCTTGTACAAAAAAATCCTCTGTTTCTTTAAGCTCTCCTCTTCTAAGTTGAAAGACGATCCTGTCGCTAGTCAACGTGGAGAAAGCAGGTTCTGGATGCCATGGGAGACTTTTGTTGATGCTGGCGTCGACTTCAGGCTGTATAAGGACCCAGCGGACATGGCCAAAACGTTTCTTGACGAAGGCAAGTATAAACTTATGAAGAACAGTCGTTGAAGAGGTTGTCATGTGTGTACTGATAATTTCGTGGCTGATGCAAGTTGTTCTTTCATATTCTCAAATTGTGACTCACTTCTGTGTGTCTTCTCCATCTCCAAGACGTAGGTACCAGAAAAACTGTGTACCAGTAGTAGTGCATATTAGTATAGTCCAAAAGGAAAATAGGATACAGTCATTTTTACTTTTCATGTTGAGTGCGTGCTCGAATCTTCAGTCCGAGTTCTCCAATCTCTCTAATGAATTCCATCATGAGGTCGCTATGTTTGAACTCCCGAGTTGGGAGTACGTGAACCGACAGCTTGCTCTGCGTGTCAACCCCCAAGGCGATGCAGATGCCGAGGATGAGGTCGATGACGTGGTGGAAGTGAAATTGTAAGGCTTGGTGTGTAGTAGAAGTGAAATTGTAAGTTTGAGGGCTTGGTGGATGAAGGAATCTTAGGTTAATGTTGGTAGGCCTAGGTCCTTTTTCTGACGGTTGGATGAAGGAATCTTAGGTTAATGTTGGTAGGCCTAGGTCCTTTTTCTGACGGTTTCGACCTAGTTCCCTAGGGTCTGGTCACCCTCAAATCGGAGACAAGTCGGAGACAAATGGCGTGACATGAAGATCACGATGAAGTATAATTGACTTGGAAAGTAGTTCTAGCGAAGAATTAAGAGTAGGTTAAAGGTGCTTTTCTTACCGCTTTTTATGCCTCTCCTAAGGGAGAAAGGCATAAAAAGCGGGGTAAGCGAGCACCAAAAACCTACCTCTAAAAGAAGCACTTTGTGGATTAATCCACGACCATAGAGTCAAAAGCAAGAATGCATCATTTTGTCGTTTTTGGATTGAGTAAACGTGTGTCATCTGAGAAAATCCAAATTATGAATTCGACTCCCCTAGTCTACTTTTCGCCTTTTCATTTTCCGCTTGCGGAAGCAGTGGCCAGTGCTTCCGCGAAGCAGTTTGCACTTGCCCAGGCGACCGCAGCAGCCACCACCGAAAGCAATGTTGTACGTAGTAAAACAGCACCTGAATTCCAAAAATGCATGTCTAAGAAACCATCTGAGGAAGGTGCTGGAGGCGGAGGTGATGCTGCAAAAGATCGCGAATACGGTTCTCTTTGTGCTATGGGTCGTGTACTAGATTGATTATCATTTTGAACATGACGTTGACTACATGAGGTCATGATCCACCTGTTGAGATGAAAAAAGCTTGCGTTTCTAAGAATAACGTCCTGATCCAGGAGGAAAAATGCGTGCAAGATGTATTGGGCACAAAGGACGACTCACAAAAGCTTCTCACCCGTCCGACCAAGAACCTGGACGTGCGTTTCAGATCGCAGTTGCCTAATGTGTTTCAGTACACAGTGAACGTGCAAGGACAAGTGAAGACACTGGCCTTGGACACAGCTACTGTTAAGGCGGCCTTCCGTAAACGTACTCTACGTTGTTCAGAAGCCTCTTACTGAATAGAGATGTTGGAAAAATGGTTCTCAGATATTGTATTCTGCTGTATTGTATTGCACTGTACTATTTCGCTGTATTGTATTGTCTGGCGTTCAAGATGGGTATGGGTGAGCTCTAATGCTGCCTTTCTCTTCTACTACACCGACGCACGCGGACCGCTGACGGTGACCAGGAGAGGAGTGACCGAGGCTTTGGGCCATCCAGCTTCGGTGACGAAGGAAGGCGAGAAGTGTCTTCAAAGGCCACAGCATCTGCGGTTCGACAATGTTGTGGCCGATCCGAGCAGCTTGATGGTCGCCCGGGATGAGGTCGCTGCGAGTGTTAAGACTCTATTATCTTCTGTTCCAATTATCTACTTTTATTGTCGGATGAAAGAAACGTCCGCCTTTGCAATTGCAGAAAATAAACTGTTTCATTCCATCAGCCATGTATTGTCAGAGGGTTTAGGGTTGTATTGTCAGAACAACTATGAAAGATTACCTCCTCGTCCCCAAAGGACCCCAGCGAGGACCCCCAAATTGCAGCAAGAACCTCAAAGAATCGGAAGAACAGAGACTAAGGCAGAAGTTCTTCCATTTGTTCTAATACAAAAAGCAGTGAGTCCGTGAGTGCTGGCGACGAAGATGTGCGATATTTGCAAGCTGGAGATATCGTGCAAGAGAATTTCGGTAATTGCTATCTCTACGCAGCATTGCAGAACTTTGCCAGGCTTGGGTGGCTAACAGAAATTCCAGCCGAGTCGCCGGTTGGACTCTACAAGTACGGCTAGATTTTTTACAGCTTTCTCCTACTGTAGTTTTGGAGGACATCTATCTTAGTTTTGATAGGCATAGGGGGAATACATGACAGATGTCGGGGGTCCTCGTTTCAAGGGCGTATCTCACTTAGCCGTAACTGGGAAATTAGCGATGTATTAAATGAAGACCGAGATGATCTCCTGTTTGTTAGAAGGCCCTATACCCCTGACAGTTAGTTTTTTAGGAACAAAGGCGGCAGGACATGGCATTTCGTTCTAATACAAAGTGCGCATGTTTGTGGATGGCTTGTGGAGGGACATAGTAGTGGACGATCGAGTACCCTCAAAGCCCGTACAACGGATGATCAGGCCAGGTGGGGCGACCGTGAAGAGTGAGCTTAAGGGTGAAGAAGTCCTTAAACATATCTGTAGAAAGATCCATCTTGGGCCAGTCAGTAGTTCAGGAGTTTCTGAGATACTTTGACACAGGGTAGAAGATTTGTTGTATCTCTTGGTATTCTGACAACACGGTAAAAAGTGTTACCGTGGAGAATTCTATGGCCTTATGAGTGAAGGACGCGTTCCCTCTAACCATTCCCGTTGCTTGTGTCAATCTCAGCAACCTTTCGCTCCAGTCGCTATCCACCTCTTGATCAAGGCTGCGAGCAAGATTGTGGGAAACTATGATCATCTAGTGGGTGGTCAGGTCGGGCCGACGTCCCGAGCTCTCACTGGCGCTGATAGGCCTATACTTATGATCTACGGATTCTTTTTGAAGATTTGATAGAAGACGGGGGTGGCTTTTTCTTATGTCAATGATGCGTGTTATGAAGACGGTGTGACTGTAAAAGCCACTTCCCACCACGTCGGCAGGACTTCCAGAAAGGTAGAGTTTCCTCATTTTGTTTCTCAAGTGCAAATACTTCGCGTGCAGGGTTCGCAGTGTTGTACTCCGTCTCGGCTTGATTACTTAGAGAAGTTTCCGCAGTTTCCTCAGTTCTTTCCCAAAAAGTTGCGGACACCTTCTAACTTCTGTTTCAAGTCTTGGTCCTGGTTATCTGCGGCTATGGTCGGCCAAGCTTCATCCTCGACGTGGTTGTACAAAGGTGGATGCGGGGCTTACGCTGTAAATTTCAACACTTTACGAAAGCACCAAGAAATCGAATTGTAGATCTTCACTTTTGAAGAGGACGACTTCTAGATTAGCCTGGATCTACAGCAGGACAATACTGAATAGTAGTAGAATGTAAGCAGCGTTATATTTAGTAGTATAGTACTAGTGTAGTAGTATAGTAGTAGTAGAAAAGAATAATAGTATATACATACTCTTCACCGAGTAGTACACATTTACTGAATAGTAGTAGAATAATAGTATAGTAGGCCACGGGGCGGCCTAGTAGCAGATTTGGAAGGAGTAGAATCTTCTTAGCAGGACGACTGAAGTAGATTAGCCTGCTTTCTGGAAGTAGTTTACCCACTTCATTTGAAGCAGCCACTTCAAAAGAATCTACTTTTTCTCGCCTGATTTCCTCCTAGAAGAGTTTTTCTTCCAGATCCTATGAAGTATTTTTATTTCATAGCGCTTCCTTGCCAGAAATCTTCAGAGCTTACTTAGCAGAAGTGTGTCATCCACCTGTGGAGCACTAATCTGTGACACCATAGCTCTAGTTCTTCATGCTAATGGTCTGGAAGTATTTTCACATATTAGGCATAAACATGAAGCCATCGCGGAGAAATCTGAATGACTCTAGTTCTTGTCTAGACTATAACATCCAACAAGAACTCGAGTCATTCAGATTTCTCCGCGATGGCTTCATGTTTATGCCTAATATGTGAGAATACTTTCTGTGACACCAGAGCTCTCATACTTCCAGACCATTAGCATGAAGAACCACTAGCATGAGGAACATTTCTAATCTAGCAAGGATACGAAGAGTGTGCCCGAAAATCAAATGAAGACCAGCTGGCGGATCCGCGGTTGTGCGAGCTGTGGGTCTCACCCGTCACCCGTGTCCAATGGTTACTGCTTTTAAGGCATTCGACGATCATGGCGATTTCATTTGTCCGTTGTTGTGAGTTGGGTGTACATAACAGATAATCCATACTATCTATTTGTACAGTACTATTGCTTCATCCTTGAGGTTAGTACATAGTACTAGTGCCCGGTTCTTTTTCTGGCTAGGACTTTACCGGAACTTGTACTCGAGTTGCAGTAGCTTACTCGACTCATTCTGCATTTCCAGCCAACATATTGGTATTCATGATGTACTTAACCAAGTAAGCTAGTACATCAAGACGAAGTAGCATTTGTACGGCCCGCTCATCTCTCTAAATCCAAAAGCGGTAAAGCGCAAATGGAAGTGGTTCCAACGTTTTCGGGTCACTCCTGGTGGCGGCAATTGGCTTGGTTTCACGGAACACACGTGGGGACTTTCCAGTATTAATTTCTTGCCGAAGGACGCATTAGAGGCAATACAGGTGATACTTGAGATTACGGCTTCTCCTACCGCGTAGAAAAGTGCTATAGTATAAATCCTACTACGTAGTAGAACTAGAAGTGTTGAACAAGGCTAATGAAGTTGAAGTTCAAATAACCGTATAGAGGATGCAGAATCTTCACACCTAGTAGCTACTAGAAGTACCTTATTTTTCTCATCTAATAATAGGCCTGCATCGAGAGAAGGGGCGGGAACGATCTCGATAGAGCATGCTGCACTCCTCAGGGCTACTAAGCAGGCATTGAGTGCAATGGCTGAACTTCGCAAAGAAGTGGAAGTAGACCAGAGTGAAGTGGTTGAGGCTGCAGTGCCTCCTGGTTCCGCGGCTGCTTTTTTGCAGACCAAAGCAGCAGAAGGAGAAGCAGTGGCAGAAGAAACCGGAGTGGGCGCAGGTGCGGGAGCAGGACTAGCTAAAGAGCTACCGACCCCATCGATCACCATTGTGGCGCTGACGGTGCTCCAACGCAAAGTGAATGGTCAGCCACCTTTTGCAACGCCTTACGGCAATGCTTTATTTTTAATTGTTCACGTGAGCGTTGTTGTTGTTAAAGGAGAAGCTTACTTTGTTTTACACATCATTCGTTCAAATTTTAGCTCGTAGTAACCTTATACTTATCCGTTCATGATATACATCATTCGTTCACATTCGATCTTTTACAGAATGAACCTCAACACTATCCCACTTTACTAGCAATTCTAATTCATAGAAGAACTGGAAGAAGCCGGCAAGAAAATGTTGGCGGACTTGAAAAGTCATGAAAATGACGACTATTACATGGACTTCTTGCTGAAGGGTCGGCATTTTACGGTAATGCACCCAGCTACGATCAAACCTGAGCAGTTATGAACAAGATGGATGTGTTGACGGACTGACCCTGACTTGATGCATGTGTGAAGATTGTGCAGATCTTCCTTTAGCATTCACATTAAAGGCGTCTAAGTAGGGGTCCTTTAGTGTTCACATTAAAGGCGAAGAGTGTTCGGGGATTTTTAAGAGTATTTAGATAGAGTTGTATTGTTCATCGTATGTTCATTGTTATTGCCTAGTATTCACAACTTCTACCTTCTCCTTCTCTGTCTCCCAGAGGTAGAAGTTGTGAATAGGCACTAACTACAACTTCTCTGAGAGAGTTCTTTCTCTCCGTTCATTCCAAAAAGACGAGACCGAAAATATCGTGAATGCGGCTAAGTGTGGTTTTTATCGTCTGCGGTCTCGGTTGCAGGACCTCTATGCTGGATTGGGGGAGGACGATGAGGAGGAAAAAGCTTCTGAAGAGATGGCTGTTGCTGGGGGTGGTGTTAAGGCTGTCTATAACTGTGTCTTGGCTATTGTAGTTGATACGAGAAGAAGCAGAATCAAGAAGAACAAGAAGACCCAGTCTTGCTAGTGATTCACATTTTCATGTGTCTACGGGAAACAAAATGAAATCGAATGTTGATGTTACTCTTCCCAACAAGGATGTGGGTATAGCTGATGTTTAAAGCCCTAAAAATTCCGATGTCGCGAATGGAGCTGGTTCGGCTGAAGTCCCAGCTGCTGAAGCTGGAAGCTCGTTTCTAAGTGGTGTTGGTACACTCAGTCTTATAACCAAGCCTCATGGAGGTGAGAAGTTTCATTTGCCAGAAGTGGCTACTCTAGTCCGTGCGTCGTCATTCCTGTACGCAGGTGAAGGGGGAGGTGAAGTTGTTAGTGCAGATGCCGATGCGAGCTTGAACGCGGCGAGCTTGAACGCGCGACGAGGACTATGGGCAAAATTTAACAGCACTCGTAGCCTAACTCCTGATATGGGTTGATGTGTGCGCAATTTAACAGGACCACGCATCTGTCTCATACTAGGTCTAGAAATATCTCGTACCTCAACCTCTACTACTTTCGACCAAGTCAGTATTTACTTAAGTATTCTTCTATCAATTATCTTTCTAACAACCGGTACTAGTCCTCAAGGCCCACCTCAGCCTATGGTGACCGCCGACGCAGCCGCAGAGCCAAAATCAAAAAAGAACTTTATCCCTCCCCGGTTCAAAGCCGCACACCTGCTGGATTTCTCGTTTTCATTTAAGGCCAAATCTAGCGTACACAAACCAAACATTTGATCAAGTCTGACCCAGCCGACAAAGTCTGACTAATCAGACCATCTCACTGATATCATACGCCGGTGAGTAACTAACCAGATCACTTGGAGCGCCTCTTGTTCGTTTTGAAGGAATCAGTAACAAATGATTCAGTTGTACTATGAAGGAGACTCGTTTTCGTTCTGAACGGAGGCAGTACTAGTAAGGAGTCTACTCTTTTTCATTCCGAACGTACACACAGCGCATAACGAATCAGTGACAAATATCATTTTCGTTCTGAACGTACAAAACTACGAGCATCTAATCTTACGCCGATAGGGGAACAATTTGAAGGTTCAGCGGTTGCAGGTTTGATTCCTGGCCACGCGTACTCGATTGAAGCAGTGGAAGTTTTTGCTGTGCCTGTTAGGAGAAATATACTTATTCGAAAACTCAAAATAACCGAGTTACTGACTGAAATCAGGAAGGTAGCGCAACTTCAAGGCTACTTTTCCTTTTCATCTTCAGCATCTTGGTTACTCTGGTCAGTTACTTGCTTATTTCAGTTTCTCGAATAGTCTACCGTCTTTGAAAAGAGCTGCTAGAGGTTCCGTCCAGCCTGTTGTATATATCATCTCATCGTGAAACAGACAGAGTGGACGTTGACAAAAGCTTCCATATTTGTTCGATCGTCTCATCTTTATATATGTTCCAGAGCGCGGGGGGGGCCGGGCGCCCTGGCCCCCTTTTTGAGGCCTCTGCCGGGGGGGGAAGGCCTCAAAAGGCCCCCCGCACCCCCCCCTGTGCCTTTCCAGGTGCTTGGGGTCCCCTAGAGGCCTCGGACGTAGGTGGAAGGCCTCAAGAGGGCCGCAAGGGGGGCCGTCTCCGCTTCCTCCCAGCTGCTCGGCTGTCCCGCAGAGGCCTCCGACGTAGGTGGAAGGCCTCAAGGGGGGCCAGGGGGCTCGCTGCCTCCTTCTCGCTACATCTTCTCTTTTTTTCTAATCCCAAATTTTTCGGAGATCCGGGATCCAGCGGATCCGGTACAACTGCGAAGTTCACGGTGATGTACGCTGTGAAGTTGCGGAACCCACATGGGAACATCCATTCTGTTTGGAATCCGTTCCACGTGACACACAAAGTACTAGTGGACCCAAAGGACCCTAATGCAGGGAAAAAGGATCTAGAATTTATGGTTTCATAATTTCAGATGACCCTCCACGTCCTGATGGACCAAAAGTGGACCTAGAATTTACGGGTCGTGATTTCTAGAAGTTTCATTAGTTTCAGACCCAAGGTGGCGGTTTCTCGTCACTTGCATATTTGAGTTACCATGCGATGCTGCTGGTGATGATTATAGACTTCTTCTTCATGATTTTGGATGTCGGGATGGCTATCTCTGCTAACCTGCATTATAACCCAGCAGCACATCGACCTTCATTCTCTAATGAAAATCCGAAATGGCCTGAGCCGACCTTTGCGGAAGACGCTGTGAAGAAAATCGTTAAAAAATCGGCGGATGGACGAGACCAGTTTGTTTTCGATACGACCATAGCATGTGCCGCAACACCGATTTGGGCAGATCCTGGGTTATGGAATCATAAGACTTTTATTCTAAAAACTACATACTCAGAAATCTACATACAACTCAGAAAATCAAAGTAAAAGTAGAATGACAGTCCCACTTCTTCACGTACTAGTAAAAGTAAGTAGAATGACTCCACGTATCAGAGCCGTTCGGTCTACTCTCTGATGGTACTAAGTAAGTAGAATGACAGTCCCACTCCACGTACTAGTAGTGATGTTTTCAGTATGGTAGCGATGTTGCGCACGAGGTATATGTGTGGTAGAGGAGTGCCGATACTAGTCGTCCTCGCTCTGTACATGAAATTATCATGTTTCTACCTACTGCAGTTGCTCTACGTGCAGTAAGAGCATCTCAAGTACTACTTAGTAGTCTACAGTGGACATTTTTTAAGCATATGTCTAACACAAGTCGGACAGGCAGAGGCTAAGCAGGTGCCATGCTCCAGTGCGGACTTCGTCTTCCATGCTCTGAATAGTGCACGAATTCACTTGACTAGCCAAGAGTTCGGTGAAGAGATCGGGCTTTCGGTGTTACACTTTGGGAACAAAGAAACTGCTGCTGCTGCCATTTCCAAAAAGTTTGGTTATGATTTCCGGAGATCGATGATGTGGTTTGTTACCTCACAATGAATGTTTCTTGACTAAGAGAGAAACGAGGAGCTTTTACTTGGAAGTTGACTACACATCAGAGACTGAGCCCTTATATGTGAGATGACACCTTGCTCTAATTTCTCGGCAAAGCAACAGAAGACTTCCGTGACAAATTGCTCAAGGATGGACCCCTCTACACCATCGACCCCAACTGCAACGGTGCCCTTCTCACTGAGCCAGCGGCGCCTGTACTTAAGAACAAAGGACTGGACAAGAACAACATCGTTTTATCTTCTCAACAATCAACCTTATACTATGTTAAACAAGGAGAATGATCATTCGGCTTTTCGGTTGGGCTTTATCATCAATATAGCTTACAGGATCATTTACATCTGGGCTACAGCTCTTTCATATTTTATGCGATATAGGCAAGAAGGCGCTGTCATAATTCAAATGCGAGGTTGAAATGTTTGCTTTCTCTGCGCCCACCGCTGCTGGTGCGTCGAACTAATCGAAAAATTTGTAAGTAATTGTAACTGTAATTGCTAGGTCGTGGTGTTCATTCAAGGGCTTCGCTGTCGTCTCTAATGTAGCGCTGGCTAGCCGTGCTGCAAAGGACATCTACTTCGATTATGGCACACAGTAAATTCAAAAAGTTTGGGATGTTCTATAGGACCATAGGAAGATGCAAGACGACCAGTAAGGTGTTTTATCGTCGTAAGGGTAAACGCACAAGAACATTTATGTACTCACTTATAGCACCAGAAAAGTCAAAGTCTTCTAAGGAATCAACTACAACCTAGCCACGAGTCTAACCGTAGACCCACACCGCTCTAACAAATCTCTCACACGATCTCTCTGACGGAAGTAGAGCGGAAGGAATGCTTACGCGAGTACACGATGAAAGCGAACGCTTTTGACCATGCTCAGAGTTTCTTTTGGGTACCTTGGCGGTCGTTTACTTATGATTTGTAGCTCAGAAGTGGAAGTCTTGTTGAGATCTATGCAGTTCTTGAGGTACTAGAGACCAAAGATAGTCAACTTTTTACTTGGAATGGTAAGTAGTCAACTTTTTACTAGAATGTTGGGTGCTGGAATGGTAAGTACTCAACTTTTTTTCTTCGAAAATTTCTAAGTTATGCAAGCTGCGGGACGAACGCAGGAACTCCGTGCGCAAGGCGCGGACGCGAATTATGCTTTATACTTGGACTTGTTTCTTGTTTGTAGTCAATATCTAATAAATATATCTTTCATCGTCTAGAACAAGCTATTTTAGTTGGATCGAGCGCGTAGATGTGTAGACCACAAGTTAGGATCTAGTCTTTCCTGATGAGACGAAAGCTATACTCATGATCTACATTGGCTTAGTGTTCGAGTACCTATAGGGGCGCATTGCCACTTAATTTATGACAACTTCGGATAAAAATCATAGTACCCTCTAGTTCCTCTAATCCTTGAAAATGCAAATCACAGATTATCGTCTACCCCCTTTCGACTACCTTGAGCGGAATCAGGCTCTGCGTGTTGTGCCCCTTGCGAATATCCAGGGTGATGTGTATACAGAGGGGTATGCGCATCAAGTGCATAGCAAGAGGGATGAGATGATTCAAGTTATGTCGATGATCGTAACTACGTTTGCTAAAAGGAATGAAATGACTAAAGTTATGAATGATCGTAATTAGGTTTGCTAAGAGGGATGAGATGATTCAAATTATGTCGACGATTGTAATTCTAATTTGGCATGCTAAGAGGGATGAAATGATTAAAGTTATGTTGATGATCGTTGCAATAGGGTTTCTTTATGTAGCTTCATGTCGATGTTGGTAGATGCCTTATAAATTTCCTTGTGCGTGGTCGTGCGATGGTCAACTAGTAGTGGCATGTTCATATCGAGTGATCATTGTTCTGAAGTTGCAAAAAACTCTAACCTTTCCGAAGACGAGAGGATAGCGAGAGCGGCTGGACGAAACGTCATTCCCGGAACCTGGAAATTTGAGGCTCTCAGAGCTCCTGCTTTACGTGCTCCGCTTCGGAAGGTGATGATTAAGGCAACCAAGAGATGAGCATCCTTAGCATCCTGGAGAATTATGGCCTAGGCATGGGAGAAAAAGGGCCTAGGCATGGCCACATGGATGCTACGCTGCAGCTCTAAGATGAGGAGTGGCAGTGGTGGCCTTGAGCTTGAGGCGGATCCTTTGCTACACAATAGAGTGTCCATGGGAGTCAATGGAGCAGTTTTCTTAAGGCGAAGCTAGTAAAAGAAATTTGGAGGTTCTAACTGCTTAGACTATCAGATTGGTTGTAAGTTTCAAACCACTTGTAAGTTTCCTTTATTGATCCGATAAGTGTTCTGAATCTTGTTTGTTTAGCCTCCTCCTCCTCTTCTAACCTCCTCTCCAGCAGCGTCTCTCCGACGACCGTCCGCCTCTGCGCGAGTAGTTGCTGATGTCCTGAAGTTCATCAACATCAAAAGTGCAGAAGCGTCGTATGTGGTCCAAAAGGTTTCTCTTATGCTGGCTGGGTAGTTTAGCATAGGTGCGCGTGTGTATCAATCCACAAGAGACGGGCGTAACATCAGCACGAACAATGCTTAGGGATTTGATTGTAAACTACTACAGTTCATCTTATATGAGGCCTCATAAGTAGATAGAGATACAAAAGAGGTAGTACCATGACATGACAAGACTACCATGAGACTGAGAGAACTATGACTATCTATCGCTAATCTTGGCACCGTATCACTGCAAAAGATCCAGAGTTTGTTCTGTTTTTCTGTCAATCTCAATCAATGAATCTAATCCTCGCACCCTCTCGTTGCAAAAGACTCAGAGTGCTGTGCTTGCGTCTTATCCAGGCTTCGACCCGGGACCGGATGTCACGGGCAACGGCTTGCGTCGGGTACTGCGGTCTTTGTCGGAGAAGCTAGACAGCGAGCGATTAGACGATAGTCCATGGGCAACTGTGTTTCTTGTGGTTATGAATGGGTTTCTCTTCTTCTTGAATGTGGTTGGACCACGTGATGTCAGCTTCCTCTTGGTCAGGTAAAAAGTACTATTATAGATACAGACTCACGTTTTTTAGGTAAAAATAATACTAAAAGTGTGGGACATCATGTATCGAAGTAACGAACGAAGTAAGTACACCTACAGATATTCCATGACGTTTTTTTTTAGGTAGAATCAAAATCAAAAAAAGATCTCTGTTTTTTTAGTACTAAAACATCTCTGCTCTAACACTCCCGCTGCTTTCGGCATTGCAGAGGGTGTCCTGGTCTTTCTGTTGCTGTTCACTCGTCAATGCGGCAAAATTTGTGGAGGCGGAAGCGGTAGGGCTTCAGCGCAAGGAAGCTCCTCTGGACGAGACTCTACTAATATTAAGGGAGGTTTATTCTATCTATTTATTTCTATCTATCTATATCTATCTATCTATCTATCTATCTATCTATCGACTTTCGTAGTCACCGCCTCGGTTATTGTCGCTGACTTTCGTAGTCGCCCATCATCCTCGGAGGCGAGCAACGGGTGCCTGTGGGGCTCGTTGTGAAGGATCCATAACCTACCCTAACCTCGATAAGCATTTAGACAATCCGATTCTCAATCCCTGACTTTTTTCTAGTGGAAAGGTAGGAGGTCAGCTAGAACATGTTCTGCGGAATGCAATAGCGCAGCTTCTAACGCTAGGCGAAGCTCCAGGGATAGATCAAGGGATAGCGAGAGGCGAAGCTCTAGGCGAGACTCTGGGAGGCGCGACTCTGGGAGGCGAAGCTCCAGGCGATGAGCCACGCAGGAATAGATAGTTGAAACATTGTGGTTGCTAGACTGTAGTCAAGTTTTTGTTGTTGTTGGATATAATTGGATGTGATGAATGACGTGATGAAGCAAGACCGATCGAGCCGTACTGATGGACGAAGTGAACGACTATGGAGGTGTTGTACTGATGGACGAAGTGAACGACTACAGTCGGATCCGGGATTACAGGAGGAATGCTGTCACGCTTACTTTTGTTTTTTTTTGTACATTTGAATGTGAGGGGACGAAGAGATAGACGATGAGGTTTTGTTGTATGTTTTCATGAACAGTTGCACGATGCTAGAGGAAACAAGGAGGTGAAGGACATTGCGTTTTCAACGAGACGCAAGTACTTAATTAGAGTTACAACTATAGGAAATTTGACGTGGCCACTATAGTTCTTTTTAAAAAGTTGGATGTCTTCCTTTTTATGTAATTTTGCTTCCTAGTTAGACGTGCTCCACCGGTATTAAAGAAATTTTGACGTTACAACTATCGGAAAATGTGTACGAAGTACAGCTGCTCAAAACTACCAATCCTTGAAATTAATCGCACTTTTACAGAAAAAGATGCATAATCAGTACTAAAAGATGAAATGGCATGGTCAATACTGAGATAATCGTTGTGGAAAGCAGCGTGGACGATTCTTCAAAAATGTCAGATAGACGATGTTTCCAGGAAAGCACATCTTATCAACGAATGAATTGAAAGTGGATGCGACTAGCTGCTAGACACAGTCATTTTCGTGCTTAGGTTTCCTGTAGCTGCTGAGTGCCCTATGGGTGGCGGACTGCGTGGCCCTCTCTTTGTGTTCTGCCTTTTCGCGCGAGTTGCAGCTATTGGACGTGCACTGGAGTTCGGATGGCTTGCTTTGGGACAGATGTTCTTGTCAGGGTCGTTCATGCGGTGCAAGATGAAGATGAAAGATTTTTGCAGATCCATCAGTTTCTTGCGATCCACCACTTCGTTTCTGATAGGGTCTGACGGTAGTGTTTGAAACAACTCCGAGGTGAATCGGTCATCAGTAGTTTTGCTATCTACAGAAAGGCAACATTTATCATAAATGCGCACTTGATCATTTGTGCGTGAGTCTTTTGAGAATCAGGATGGTCGCAGCACAGACGGAGCAGGCACCCGGCGGTCCAACCGGCAGAAAGTCGATGTTCGAAGATGTATGGTTTATGCGTGTTTATGGTTTTATTACCGTAGATACCTCTTCTTGGTCCAGATCTTGTTCAGGTCCTACCTGTGTAAAGATTCCTCATCCTCGAACTTGCTTCCTCTAATCCCACTAGCGGCTATCCTACCTGCGTAAAGATTCCTCATCCTCGAACTTGCTTCCTCTAATCCCAGCAGCATTGCAAATAGCCGAGGACTCCATTGGTACACTGAACCTGGATTCCGTGGGTGATATGCTGGTGAGCGTCACCCAAGACCTACAAGACTTTATCGATAGCGTCAACTGGAGAAGTGACGGTTGGTTGTTCTTGCTGATATTATGGCTTGGACATCTTCTTAGGCCGTTGATTCACGCATTTCGAATTGCAGAACATTTTAGACGCTAAAGAAATGAATGATTGATGAAAACGAACGAAGTACCTCACTGTATACGTGCCTCTAGCTCTTGTAAAATTTCTAACCAAAGGAACCACGCTGCTGCAGTACTTGGTGTGGATTTTCGTACTGTCACTGAGTCCGCAGTCTTGTTTTCTGCTCTTTGGATGCAATGCAGTCTTTTGTGCTGTCATTTATGGCCTTCTACTACGATAGAATGATTATAGATCTAGAATACTAGGTTCACAATGCATTGACTCCCCACCCTCTAAACGACTGAATACCAGAGCACCTCATTTTATTCTTGTCCCTGCCCAAGATTCATGTCCCTCATTGATTCTATGTCCCTTGTTGTCCTTCTAACTACTCCTACCAATAGCGAACACGTGGTTAGCGGAGAATTGGAAGCTGGTAGGCTTTTCGGCTCAATACTTTGACGAGAATGGCTTTTTTGCTACCTCCTTTATCGGCGTCCCACTTCTATTAGCGAATATTTTGCTGCTTTGCAAAATCACAAAGCACACTTTTTCGCTAGCAGTGAAGGTGAAGAGAAAGCAGCTTGGCATTTCAAGAACAACTACATCTAGTGAAACTGAAGCGACAGATGTGGGGAAGACTGCGACATTGTGAACACCTTCACTTTCTGGAACGACAATTATAGGAGGGGAGAAAGATAAGGATGAATGATCTACGCAATGGCGTACTACGGATGATGATGGAAACATTCAGTGTTTCGGCTCACAGCGCAACATACCTAAACATGCTAGGTGAATCCTGGATTTTTCTAATGCATCTGGTAACACCACCGCCACCAGGGGCTTCGAGTTCCTCTAGCACCAAAGCAAAGAAGGTTTTGCCGAGAGGAACAGCACTACGAGAGCGGAGAGTGCCTCCACCAACAGCCTTTTAACTAGACTATAGTCAGTGAGAATGAAGCCATAATCCTCTAATAAACTGTCAATGCAATGTTCTAAAAGAGAAATTGAGCCTTGAAGTACACACAATAATTATGGATTGATCTGTTCGCGTTCTAGAGTTTGAATCAAATAAAAATGTAGATCTAAACAATAGGGCAAGGAGTACTTAGTCAATTACGTGTTGCTAAAGCGACTTACGTTTTAATTCCCCACTAACCCACCCATAATGCCTGGAAGGTCGGCGCGCGTCCAAGCCTTGGTCGCTGACCGGCAAACGACAACGCTTGCTTTTACACCTTTTTCAGAACAGTTGCGCGAGGCTTCGAGTACAGTCAAAAGACCGACTCGTTCTAGCCCCTTGCTTAGCGACAATTCCGTCCGTGTGTCCACACTTGGAGGGTTAGACTCAGACCAAAAAAGAGCTGTTGCAGATAGTCTTGGCCTCGGTGCCGACTTTACACTGCGCGATCAAGTACTACAAAAATTCTCTTGCGGAAAAGATACCGATGCGAGCGTAGCACAACCCCCGCCTACAGCAGTCCCACCCCCCCTTGCTACGGAAGAAGAAGAATTAGCAGTTCTAGCACCTCCGCCAGAGATTTTGGACCAAGATTTGCATAATAGATCCATGGAAGCAATGGCTGCTATTCTGAACAAGGAAGGAGTTGAGAGCATCGCACCGGAACAGAGTGACGCTGGAGCGAGTAGTTCTAGTAGTATTCTAAAGCAGACTAGCCCAAAAGGCCATGGACGCCACTTCTCACGCGGGATTGTGCATAAGCCAGGTGACGCTTTTGCTCCAACCGCTAGACGCATTGGTCCGGGAGAGCTGGTTGACTGGAAGAGCGCACTTAACACTATCCGAGAGGACGTGGAAAACCATCCTCATAGGCTTCCCGATACAATCCCGCTGGTGGTGACCCAAATCAAGTCACCGACAAGATATGTTGATGATTTAACGAACGAAATCGCGGAGTTCGACTTACAATCCCGGCTGTCGGCAACAACAATTAGATCCTACAAGTCGGGGTACAAGAAGTATGTAGAGCTTATGCTCATGCTAGGCAGAGATCCTCATCCACGATATATCGAGGTCAAAGGAGTTCAACTTTTAGCACAAGCCTTCCAGAAATGCAAGGACTTTAAGCGATCCAAAGCCCAGAACATGGAATACGTCAAGTGTTTTGCGGATCTGATAAAGACCGTTGACGGTCCAGTTCGGAAATCGTTTTTGCAGATCGCGAGAATGTTTTTGCGTTCGGCGCCTAACCAGTTTCAACAGCAAGGGATTCGACTTAGGCACATAATGACCTTAGTCCTTCATTTTACCAGCGCCCCGTTGGCTACGATTCAGGTGGGATCTCAGAGTTTTCAAGCAGTACCCTTTCTACGTTTCGCGATCTTCTGTTGGTTTTTCATGATGAGGCTCGATGAAACGTCGACTTGCGAGAGGAGAAGAGGCAGCAATTCAATTATTCTGACTGTTGTCTCGGCTAAGAACAACCAATTCGGCGTCAGCAGACAAGTTGTCGAATTAGGATGTGCATGCGGGCATTCTCCTTCATTGGGGATGGATTTTATCCAGATATGCCCCAAGTGCTGTTGCCCGGAAAAAGACTTCCTCTTTTTTGCTAACACACCGCCAAGGACCCTTCTCAAGCTGATGGAAGGACTGCTTCAACTAGCTAACATTGCTAATCCTGTAGTGCAGTTAGGCGAAGACGAATATAAGAAATCGATCATGTTGCATTCGCTGCGGATAGGTGGAGCACGCTCTGCTGCAGACGGCGGTTTAACAGATTCTGAGATTCAGCAAGTGGGCCGGTGGCAGTCCATTGATAGCATGTACAGATACCTGGGAAATGCTAGAGCCCTGCCAGATGATGTTGGCCTACGATGGCCCCTGAAGAAGCCAATTTTATTCGCGCCGAGAGATTACTCCATTGGGACAATGAAGCCTCATAGCTCTTCCGTAGCGATTAGAGGCGAGTCGAGCACCTTCTCTTCTTCCAGTAGCCAATACGGTGCCTCGAGCGAAGCTTGGCGTAGTCGACCTTCAGTGGCCCCCTACTAATTCTCCCCCTTTATAATAAATAATTCTGGTCACAAAGGTGCGAATCAATCAACACAGGCGGTTTCTCTAATATTGTTTACGTTACGTTAGTTTTATACTATCTTTTCTCTTGTTTCTAGTTTCGTACTTTATACACTTCTGCGTTTATATACTTTCAAAACAAAATGGACCAACAACAAGCGGCTAATGCCGGTATACTCCCGGCGGCACCCGGGCCCCAGGAAGGTGGTGCACTAGTACCTCCAGCGGCTGCAGGTGTAATGGGGCATGGCCCAGGAGCTGCCGAAGCACCAGGAGTTCCTCCGTTGGGAGGTGACTTGGGTGCCTTCCCGCAAGATGCAGGTCAGCCGCAACCGATAGCTGCGATGGCATTTCCACCAGCAGCTCCTGCTGTAGTAATGCAGCAGATGAATGATAATATTTTACGACAGCAGGCCGTTCAAGAAAACGAAGGTCTGGGCGTCCCGACTGACGCACAAGTCATGCTGGTCGTAGAGCGGTGTACCCATCTTCGCCATAAATGCACACCGGCACAGTATCTGTTCGTGCTCAGGCAGCTTCAAGCACGAAACTACGACCGATTGATTAAGCCCCCCGCAAATCTGAACCTTTTCCCCCTGGCGCTATTGGCTACCTTTCGGTGTACCCAGATTATCAACGACGCTGATGCCAATGCACTACAAGAAACGATGATGAAAGCCGTGGCTGGATCTTTCGACCCAAAATCCGACGAGCAAAAATTGTCTTTGGAAGCGGTGTACGACCTGTTTTACTCGATACTTAAGGTGAACCTCGCTCATCCCACACCTGTTGCCGAAGGGCCGAATTTCCAGCAGCGCCAACTGCAGGCCACCTTAGTAGGAAACGTTTTTCCGGACCTGGTTTCTCAGATTGCAGTTGAGAAACGACGCGAAAGCGTCGAAGCTGAAGCCTTGAAGAAAATGAGAACTGAAATAGACAAACTAGTGCGTGAACAGGTGAACCAGCGAACAAGGGCATTAGAAGCCGAGATCAGATCCTTGAAGTCGAGGAAGCCTTCCCCATCTCACAAGGATGACAGACCGGTGAAAAAGAAGAAAAGCGACGATGAAAAAACTTGTTTGTTGTGGATGGAAGGAAAGTGCCAAGGCAAGTACTGCCCAAATAAAAACAAACATGGAGGAGATCTTAAATTGCTGGAATATCTCAATAAAGCATTCCTGCAAGGAAGGCTAAACTCGGATCAGCTGAAGAAATTAGCTTCAAGCTGACAGCCAACATTCCAAAAAGATCAGATACAGAAAGTCTCTTCCTTCATCCCCCCCCCCCATGAAAAACCAAGCATGAAAAATCTCTATAGTTACTAAAAGCTATTCTCTAGTGTGGTCAAGCGAACGTTCATGCATGTCATATTACACATCCCCCCGCTCGTTTACTTTGCCTTCCCTTGAAGTAGGAGCGATACTACCCTTGGATTGATACACAATGCAATTTTTGCCCAGTTTTTGTGAAACCCCCCCATCAAATCCTTCGAAACTACAACTAGACGGTGACCACGCCTTGTCTGCTTGTAGTTTTATTAGACTTTCTGCTGTTCCGTGACCGTGCCTCGCACTTGGTCTTTGACCTCTGTAATAGTTGAGTAGAGTGGTTTCATCTCGCATGACCTTGCTCGACTTGACTTTATTTCAGCTTTTCTCCAAAACCCCTCAACAGGAAAAGACTTCGCAAAAGCTTTCTGTCTTACCTAAACGGTAGCACCTCACCACAAAATGAGTATAGTAGAAACTGATATATCTAATCTTCGTTTCTCGCAAAACAATATTTCAAAGTTTTTCAACAAAGGGCCTTACGCCGGTCAAAGTATCTTTACAGCGTTGAACTCATTTACCCACCGTAGAGACATAGACCTTACAAACGACTTAAAGATTCGAGGCTACTTCATCGGCGCCACACTGTACACAGCGAACAACAGGACAGTGGCCGCCTTGCGGAGCCTGCAGAAGAAACGCGGGTGGAAAAGTTTGCGGGTCAAAGTCCATGTGGTTTCATTCCTAGGCAACGAGTGGCGTCACACAACCACGAACGAGGGAAAGAGCATCGCAGTCCGAGAATACTAACGTCCACAATAAGTGCTAGCGCAACAACTTCTCCCTTCTGATTCCCTTTCCCCCCCCACCTGATAGCTTACATCAAGATGGACTCATTTGATCAAGAAGACGAACCACCACTGTACTACGCCCCAGTCGATGAGGACGGGGCACCACAGTACGACTACGACAACCCAGATTCTTTTACTAGGCTGCAGCAAGAAAAGATCCTTCACGAGCTCAAGCAACAACAATGGGGCCACTTCCTGAGGCAGTCTCATCTAGAACTACTACGTCTACAAAGGCGGGCATACCTAGAAAAGAAAGAACGCGGAGACTTCGATAATTTATGCAACGAATTGAGATCGCAGCTGGATTTAGATCTGACAGCGGCCAGCAATGGCGACCTGCCTCCGGCGCTGCATGGACTAATAGTCAACAAAGGTTCCACAACCAACAATGGACAGCCAACATTGTCACTTCCAATCGAAAGCCATCGCTCGGATGCAGATGAGATAAATGCAAAACGAAGAAGAGCGTCGACCGAATTCCAGGATGGTACCGAAGGAGGGCGCGTAGATATTAATAAAGTAGACTACTCGCTATTTACCAACCCTTTCTTCAAGAAGCTCAAGCAGCAGGCTGAAAACGCTAGGTCGGTGGTCGCGGGTAGCTCATCTTCATCAAAAGCAGTGCCAAAACATTTCATCCAGTGCAAAGCCGCGTCCTACCAAGTTTTCACGAAACCCGAGATTTTGCAAGATGTAGAAGAATCCATAGGGAAACCGACACTAGCTCAGCACCAGTCTCGACCCGTTTCCCCCTCATCCATCTCCGAAGTCAGCTCGCAATTCTTTATGTCTTCCACCGAATCAGAGAAAAAACTGGTCCAAGGCGCAGTGAACAGCTGGAAGCCAGTACTCGAGACCGATGCAGCTCGCGATTATGGCGCAGGTCCTACACTGCCAGACTACTTCACACCAACCATCACAAAAAGCAAAACTTCGCTTCCCGAAGAAATAAACGCCGAAGCTACGCGACTGGCGTCATGGCTTATAGCGGAAGAACATAGTCTCAGGACGAAAAACGCAGAATTATTCAGCAAAATGCATCCTCACCTTAAAGTCGTTTACGATGGCAAGAACTTCGCACTCGCTCACCGGCTACTAGAACTAGCAGTATCTATCGCCAGGGGTTGCGACGCCCTGGTCGACAAGAATGCTGAATTCATTCTCTCATGGAAGCGCAAAATGATTAATGGCATTTCCATGGATAAAGAGGTGGAACCATGTGGCTTCTGGAGGATGCTGGACTCGGACGAAGTCGAGGCGAAACGCGCAATCGCTGAAGAGGCAGCCAGAAGATCGCGTATGCCTCCAGACCACAATCACTGGGCACCAGAGGAGGACATTGAGGTCTTGTGGAAGCAGTACTTGAAGATGCACAAGAAAGGTTTCTGGCAGCCCGCTCCAATCTCGTCCGTGACGGCCGTTGGAGGTGCTGTCCCGTTTCCGGTTCATCAGCCGACTCCGGAGAACCCTACCAAGATTCGCACCTGCGTTGACTTAAGAGGCCAGAACAAGCTTCAGGTAGTGAAAGAGCGCATGCGTCTCTTGGGTTCCCGCGCATCCATCGAACTATCTTGCGCGTTAATGTCCGAACATGTGGAATGGAAAAAACGACATCTCATTTTACAGAATAAGAAAGACGTTAAAGAGGATGTGACTACGGAAAAGTCAATCAGGCAGCAACTTCTTCGAGAACACCAGCAACTCTTCGACAAGTCGCAACCTGAAAACAAGAAGATCTACCGAAACCCAGTCAGCAAGCCTGACCTTAAGTACAGCTTCGTGCCGGCCATGGCAAAAGCGGACATGGAAGGTTACTACTTCCAACACGGTACGGAAGATCCAAGCAAGAACATAATGTTCTACCCCGTCCCCCACAGCGTGCCTGATTCTCACCTCCAACCGGATTCAATCCAAGTGTCATCGAAACCAGACAATCAAGGACGTTTTCGCAGATGGCAAGTGACCCCATCTACGGTGGCTTTGTTTGGGGCACTCTCGAGCGTTCACGAGTGCGTTCATACAAGCGAGATTCATCAGCTGATTATAGTAGTTCTACTCCAAGTACTCACCACTGCTTACATAGACGACTTTCATCCGCAATGCAGACCAGAATGTATTACGAAACAAATCGAATTGGTCAACCTTTACTTAGGGCTCACAGGTTGGTGGCGAAGTCCCGAGAAAGACGATCGTCACCATCGCTTCCAGAAATCGATCACGGTCCTTGGATTGGCCTACGAGATAAACCCGGTTAATCTGCGTAGTTTCGGGCTGAAGATATCAGTTAGCCCAGACAAAATCAAACGTTGTGTGGAGTTGGGTGATGCGCTTATTCGCCAGTTCGCTGAGAATCGGGTCGAGCTGTCTCTCGTCCTTACCTTTAGAGGGCTGTTCCGCCACTGCGCATCATTAGATCGCCTCAAGATCTTCATCGCGAAAGGGGTCGATTTCCTAGCAGACAACTTCGCGAGATGCTTAAGCCAAACAGCCGAGAAAAACAGAGCGATGGCCTCGATTAAGCTGATGGTGTGGGCGCTGCACCACATTAAACCGCTGCACATAAACCCAACTCGAGTTGACAAACCCGTCGGCCATGCGTACTCGGACGCTGCCCTTGAGGACGTGCAAGGTCTCAACGAGAAGTTGAAACGTGGGCAGTTCGACAACCTCCATGATCACAAGATGTCAATTGGCGCTTACATCAACCTCCCACAGGGCGCACGCTTTTTCCGCTTAAAGCTGAACTCATTGCCCCGCTTCCTCTCCGGCGAGTACATGCACATAGGCATATTGGAAGCGTTAGCAGTGAACGTTTCCACATTCATTTGGGCACACCTTCTCCGAGACTACTTTCTCATTCAGCACGTGGATAACTTAGGCGACGTTTTCGCGCTATGCGCGAACAGCACTAGATGCCCACGCACTCAGAAACTCAGTGCGAGCATCCATCAGAAAATCCAAGATTATAATCTCGATATTTATTTTACTTGGATCTGCTCGGCTAGAAACCTAAGTGATCCCCTGACCAGAGAAGATCGATTTCGAGCCTTTACTGATTTCTTCTATTTAGCAACCGAAGAACAATTACACGCTGATTTCATCATTCAAAACCCACACCTATGGGGCGTCGCCCGTTAAATCAAACATCTCTTTGTAAAATTTTTTCCCTCTTCATAATTCTTTAGTTATAGGACCCCCGAGTCATAGCGCTGCTAATGACGAAAACGGAGCCTCCTCCCAAGGATCTCACTGGCCTCCCCCCATAGTCAGTGTTGTGCATCCAAGTAAAATTTCACTTCTTCATGGAAATTGATAAGTTAAGTGATCCTGCTTGGTCCCATACCTTATCCTAGGCCACATAATTCGTGGCTCATACATGTGTGGGATCCCCAGGTATTGAAGGATGTTTAAGATCTTTGATTGGCTCTTTGTACCAAGGACACTACGGTGGTCCTTTAAGCTCAACTAAATACAAATGCGTGAACACGTAGCAGATCTGTTTGCGGAGTGTTCACCAACAAGCGAGAGACGCGAGAAAGATCAATGTTAATTATCTTGGCTGGAGAAGGTTTGGGATAAGTAGCGTTAATGCAACAGATGGATCCTACAACAAGATGGCGCCAAAGTTAAAGGACGTACAAGAAGAGCTTGCTCGGGAGAAGGCGAAGCATGCTGAGACCCAGAAAAAGCTGGATAATGGTAAGTAATGTGTTCGTCTTTATGGCCTGATGCGTAGAAGTAAATGCTTTTGAAATTATGTACTACATGCTGGCTGAAACGGTTATTTTTTTTCATCAGCAGCAGTCGTTGTCCTCTGTATCGTTGCCTCATGTTCTTGCAACACGGTTCGCCTATCGAGACTGACCCGAACAAAAATGCTGTCTTCGAAGCACCTCACACTCAAATTCCATTCACAACTTCTTAATCCGCATGCCACGACTATCAGAAAGAAAAGAGCACGACGCCACGCGAACCGTGTTGCAAGAACATGAGGCTACGATACAGAGGACAACGACCACAAATGCCAATGACACAGCGGCTGAGAAGGAGCGTTGGGATGCTGAACGATTGGAGTTACAGCAGAAGGTAGTGCTATGTCGTTGAGTGCCCTACTATTCGAAAACTCAAAATAACCGAGTTACTGACTGAAATAAGGGAGGTAGCTAAACGTCAAGGCTACCTTTCCTTCTCATCAGTATCTCGGTTATTCTGATCAGTTACTCGCTTATTTCAGTTTTTCGAGTAGTCTTTGTGGTACTGATCTCACGCTTAACACGGTATTATCTGGTTGAGTACCTGAGTCCATCAATGTGAACGGAAAAAGACAAATCTTCTCCAAGATTGAGTCCTATGACAAATTCCTTCTCACATCATTCAGCTCTTGGAGCAAAAGGACGAGGCAGCAGCGGAGTTGGCACGCCAATTAGAGGAGCTCAGAGACAGCAAAAATGCGGAGATGCGAGAAGTGGAAGGTCGCCTAAGGGAAGCACTAGACGCGTTGGCCACTGCTGTTATGATTGTGATGTAGTTGACAGAAACTATATCTGATACTGCAAGAGTCTGAAATCTCTAGAACAACTATATCTCTAGAACAACATGGTCCTAGGTTCCTATGCTTATACTAGGAATGACACAACAACTTGAACTCATACGTGGTAGCTCAGATAGAAGAAGTTTCAATAGTTTCCAATTCGATCTAATCTGAGTAGCAAACTTATCGAGAGCCAGACCGAGATGGCAGCAATGACCCAAAACATTGAGGCGGAAGTTGCTGATCAGCTAGCGACCTTACAGCCTTTATTTGATCAGCATGCGAGTCTGTGCAGCGCGACGAGTATTGCTATCTTTGCTATCACAGATTTATTCGATCCTGTCCTCCCTCTCCCATCCTTGCTTCCTTGTCCTGCCCTATCCAGCAATCTATATTCAAAACTTGTTGCTTGCTTGCCATATTTATGGGCATAGTTTGAAGATGTTATCGTGAATCACAATTACCACTCAGGTGGCAGTCCACGGGGCCATGCAGGAGATGTTGCAACAAGCGACGAGGCAAACCCTGAGGACGATAAGACCTTTAGAGAAGACGACGCAAGAACACAGATTATAGTTAAGGTGTTCGTGTTTGGAACTTGCTTTAGCTTTTGCTTGGCGTTGAGTCTCGGCTCCGACTAACTACACTCACATCTTCTTTTACTGCAAGAATTTCGATTTCCGCCAAATCAAACAATTTCTCTTCTAAGCAAAACGCAGACACCTCCTCTGTCAACGAAGCCTCCTGCACCAAAGGATTGCTAGAAGACCTGAAGGAGATAGGTCGGATGACCACGATGGTGACTCAGCAAATGCACACAAGTTTAGAAAGGGAGTCGAGAAATCACGACAAGACGAAAGCTTTTTTGAAAACGCAACTGGCGAAACTACAGGAGAACGAAGCCATGGAAAGGAAACCGATTGAACTGTTGCACAAAGGTACTTCTGAAGATTGAGGTGTTGTCAAGAGGTACTACTTCTGATGATTGAGGTGTTGTAAAGAGGTACTACTTCTGAAGATTGAGGTGTTGTAAAGAGGTACTACTTCTGAAGATTGAGGTGTTGTAAAGAGGTACTACTTCTGATGATTGAGGTGTTACATAAAGGTACTGTTGAGCTCTTCTATGATTGGCTCCGCAGTGGTGGTGCTAGTCTCAGAATTCGACCCTTAACACACCATAATGTTTTGCCTCGTCTAGAATAGCACATTGATTAATACAACACTCATAAGATACAGATAGTATGTTGTTTTCCTTCCCCCAAGCAGGCGCCCTTCCAACCAAAAAACAGGTGCTCTGACAGCACGACCACGATACACCCACGAATTCGATGAGATGGAATTTCAGTTGAAGATGAGTCGACTCAAAGAAGAATCTGCCCAATTACAGAGGAGCACTGAGGCATGTTAAGGCTAGTTTATAGTAAGGCACATTCATCTGTCCCTTGATGTACTCTGTTCCAAGGGCTAGCTTTTCACTATTCCATGTGGACTATGCTGAGTGGGTTCGTTGTTCCCCTTAGAAGATATTATGGGGAAAATAACTTGTAACTCACTCGCCCAGGAATCGTGAGAGGCTACCTGTAAGCATGGCGGTCTCCGTTTGTTGGCAATTTGAATGGCACGAATTATACTTCTGAGTCGGGTATGAGTGGAGGCGCGATGAACTTTAGAGGTCCTCCAGGAGGTAATGACATGGGTCTTCAAAGTTTTTCGTACCAGGAATCTTTTGCCACTCCCAGACAAAACGATGATTACCATCAAAATGAATCACAAGCACAAGGATGGGAACAACAAGAGAACAACAATCGCACTAGGACAACAGCTTCTGCTTCCGGTATTTACAACAACTATGCAACAAGAGGACCTTCGTCGAATAATAACGTTGCGCCAGTTTCGAGAGCAACAGTTCCTGCTTCCCTTTCGTCGAGCCAGAGGTATTATCCGGACGACTACAGCATCAGTGTCGCTAACGATGAACCGACACCAAGAGGGGCTAAGGGAGGACGCAGTGCTAGCAGCGTTGTCAGTTTTGGTGGCGCTGAGAGCTTCACAGTAGGAGTCAATGACTACAGTGTCGACAACTACTCTACTGTGCGCGGACCTAGTAGTGCAGCCTCTCGTACATCTCCCAGCGCTTTTTCGCACAAGGGAGGAGGAGCTCCTGCTGTAGACCTGACAAATACAACTGCAACGACTGACAGTACTCGTTATAGTGGTAAGCGCGGAACAATAAAGGATCCTAACGATACAGGAAATAGATCCTTAGTTGAAGTAGATCCTAACTACAGAGCAAAAAGTGGCGTCTCAGGCAAGGGCTCAGCGGGTGTATCATCTGTCGGCTCTAAAGGTAAGGGCGATAAGGAGAAACCCCTTAGTAGTAAAGCAGGTATAGTTCTTGACAAGGCATCTTCTAGCACAACTACAAAGCAGGGAAAAGTCAAATCCAAGGGTGGACGCCATACGGTTGCTACGACAGCTTCACCATCTGGTACAGGTAGTAAGGGAGCAGGCAAAACGTCGACGAAGGGCAATAAGGGCCAACTACCACCAGTAGTAAAGCATGCGACTGCACCTAGTGGGGTCCCTCGAGAGCCGTCGCTATTAGTAACTGCTGACTCAACAGGCGTGAGACCGCCTCCAACGCTGTTGCAAGGTTAGAAAATCGTAATGTACAATTTCTTTCAGGAAACACCGTCCAGACCTACACGGTAAGAGTTTCTCATTTTTGAATTGACGAACTATGAAATTTATTATGTCATAACTGTAAGCCATAGAAGATACTACATTTTCCTGGTAATAATGCGAATAAGCAGATTAAGCTGCAAGGGAACAGAAATTCAACTTATAGTGATTGTTACCATACAGTGTAGGTGGTGCATGAAGGATATCAGCGTAGTGAACGTCAATATTTCTTACCACAACATAACAATTACATCATTAAGGAAATAGAACATACTTGTTTTGCTGCCACAGCATCAAGGTATTTTTGCTTTGTATAGTGAAGTTTCGTGAGTGCATACAGGACTTTCATCGAAGGAGCTATCTCGATAAATCAAGGGTAGATCTGCAAGTGAAAAATGCAAGTTGGTAGTTTGCCACGATGTTTTGAAGTAAAAGTCTTTTTTTCTGTACAGGATGACAATTCTTATTTCGCCGAGCTGGCGCACCTAGCGTTGTAGCTGGAGTGAGACCCTTGAAAAGCACGATCGACCAGATCAGAGGAGAACTAATATAACCAGGTTTTTCTTGTTTCCGCGTACGCTCGGGACAGGCAAAGGTTTTTTTTTCTTCTAGAGCACTTTCAGCAAACTTTTTTTACAACAGCCGTGGGTGCCTTCGGCAAGCAGCTTTGAAGCCCCTGTCGACAACTCCCTCGAAACCGAGCCTGCTTGATACAGAGCTGGAAAAAAAACAAGACATTGAAGTCTCCTCTTTTCTCAACAAATCTCCGTAGTCCCTCCTCCACAGTGAGATAGAAACTAAGTGCTAGGGAGGTTATATTTTTTCAGCGGGTAGTTAGTAGAAGCTTCGGTTTTTCAACACATTGAGTAAGACTAATTCATTGTACAGTACAGAAGATAAGTATATATCTAATGCTAGCCACGGTCATAGTCGTGGTCGTCTGCGTCACACTTTTGGTCGGGTCGCTCGTGGCGTGGTTGGGCCACACATTTAGCAGTTCTGGAGAATCCAGAGGCGTAGGCAGACATGGACGGACGTCATATAACAGAATAAGAAACGACGCAGACGAGAGTGGCGAGGATTATAGTTATGAAAAACTACTTGTGTTCCTTTCTTCTAGTAGGATTGTGAATCTATCTACTAGAACTAGTACCCTACAAGAACTTGTTCTACGATAAATAGATGAATTCACCTTGTCCTTGCTTCGTTCATAAAACCCAGAATCCAGTAGGTGACCTTGTCCTCGGAATCGATGCACCAGTATGCGAAGCGCCGAAGAGGAGAAGAAAGCTGGAGATTGCCAGTCACGAATTAGGGATAAAACTTTTCTGAATCCAATACCAGAGCAGATATTTGGGAGGGAGGACCACACGCAAATGACTATTAGGGGTCTGATTGCAATTGTACAATACCTGATGAATATGCTACAAGATAATACAATTGAACAATAGAGGTAAGCAGGCAAGCTAGGTTCGGACCACCGCGCATCGCCACTTGATTGATTGACTCGAAGGTCCTAGAATTCTGGATCTACTTCGAAAAGTTCCTGAAACTGAGTTTTGAAGTTTCGAGACCTTGCTCGAAGTTCAAGGTCTTCATATCATGTGATCCATTCAAATACTTCTTCCACTCGCCAGCAGATCCTAGATCAAGATCCTATACAATCTGGATCGTGATGAAATTGAAAATGATTGTGCATGATCCGCCTAAATCTAATCGTGATAAAAATTTTGACGGTACAACCTCAAAGTGAACCTGCCGCTCTGTACCATAATCAGCGAACAATCTTTGACTTTTTTACGGCTTCTACTTTCATGAAATTGAAGAGTTTGACAGGCTTTTTTATAGTATGTACTCATAAGACGGCTGGAGTTCAAGACGACTTCACTAATTGAGGACGCTTTCATAGCACCCTACTATTGTTCAACAGACACCAAGAAGATGACCGCAGACACGGATGTGACAGTCCCTCAGGATGGAGCGACTGCCCCTCAGGACGGTACTTTCGTCATCCTGTACGCCAGTTCTGACCAAGCTTACGGATTGAAACTGGAGAAGGGAGCACTCCTCAACTGCACTTTGGGCACTTTTGCCCATGACGACATTATTGGAACTCCGTATGGATCGTTGTTGCGGGAAGTGTCTCCTTGGCCCGCGTTGCGCAAAAAACAGGCTTCGGCGGCATACGTAGCTGCGAAAGAAGCAGAGAAAGAAGCTGGTAGTGCCAAAGAAAATGGAGCAGAAAACGAGTCGCTAGTTGTACATGGAGAAGACCTAGATAAAAGTACCGACGTTGCACCAGACAGCAAGCGAGCAAAGGTGGATAAGAGCGAGGATGCTGTCGCTGCTAGCAAGAAAGACACAATAACAACTTCATCTTCTGACAAAAACACGACTACAACTGTTTCCACGGCAACAACGAGAGCTATTTCAACCTCCACAACTCGCCGTAGTTACCTCGTTCTTCTCAAGGCCAGACCCGAATTGATCACTTGCAGTTTGCCGCATCGTACTCAGATCATCTATCATACGGACATTAGCTTGATTTTGAGTCTCCTCGACTGCAAACCGGGAGACGTCGTCGTCGAAAGCGGCACTGGCAGTGGTTCTCTCACCTCAAGTCTCGCTGCGGCAGTTGCGCCTACTGGTAGGGTTTTTACGTTCGAGTATCATTTGGAACGGTTTAGACAAGCAAGGGAAGAGTTTCGAGTGCGTAGTTCAGCGAACCCGAAGATGAGGATGAGTCAGGTGATTATTCCTACATGGGCAGATGCATGCATTAATTCGACGTCGCCTTCTACTGCTGCTGGATCATCAACTGATGCTGCTGCTGGAGCCGAACAGCAGTCGCCAGCATCATCGACTGCGGCTTCGCCTGAGAAACAAGCTGCACAACAAATAGACGCTGATGCTACAACTTCTAAGGGAGAGGAGCAAGAACAAGCCGCAACTGAGGAGAAGATCGCGCATGGTTTCGCACCTACTTTGCGAAAGCATTTCTCGACTTCGTCTTGTTCTAAAGGATTGGCAGACTCTGTTTTCCTCGACTTACCCCAGCCCTGGGAGGCCGTGGACAATGTGAAAGAAGTGCTGAGAGAAAACGGCAAACTATGCGTCTTCTCGCCGTGTGTAGAACAGGTTGCCAGGACCTGTGAATTACTCAGAAATAGCGGCTTCGCAGACGTGAGGACTTTTGAGAGTCTGTGCAAAGGGTGGGGCGTTTCCAAGAAGCATCCGGGACAGAGCATGCAATTACCAATGCGGGGACACACGAGCTACGTTACGGTGGCAACGTTGGCTGTGACCAAATGAAGAATGCATCGTTTGGTAATCCGCTGAAGTGAATGTAGGGGATGCTTCTGATGCGTAAATGTTGTTGTAAAACTGCAAGACCCTCCAAACACATGGCCACTTAAATCTAAGATCTAGGAGGCTCTCCGTGTTCAATACGAAATGACTATGCCTCCCATGCAACTGTTATTTGAAACTGACCCTGATACCAGACGATTGAACGATGAAGGCGATTCTTCACCCTTCCTCTTGTTATTCGCAAACCTTCTTTTTGCCCTACTTGAGATATCTATCTGGTGTTGTAATGCGATACTGGCAGTTCAGTCCTCGAGATTGGACAAAAAGAGTATTCTTGTCCGTGAAATCATCTAAGATCTGGTTTTAGAGCGAGATTAATTCGGTCTTGAGTTGATCATACAGACTACAGATTTCCTCTGTTGTATCAACATCTTGGTACTAAATCTCGAGAGGTGAAAGAGATCTCACAGTTAATTCTGTTTGTCAACTATATCTGTCGCACAAAAGAGAGAAAAAGCGCCTCAAAGAAATGCACATAGTGATGAAGAAGAGGCAGATTAAGACGGTCTTCTTGATGGCACGACTTTCATTTACCGTGCTGTTGAGTCAAGGATCGACGTAAGCTTTCCCTTTCCAAAATTGATATGCCCAGAGCAACTATACCATGTGATGTTTTTTCCCATGCTTACCCCCAAGATCGACTATTTACTAAAAACGTGCTTTCCTTAGGCGGTTCAGCTCAAAAAAAACGTGCTTTCCTTGGTCGTCCACGATTTGGATTTTTCTTCTAATCCTACTACCTTCTAGTAAGCATCTTCGTTCATTCTACTTCCCCTACTCCTTCTCCTTCGCTTATCACACAAACCACACCAGAAACAAGATGTCGGACGAATTGGAAACGTTAAACATCTCGGATGCCAAGAAGAAGTACGTGAGGGAAGTTGTGAATCCTATCCTCGAGGACATGGTGATGGACGGCCTTTTTTGCGCAAAGCTAGAGGAGGATCCGACGATTATGGCTCATAATACCTTTCTCTTCCACTCCCAGTAAGTGTGAGTGTGTAAGTATGTGTTTGATGTCATGTGTTCGAGAGGTAGACCGAGGTGGTGTTCTTACGCGAGCAGCTCTGCTCCTGGTATTGATTTAGTACAACGTCAGGCTACGATTAACTCTTTACAGTACAAAGAAAACACTCAAAATCGCAAATATTGCATTCATTGCTCCCAGTACCTTTGTTTCTCTTTCTCTTGTTCCACTCCCTCTCTAACCCAACCTACTTACTTGCGTGGACACCTTTCTCTTCCACTCCCTCTCTAACCCAAACTACTTACTTGCGTGGACGAATCTGCGTCGTTCCACCATTTCGCAGCAGTATGAGGAACTTCTTCACGAAAACGAAGGCTTGAAGGGCAAGCTCGGTCATTGTGAACGTGCCTTGTCTGAGTTGGAGGCAGCTGCTGTAGCTCGCGCAGCGCGCGAAGCAGGACGAAAAGAACAAGAAGCGCTCAAAAAAGCTGCCTCTAGTGGTGGAGCTGCTGGTAGTGCCGAGGCAGGAGAAGGACAAGACGGAGGAGCAGGAGGAGAGAGACCCACAGACAGCGAAGAATTCGACGAGGATGAATTAATCGACGACGCAGACTTGCCCAAACCTGCCAGACTGCAAGCGAAAAGAGGTGCCATTTCAGCGTCGGTGAATGCTGGAATTGCAGGTATTGGTCCAGCTACAGGCGAACCAGCTTCACCACCCGCACACGCAAAGTCACCATCTCAGAAAAAAAGATTGAGGAGTGCTATGGTACTTTCATGTTGGCTGATGCGCGGGAGACGTTGAAAATTTGGCGCGAAAGACGTGCGTGTAGACCTTGGGGTGTACTACGTAACCAATAAAGATCTGAGAACTAAAACAACATGCATCACTTAGACTTTTACCTATCAACACTTTTAATAAAACACTGCCTCATGATCTATACTGACAACACACTCCAACAGGGGAACAGCGTTTTGTTTTCGACGTTGAACAGTGCTGATTTCCAGACCTGCATCGATGCCATGGAGGAGGTGGCTGCGGAGAAAGGAGATGTTCTCCTACGCGAGAAGGACTCTGGAACTGCCTACATCGTGGTTGAGCGTGGCGAGCTCGAATGCCGACAGGGCTTAGCCCCGCAGGACATCTCCCCAGGTGGCGTCGCCACTATCATGTCCGCGTCAAAGGACGTGGCCCAACGCGTTGGCGAAGGAGAGGCATGCGGCGAATTGGACCTATTATACGGACAACCCAGTTCTCATACGGTGATTGCGTCCACGAATGGGGTGATATTCTGGAAATTGGATCGCGAAACCTATTCTCAGATCGTAAAAGACGCCCACAAGCGAAAGCAGGCAAGATTTGAGACGTGGTTGGGGAAAGTGCCACTATTTGCCAAACTACGGCCAGCAGAAGGAGCAAAGCTCGCGGAAGCATTGAAATCTGTCAAGTACTATCAACTCCACCTGTTGTGATTTTGTTGTTCTCTTTGTTTTCTACTTCCTATTATGAGGTGTGTTTTGAATCATGTCTGTGTATCCCGAACGTTCCATGATTTTTCCTTTTGGCATTCTTTCAGAGGTGAGGTACTCTTAAACTCTTAAAAGTTCTAGTCGAAGTAAAGTGATCCACAGGGATATACTTCCAACCCACCGCTCCAATCGTAAATGACTACAGCTTCCCCGCTGGTCAGCAAGTCTACGGCGAATCTGATGGTGACGCATCGTTCTACGTGGTGGAAGAAGGCCGCTTGCAAGCACTCAGAAAGCAGCCTACTGAAGAGGATATTAACGCCGGGTTGAACCTTGTCGAGACTGAGCAAGAACAAATCATGCTAGAGTACGTGGAAGGCGATTTTTTTGGAGAAATGGCCTTGCTTGACGACGCACCACGCGCCCACACGGTGAAAGCAGTGACGGACTGCAGATTGGCAACGATAGACAGGTTAAGGGTTTCCGAATTACATCCCTCACTACCATCCTTGGCTCCTTTTCAAGGGGGAAATGGGTCAAGGATGTTCTGAAGAATGCAACTCGGAAACCTCTAAACAGGACAGCGCTTGCGGCTCTGGTGGGAAGCCTGACGACGAGTGCGGCTATTGACGTCAATCCCGAAGGGGAAGTACGAGCAGCCACTCCTGTGCTGGCGGGACAAGCACTAGCAGAGAGGCACGTGATATGAACACCGCAAGAGCTGCTGACAAGCACTAGCAGAGAGGCACGTGATATGAGCATCACCGGTTCTAGTGTTGTAAGACCCTTTTGACCAGACGTCGTCATGATGCTTGTCGATATAAGCAATTCCGGTGCTGCGAATGTCTTACATTAAAGATACGAAAGAAACGGCACTTTAATGGACTATCATAATCTATGACGAGAATCCTTACCGGACGCGTTGTATTATAAAGAACCTGAACTCTTTTTGGAAGTGGAACGAGTCTAACACATACGATAAGAATATAGGGCGTAGTAAGCCTTTGTCCTGACGTTATCTGGAAAATTCCTAGCATTGGTGAATTCCTAGCAGTGGTGGAGGTGTTCAACAAATGTTGCTTGATGAAAAGTTTTTTTTGCCATACCAAGATCGGTAGGGTACGATTTTTTTGATGCTGCTTTCGTTTCGTGAAAAAGTGAAGCATGGATAGAGTCAAAGAGGGTTTTTTCCGTTTCTTTGTCCATGATTTTTTCATCTGTTTTTCTTTCCGAGCGTGAGTGTCGAGGGCCGAGCAAGAAGTTGAAGTAGAGACGAGTGCGCAAAGTGGTTTCTTCTAACCAGGTGAAAAAAAATACGTTTTCAACGAGACAACAGGATAAGACCCGATATGCGTTTTTTTTTTATCAGCATGCTGGATTCTTGACGTATTGATGGAGGCGTAGGAGTGGTTACTGTAGTTTGACAGAACCGACAACAAATACGGGTGAAGTGGTTACTTTAGTTTGACAGAACCGACTACAAATAAGGGCGAAGAGGCATTACGATTACTAGCGCACGCGACATAACATGCACGAAGAGATTTGAAAGACATTGCCCATTCTTTCGGAACCAAATAAGCTGAGAAAAAAAATGGGGGGTTGTGCTGGATCTAAGGTCGTTCAGGAGGGCGCCAAGATTGCGGCCAATGAGCCAGCCAAGTACATCGAAAAAGCCTTCGAGAAGAATGTGGACGAAGATGAGGAGGAACAGGAAGAGGATGACGACGATGACGTCATGTCCGATTCAGCATTCAACTACAAGCCCAGCACGGCTATGAGTATTAGTGCCACTAGTGCCACAATGTATTTCAGTATTTGTTGTAAGATCCATAACCTCGCAATGCAATTAACCTACTCGAAAACTAAAAATAACCGAGTTACTGACTGAAATAAGGGAGGTAGCTTTGACAGGGCTACTCTTCCTTGTTCAGGCTTAACTGTGCTTATTTCAAGTACTTACTCGGTTATTTCACTTTTTCGAATAAAACTTTCTCCTCTGATCCACCAATCACCATCGCTGCAGGGCAATCAGTCTCCGCATAGGCTTATGGCGCGTGGAATAAGAAGGAGGCTTTTGCAGTCCCAGTCCATCCAAAGACGGACGAGCAGAAAGCTCGACTAACAGAGACGCTGGAGAAGAGTTTTATGCTCCGAGCCTTGGACTCAAAGGACATGGATGCGGTATTCTATGTAGAGATAGTTGAGACACCATGATGACGACAGCAGCGCCGTTCTTCTGAACTAACTCGCACCGAAAAACTTCAGGTCCTACACCCTTAGCAGTGAGTGTCCTCTATAGAAGTGCATCATCTTCGTATCTATATAACTAGGGAATTGCTAGGTAATCGGCGCCATGGAAGAAGTAACTGCAACGGCAGGCGAACGCATGGCCACCCTTGGAGAGATTGGCGAGCTTTTGTTTGTTATCGAGACAGGCGCATTGGAATGCCGAAAGGAAATCAATGGAGTCGATACACTCCTCAAGACTGTGGAGGAAGGTACTTCCTTATGTTATGTAGCATCTCAAATTCATGTTATGTAGCATCTCAAATTCGAATTCCTAAATTTCTGATTTTATCTCCTTTTATTTCAATTTGAATTCAGTGGGATCGATGAGTTACATCTTCAAGATCATGACCAACATCATCGCTATCCCCATCCTCATCGTTTCAAGTATTTGAAAAATGCGCTATGGTACTCTCCCTCTAGAAGTTGTTTATCTTGTGACTCTTCGTCCTGGCACTGTTCTCTCCGCATCCTCATGGCATATTTGGAAATAGACAGCCGGCTTGCTTTCCTCTTTCTACGTTTAATAGGCTTTCCCTTCAAAATGTGATGGATTCGAACATGTTGGTACATTTTGAAGGGACAGCCTATTAAACGTTCGAACCTGTTGGTACAAAAGGTTGGGCTAGGCTCTGGCTCATCCTCATACTCCAGTGATGTTGTCAACTTAATCTTCATTCTATAAGCAAGAAGTCTTCATGCAAACTATTCGCCCAGTGAAGACGTTTGATAGGCTATCCCTTCAAAATGCCCCCCTTTCTACGTTTAATAGGCTATCCCTTCAAAATGCCCCCCTTTCTACGTTTATTAGGGGATCCCTTCAAAATGCCCCCTCCCAAAAAAAATCCCTCTTTCTACGTTTATTAGGGGATCCCTTCAAAATGTGCCCCTTCATGCAAACTATTCGCCCAGGTGATGTCTTCGGTGAATTAGCTGTCCTCTATAACACGGCTCGTGCGGCCAATGTTGACGCCAAGACTGACTGCGTCTTGTGGAAGCTGGACCGACGATCGTTTAATGAAATCGTGAAGGAGTCAGCGCAAAAGAAGCGCGAACGCTATGAAGGATTCTTAGCAAAAGTTCCGCTCTTGAAGGCCGTGGACGGCTATGAGCGAAGTCATATCGGCGAAGGACTCGGCGCGGAAAGGTATTTGTTTCCAGCGTCTTTGTTTTGATAGAATTGCTTTGCCATCGTGACCTCCACTCCGTGCTTTTCTCGCAGTACAAAAATTCTTACCATGAACGAAAAAATAGGGCTCGGCTTCTATCTTAATCCTCGCCGAACCAACCATGCCACCTCCGCACACCTTACCGACACTCTCTCCTCCCACTTAGTTTCGCTGCCGGTGACGTGATTATCCGAGAGGGGGATACGGGAGACAAATTCTACATCGTCGAGGACGGTCACTGTGAGGCAGTGAAAAGTGGCCTCGAGGGCAAGGCTCTGAATTACCAAGCGGGCGACTTCTTCGGAGAGTTGACTTCATGTTGAGCAAACTTGTGTGAGGAAGTTCCTGTTGTTTTGACTAATGTGAGGAACTTGTTGTGAGTTTTTTGTCAAAAGTATCTCCCTCTAATGCTACAGTACGGGTGCTATGAACAGTACTATCAGGGGCATACACGACATTACATACTACAGTACTCCCCACCCTTTTCCCTCTGTCTCTTCCCTGAAGCTCTAGGGCCTCTTCTGAAAGACCAAGTACGACAAGCAACGGTAACCGCACTCGAAGATTCGAAATTGCTCATGCTCGATCGTCGTGCCTTCAAGCGACTCTTTGGCGGATCAGCGCAACTCGCAGATGCCTTCGCCGAACAGGAGAATAAGCACAAACAACAGTAAATGTAGTTGCTGTGGTGGGAAAGTAGAAGTTGTTGCGCTTATTATACTTGGAAGTGAGATCAGTAATTTTAGACGTGGTGACTCGAAGATGTTACACGAAGGAAAGAATTTTTATGACATGGCGTCAAATACTAGTTAGGTGATTACTAGAACTGACGAAAAGAGATAGCTAGAGGGGCGGTGGATACGAACAAAGTGAAAGCTATACTCAGACTAGGAGTCACAAGGTGGCATCATTTACATGGTTTTGCGGACTTTGATTTATTCTGAGGTCGTTGATTAGATGTTTAGTTCTTCAGTTTTATCTCAAGTACATCAGAGGATCAAGCGTCTAGTTAGTAGTCTACGCGA